ATTCCCACAAAGGGGAATGGTAAGGCATCCAAATCTCCCTGGGTTATAAATTATCACATTAAAACAAAACAGGAAAAGGAGGCTTATGATAAATGTCATGTCAAAAATACAGAAGATAAACAAATAGAATATAGAAAGTACAGAGGAGAACTGAAAAACAACAAGATTACATTTATATAACGCCTTTCACGTCGGGAGGATCTGAAAAAAGTAAATAAGAGGGGCAAAGAGATTGTATGAGAAAAGATTAGCGGGTAACATAAAAGGGAATCCTAAGATACTTTATAAGCAGATAAAGAATAAAAGGTTAGTCAAAGGAAGGGTGGGTCCAATTAGGGACCAAAGAGGAAATCCTATTGTGGAGGCAGAGGGCACGGCTGACGTACTGAATGAGTACTTTGCATTTGTCTTCACAAAAGAAGAGGATGCCAAGTATCAGAGGAGAGTGTAGAGAAATTGGATAAGGATAAACCGAAATGAGATACTAAAAAGGTTGTTGGTGCTCAAGGTAGACAAGTCACCCGGTCAGGACAGGATGCTTCCTGGGTTACTGAGAGAAGTAAGGGTGGAAATAACGGAGGCTCTGGCCACAATCTTTCAATCCTCCTTGGACACTGGGGTGGTGCCACAGGACTGGAGGATTGCAAATGTTACTTCCCTTTACAAAGGCAGAAGGATAAACCCGGGAACTACAGCCAGTCAGCCTCACGTCAGTAGTGAGGAAACTTCCAGAGACTGTAATCCGGGACAAAATAAATTATCACTTAGAAAAATATGGGTTAATAAAGAACAACCAACACGGGTTTGTTAAAGGCAAATCATGTCTAACAAACCTGATAAGAGTTTTTTGATGAAGTAACAGAGAGGGTGGATGAAGGTGGAGCAGTTGATGTAGTTTATATAGTTTTTCAAAAGGCGTTTGATAAAGTGCCACATAATAATAATCCTTGCATTTGATATAGCGCTTTTCACGTCGGGAGGACGTCCCAAAACGCTTCACAGAACACACTGTAAAGTGAATTGACTGTATATTTGTGGGCGAACACGGCAGCCAATTGCGCACAGCAATGTCCCACATTGAAAATGACCAATTTATTATTGTTTTGGAGGGATTATTATTAGGCTCTGTGTGGAGCAAGGTTTCGCCCTCTGCCTGGAATTGAACTCAGGTCTCTCGCTTGCAAAGCGAGTGCTCTAACCACTGAGCTGCAGGACACTGATCTAAGAGACTTGTAAGCAAAACAGAAGTCCACGGTATTAAAGAGACAGTGGCAGCGGATATAGAACTGTGTGGGAGACAGAAAGCAGAGTGGTGGTGAACGGTTGTTTTTCTGACTGGAGGGAAGTGTGTAGTGGTGTCTCTCCCCCAGGGGTCAGTATTGGGACCACTGCTGTTTTTAATCTATATAAATGACCTGGACTTGGGTGCAGGGAGTACAATTTCCAAGTTTGCAGATGATACTAAGCTGGAAATGTAGTAAACAGTGAGGAGGATAGTCACAGACTGCAAATGGCCATAGACAGACTGGTAACACGGGCAGACACGTGGCAGATGAAGTTTAATGTGGAGAAATGTGAAGTGATGTATTTTGGGAGGAAGAATGAGGAGAGGCGATATAAGCTGATGGTACAATCTTAAAGGGGGTGAAGGAACAGAGAGACCTGGGGGTCATATAAGTAAATCTTTGAAGGTGACAGAACAGGCAGATAAAGCTGTTAAAAAGCAAACGGGATACTGGGCTTTACAAATAGAGGCATAGAAATCAAAAGTCAGGAAGTTATGATGAACCTTTATAAAATGCTGTTAGGCCTCAGCGAGAGACTGTGTTCAGTTCTTGATACCACACTTTAGAAAGGATGTCAAGGCATTGGAGAGGGTGCGAAGGAGATTGACCAAGATGGCACCAGGAATGAGGGACTTCAGTTATCAGGAGAGGCTGTAGACGCTCGGATTATTCTCCTTGGAGCAGAGAAGGTTAAGAGGAGACTTCTAATAGAAGTTTTCAAAATTATGAGAGGATTCGACAGGGTGAACAAGGAGAAACTATTTCCACTGGCGGGTGGGTGGGTAACCCGAGGACACCGCTTTAAAATAGTTGTTAAAAGAAAAAGGGGAGGTGAGGAGACATTTTTTCACACAGCGAGTTGTTGGGATCTGGAATGCATCGCCTGAAAGGGCAATGGAAGCCGATTCGATAATAACGTTTAAGAGAAAAGTAGATAATTAGTTAGGGAGGACAAGATTGCAGGGCTCTGGGGAGAGCGCGGGGAGTGGGATTGAATTGGACAGCTCTTTTTAAAGAGCTGACCCAGACACGATGGCCTGAATGGCCTCCTTCTGTGCTGTAAAATTCTGATTCTACCCACCTCGCTCTCTCTCTTGTCATCCGTTTCCATCTGCCTGTCTGGCTCTGTCAGTCTCTTTCTCCTTCAGCTGAGACATTAAACCTTCAGGTCCGGTTAAAGATCCCACAATACTATTCAAGAAGGCAGTTTCTTATGACTGACAATTCCCCAAATAAAATTGATTTACTCCGTGGCTGTTTGTGGGACACTGCTGTGTGCAAATTGGCTTCCCATATTTCACCCACTAAACTCAGTCACTCCACTTTGCAGTATATCCTGTGAAGCGCTTTGAGACATCGTGACAATGATGAAGTGCTATATCAAATGCAAGGATTATTATTATTATCTAATGACCGGTTTGTCTTTGAACCTGCTTTTGGTCATCTTTCCCCTCCATCCACAACTCGGGATGCCAGGCCAGGAATGTGAATCATCTTGGGACTTGTCCCGCCTCGAATTCAAGATCCTCATCCTCACCTACAAGGCCATTCACGGCCTTGCTCTCTCCTACCTCTCCGACCTACTATCCCCCTACTTACCTACCCTTCACTCTCTGGCAGCTCCCGACCTCTCCGACCTCCTCACTCCACCACCCGGCGCCTCCACTCAACTGGCACCGGCCTCCTGCTCGTCCCTCGCACCCTCCGCCCCACCATCAGAGGTCGCGCTTTCAGTCACTACACCCCGAAACTCTGGAACACTCTCCCTCAATCCCTCCCCCTTGCCCACTCTTTCCAGTCCCGTCTGAAAACCTTCCCCTTCGACCGTGCATACAGCCCCCTCCACCAGCCCTCCCCCACACCGTATGTTCTGTGAAGCGCTTTGAGACGTCTTGAAGACGTCATAAGGTGCTATATCAATATATGTATACTATATATAAAAATTGCTACTTCCCTATTTAAAAAAACAGTCCCAAATGATTAAACCATAGTCCATTAAAAGTTAAAATTTAATCACTTAAAAGTATCAAAATGCTTATAAACAACAGACATTTGAAACCCTTTTATTGAAAAAAAATCTGTTTACAGGAATAAAATTCTAATACATTCAAAGGGCTCAAGAATTCTCATAATGCTGACATTTGCAAAAAATTAGAAAATAATCATCTTTCATACGTGTTGCAGGTTTGTGCACCGCGGCCATTTCCCCCCGATGTAAAAAAAAATCAGGAACTCGCTGTACAGTATAAATTAAATCATTGGTTCCACTGCAGATAATACCGGCACTTGTTGCGCCTGTTATTTACTCAAAGCATACTCAAGAATTTATTTTAGTAACATGAAACATTCGCAGATGCAACAACAACAACAAAATTCCATTTATAGAGCGCCTTTCACGTCGGGAGGACGTCCCGAGGCGCTGGACAGTTGGGTCGGGACCCGAGCATTGGGGGGAAATGGTCAGGGTGAGGGGAGGGAAGGGAGGGAGCGAGGAGGGGGTAGAGAGTCGAGAGGGGAGCTGAAGGCACGGTCAAAGATGTATGCAAGAAAAGAAAAAGGGAAGTGCATTCAAAGGGTTTTTGGGGGTAGTTGATTTCTAAGCGGATGAGGAGCAGGGGTGGGAGGGAATTCAGAAAAATCTACACACAATAACTGCTTCAGCACGATCCTTTCAGATACCTTGTGCGAACCACTAAAATCTAGGCGGTAACTCCCAAACAATTGGAGACATCACACAAGTGAAGGTTGAAGCCCCAAACTGTAATGAGTTTTCGGTCTGGTTGCTGCAGCCATCTAAATATTTCCTCCAAACGCGATAATTTTTGTGTCCGGGCATGGAGGGGAGGGGGGGGTGGAGATGATTCAGTGAAACCAAACCAGTATAACCAGCAGAACATACCATTTGCTGCAACCAATTCTCCTGCTCTCAAAATGTATTTCAGTAAACAAATAACCACATTTTTCTTTGTATAAATAGGACAAAGTGAGCATACTTTAAAGCTGAGTAATTAATTACACCTTGCTATCATATTTGGCTCCCAAACCCCAGCTCGGTTGCAAAGCCAGCCTCCAGGCATGAAAGGAGCTATTGTATAAATGTAAATTTGTAATTGTATATTCCATCTCTTCACCATTAATGTTCACCGTGCGTAGGATAAAAAAAAATGCTAATTCACATTAGCCCGTGTGCGACTTTATAGAAAAAAAGGTTTCCAAAGACCTTGTGCAGTTCTTTCCCACATCATCCTTTATTTAGAGATAAGTAAGGAAGCTAAATATTTTCAAGAACGTGCAGACCTCATAACTTAAATAATAAGTACACATCGTTCAAGAAAGGAGCCATTTGGATTAAAATTCAAATAAAAAAAAATACTGGGAGAGTTTTTTTGTTAACTATTTAAAAACAATAGTGCAGTTAGCCTACAAAAAAAGGTTCACTCATTATGAGCAAGGTGTCACAAAGCCAAACATGTATCTGGAAGGATTTGCGTGCTACTGTAAATATTGCAAAATGAGCATAAAATGCAACCTACCGGATAATCTAGAAGATTATGTTCTCAAAGGTGAGAGAGCCTATGTGCATTAAATGTTTCATACAAGTCTCATTGTTACAACGTTTATACGTACAATACTGAGAGTAGAGAATAAGGATTGTCAAAAGATTAACTACTTACTGATGTACTATTTTTATCCCATTTTTGTAATGGAAGACGGTTGAGTTGCATAAAAGTAAAAAGCATAATTTTCCCCCCGGGCTCAGGCAAACAAACTCACCAATGAATATATTTATAAAATGCAGAAATTCCATAGAGTTTAACTGCATCTCTTCTCCACGATCAGTTAACTTTTTTCAAGAAACCTCTGCGTCATGGTAACTCAAGGCAGAGCTAACTCGATAATTAAATCCCATTAGGGTTTTACGTCAGAGAGAGAGAGACCTTCGAAGACTTGATAAAGCGCTATATCAAATGCAAAGATTATTATTATTATCAGTTCTATTAATAGTATTGTGCTTTTTAGCCTTAAGGGCGTTACTAAATTAATCTGACTAGTCTTTTTTGTTACCAGAAGCTGTTGGATGAACTATGGAGATACAAGTTCCCCTTTCATTTTTTTTTAAAAAAAGGACATTGCAGGATTTCAGTTTACTTTAGTGAGTCTATCCTAGTAGACATCTTATTCGATTAACAGCTCAAATTACAGGGTGTGAATGTCTCACAGAGACTGATACTCATCCTTTAAAGGCACATCCCAAACACAGAGCTTATAGAGTATCCTACCAGCCTGAGTACAACGGATTTTATATCAATTTAAATTTAAAAAAACTTAATTGTGAATAACACAAGAAAGCAACAAAAATCCGGTCACTGCGCCTGGAAATGAAGAGAACACCTCTGTTCCAGCTCAACTGTAGCTTCAGTCAAGCTTCACAATCCGAACGAAGTATGCAGAGAAAATACGTCCTTGGAATAGAAAGTCGTGTATTCACTCTTCCAAATGGTCGTCAAGGACATTTGCACAAGTTCATTTGTTACAGTAGTAGAACAACAGGGTAGTACAACACTGCTGGGGCTGGAAACCCTGGCAAGGTCACTGTGGGCAGGTGACAAAGGTATGCGTCCCTGAGAGCAAGCGAGACGAAACGGAAGGACAAATAGCACCTTCCAGTGAGTCGCTGCCTTTAGGAAGATGTTGGTAAGAAGCAACAGCAGATGCAAGTTTACAAATTGATGTAAAAGAGGTCACCTTTGACATGCAATGCTCACCTCGGATGCCGGTTTTGCGGTTGCTTCAAGCTGTGTGTGTGTGTGTGTGTGTGTGTGTGGTGGGGGGAGGGGGGGAAGCAAATTATACAGAGACAGTTTTTTTAAAAAAAATACATTAAAGCATTTTTGATCTAAGGAAAAAAATATCTTTCAGAACATTGTCATGGAAGCGTATTGTCGTTGAATTTGTAAACTCTTTAAGATTTGCCAGAAGTCTTTTATCGGTAAGATTTACTTAGACGGCCGGATTGGCTGTGTTCAAGATGCAGCATCAGACTTATCAAACAAAACAGAAGTGCTTCATGATGCATTGGCTGTCAGTACCTGATCCAAAATCTCATCGACAACATTGCTGTCATAGTTTATCTGCTCCAAGTCCAGTCCGGGTACAATATTGAGCAGTAGCTGCCCTATATTGATCCTCAGAGCGCGGAGTATTACACTGCAAAACACATGAGACGTTAGTTAAAAACAACACCTGTGGCATTGGTCAATACGTGAAACTCGTAACATGCAACATTAGACTGTTTATATCACAGGTGTCACCTGTGCCGGCTCTTTGGAAGAGCTACCCAATCAGTCCCCACTCTCTTCCCCCCTCTCTTTTCCCATATCTTTCCAAATGTTTCCTCTTAAAATATCATTCTAATTCTCTTCTGAAAGTTGTTATTGAATCTGTTTCCACCACCCTTTCAGGCAGTGTATTCCAGACCATAACAACTCTCTGGGTAAAAAAAAAGAAAAATTTCTCCTCATCGCAGTCAAAGGACGTCAATGTTTCCGTTGCTGTGTCACACAGACTCGGGTAGATATAACATGGAACTCCATCAATGCGCAGAACCTTAAAGTCTCAGCATAATTCTTGCAGTACCTGGTTGGCTGTTACCATTTCCCACAGGGTTTATTATCCACATATAATCTGAAAGGACTACTGAATTTATACTAATTAGTGTAACTTCAAGGGCAATCGTGTTCTGTTCGCCAGGTATAAAAAACTAGTGTCTGAACATCTCAATTAATGGTCGGGAGGAGAGCTTTGACTCCACTCTCAGAACCAAGTAACTGAAAGCAGTAGCTGTCCAACATTGGTGATGGAAGGTGAAAGGATTATCTAATAATCCTAGTGGAGTCCTGTAGCTCAGTGGTTAGAGCACTCGCTTTGCAAGCGAGAGACCTGAGTTCAATTCCAGGCAGAGGGCGAAACCTTGGGCAAGTTTCCTTACTCCACACAGAGCCTAATAATAATCCCTCCAAAACCAAAAACAATAATAAAATTGGTCATTTTCAATCTACGACTGTTTGTGGGACATTGCTGTGCGCAATTGGCTGCCGCGTTCGCCCACAAATATACAGTCAATTCACTTTACAGTGTGTTCTGTAAAGCGCTTTGGGACGTCCTCCCGAAAAGCGCTATATCAAATGCAAGGATTATTATTATTATTATTAATAGTTCAATGCATTCGCTGGAAGGAACAATTAAATATGTAGATTAATTTAAAAACAAACCCAATTTTTTTTTAAAAACACACACACACAATTACCTGGGGTCTTCCGAAAGGTTGCTCTGTGCTTTGATTGCTTCATCCTTTAAACGTTTCACTTCTTCGGAAAGATTTTCAGATTGTGATTTCATCGCCTCAGTCTCTCTTTGTAAATTTTCAACCTTGGCAGGAGAGGGAGGGCGGAGGAAACAATATTTTGAAAAGATTTCCTCCAGGAGCAACAACAACTGAGAATTCCAAGCTTCCCACCTACACATGGATATCCCAGCGATAGACGGTTGGAAGGGAACGCGCTCTCTCTCTCTCTCTCTCTCTCCCTGGAGGGATGCACCCTGCTTACCTAATTCCAGAAGACATTAGGCACAGGTCGGCAAGAGCCAAGACTTGGGGGCCCCAGAGTGTGCGTTGGGGTAACTGATGGGAGTTGAATCAGCTAAAACCACATAACTTGCTATTGATGTCGCTGTCTGGCCTGCTATCCCACTGCTTGTCCAGTTAGGAACCACCCTCCCCGTTAGGGCTTTGGTTTGCGGGGTTAAACAAGAGCTAAATGGAGATTGATTCTCTGTTACAGGTTTGAGCTTACTACATACAGAGGACAGGTGACGTAAACGTACACAGAAAATCAATCTGCAACTTTTAATATCAGAATTTTAAAGCTTCTATTTTGGATTCTCTTCCAAGACAATTGGGTTTAGCTAATGTTCAAAATGGAAATTAAAGGGAAAGGAAAACAGATTCTAATGACCTTAAAATAGCACAAGTATTTTTTTTGAAATATCTGAACTTCAAAGCGCAAGGGGAGCAACCCGGAAATTGTTTCTCATGAAATTATTTGTGCTAATCATCCCAACTTGCAGCCAAAGCTCATAATGAAAGGCTGAAATGTAGGTGAAAATGCAATACAAATGGTGATGGCTGGGTGCTATGAAGTGCAGTTTTACAAAACTGTACAATAATAATCCTTGACTTTGATATAGTGCCTTATCACGTCTTTGAGACGTCTTAAATCGCTTCACAGAATATACTGTAAAGTGAATTGACTGTATATTTTGTGGGCAAAACGCAGCATCAAATTGCGCACAGCAGCGTCCCACAAACACTCGTGAATAAATAATTTTTTTGAAGGAATTATTACCCCCGGAAAAGCGATCTGCCAATCGATTAACAACCGGGTTCCTACTTACTGCTGGGTAAACGGAAGCGTGTGGGGTAAAGAAATTTGCCCAACGTTTCGCCCTGGCTGGGAATCAAACCCAGGACTTTTGCCTGCGAGGCGAGTGCTCGCCTCTAACCACTGAGCTACAGGACTCCACATATATTTTGTATGAGTACTCACTTCTGCTTTGTATTGATCTCTCTCGGATGTACAGCCGTCCAGTTGTCGGAACATGTCATCCAGCTGTAAAATAAGCTCATCTTCCTCCCCCTTAATCACAGGTTCACTTTTCTCACCCGTGGAAAATTCTGTCTTCAGGTTCTCTAGAGCCTCACACTTCTCGGTTAGTCTCTTGATTTCCTTTATTGCCAATTCGTATCGGCTTGTCTGCTCCTCAGTGGGTAGTCGACAAAAGTGGTTCACTTCCTCTGCTTGGTCCCCATTGATCACAAACTCAGATGAAGTCCTTTGATGGCAGGTCTCCTTTTTCACGTGGCTCGTACTTTGTTCGGCCAGCTGTTTTTCCAGTCGTTCCAATTGCCTTTGCAACAGCTCACTTTTGGCCTTATAACGGTCTCTCTCTTCAACTGTGCAGCGAAAGGTGTCGTTCTTCAGTTGCTCCTGTTCGCTCCTGTTATCAGCGTTCTTTTCGAGGCCCTCCGAATTCGGGTGGTTTCGCGCTTCCTCATTATCACCAGGATTGAGGTTATTGGAAGAGACTTCTTCTTTAACGGAGACGGTCGAGTTCTCAGTCTGCGTGCCTGAAGATTTCTGCTCTGAGCTGTTGGTCACCACCTGGACATCACTATCGTACTGATCATCTGTTACAAAGCCAGTCTGATCTGTACTTTCCCTTTGCTCAACCTTCACTCTGGACAAGTCGAGAGATAATTTGGGTCGCGGAGTGCTTCTTTCATCAAGGATGATTAAATCGTCCTCGCCACTTGTTGTACAGTCCACGATTTCTTCATTTGCAGAGGTGGATAGATTCCTTCCTTCGTCCACCTTCAGTCGTTTTGAGCTCGGACTTGGAGCTTCAAACATAATCTTCCGTTTGGTGCTGTTTAAAGAAACAGAATATTATTTTCGTCACGTGTATCAATCACCAGAGAGAGCTGGTTGGAAATTAATCTGAAGCACTAGTTGGGAGATGAGGGTGAAATAGGGTGGGGGAGGCGGGGGAGAAAGAGAAAAAAACACATTAGGAAATGGATTTAAAATCCAAAGTGGATTTATTTTAGTATCGCATAAGAAGTCACCAATCAGGAGTATTAATCAGGTGGAAGAAGAACTCATTCCTATTAATTCTTCTCACTGTTCTATATTTTTGCTTGATCTGAATTACCATTGGAGTTCCACAAGGGTCTGTTTTGGGACCTCTTTTGTTTAATGTTTTTTTAGAAATGATCTGGATCTAGGAGTCGCAAGCAGAGTGGCTAGGTTTGCAGATGACATAAAGCTAATGAAGATGGTAGATTGCGAAGCTGAACAACATAGGTTACTGGAGGATTTGAACTTAATAGTCTTGTAGCTCAGTGGTTAGAGCACTCGCTTTGCAAGTGAGAGACCTGAGTTCAATTCCAGGCAGGTCAGGACGAAACCTTGGGCAAGTTTCCTTACTCCACACAGAGCCTAATAATAATCCCTCCAAAAACAAAAAAATAATAAATTGGTCATTTTCAATCCACGACTGTTTGTGGGACACTGGCGCCGCGTTCGCCCACAAATATACAGTCAATTCACTTTACAGCATATTCTATGAAGAGCTTTGAAATGTCGAGAAGGTGTGAAAAGCGCTATATCAAATGCAAGGATCATTATAATAATAATCCTTGCATTTGATATAGCGCTTTTCACATCTTCGAGATCACAGAATATACTGTAAATGACTGTATATTCGTGGGTGAAACGCGATAGCCAATTGCGCACAGCAGTGTCCCACAAACAGTCGTGGATTGAGTGACCAAATTATTATTATTATAAACATACTTGGGAATTGGGCAGATCGGTGGCAGATGAAATTCATTGTGGAGCAATGTAAAGTTCTTCACATGAGGACAAAAAAAATCTTGGAAAGATCTATTATTTGAACAGAAGGAAAATAATATGTATAGAAAATGAAAAGGACCTGGGGGCCCTGATTGACAATAAATTGAAGCTCTCCCAACAATGCCCTGTGGCAGTGAGTAAAGCAAACCAGATGTTGGGATGTATCAAAAGATCAATAGCAGCCGAAATAGTGGGGTAATCCCGCCACTGTATAAATCATTGGTGAGACCATACTTAGATACTGTGTACAGTTCTGGTCGCCGCAGTACAAAAAGGATAATGGAGAAATCCAGAAGATACAGAGGAGGGCAACCAAAATGATTGAGGGAACGGAGGGACTGGACTATGAGGAGCGACTCTAAATGAATTGGACATGTTCACACTGCGAAAGAGAAGATTGAGAGGCAATAAGATTGCTGTCTTTATGATTCTAAAGGGGCAAAGCAATATAGATCATGTCGGGCTGCTTCAACTTGTCCAGAATAGGAAAACCTGAGGACATGGCCTGCGATTGAAGGCGGGTAAATTCAGAACGAATCTAAGCAAACACTATTTCAGTGAGCGAATAGTGAACCTGTGGAACAGGGAGCCCGTTGAAGCAAGAAATGTTGATTCTTTCAAACACAGATACTTTTGTTAGGGAATAACATTGTGGGACATGTCGAGAAGGCGAATGTGGAAGGCGAATTAGATGAACCTTGTTCCTGTGAACGATCAATTTTATTTTGGGGTATTGTTGGAAATTTCTCTTTCCAAACAGTGCAACGGGATCTTTAACAATCATTTGAACAGCACCTCGGTTTAATGTCTCATCTGAAAGATGTCTCATCTATAAGATAGCACCTCCAACAATGCAGCACTACCCAGTACTGCAATGGAGTGTTAACGTAGACTACATGGGTTTTAAGTTCCTACATGGGACTTGACCTAAAGCCTTCTGGCTCAGAGACAAGAGTGCCAGTGACTGAATCAGGCTGAGTCAGTGTGGACAACAACATATTACACTGGTATAATGCCCTTCACGCCAGAAAGGCGTCCCATGGCACTGGACAGTCAGGGTTTTTGGAACCGAGCTGGGAGTTGGGGTTAGGAGGGGTATATTATTGGCGAGACGCAGCAGCCAACTGTGCACAGAAGTAGGAGTTCAGGAATACCGAGACCTAACAAGTGTCATTAGACCCAGGTCTCAAGATTCTGTTTGTTGATGAGCGTTACTATGACATGAATAGCAACCTAAAAACCTTAGAACACTCACCTTGGACAGTCAGCAGACAGCGATTTGACATCCACAATTTGAAGACTGCTCACAGGAGAATTTGAATTAGCAGTTGACGTTGTTGCTGTGTCGTCATTAATCTCCAACCCCAGACTCCCGTCAACCACCAACGTCGGGGGTCTCACGGTCGTAGAATTCACTTGAACGTTCTGCAACACACCACAAATTTATTTTAATTTCTGTTCCAAACATTAACAAAAAGAAATTGCAAATTAAATGTTTAATCAAGAATTTATGGCACGCGTGGTTCGGATTATTCAAGGTCATTTGACACTGTAAACATTAAAGCCCTTTCAAATATTCAAGTCGCTTTTCTAAAAACAAATTTTTCTTTGAGACGTCCAGAAGATGTGAAAAGCACTGTATCAAATGCAAGGATTATTATTATTTGCTTAACTCATTCACTGAAATTTATATAATCCTATTGTTGATTTATATAATCCTATACGCCTCAAAGCGTTTCACAGTAAAGTGAATTGACTGTATATTTTATGCTTAGAAGGAGGCAGCCAATTACACACAGCAGCGTCCAACAAACAGTCGTGGATTCAGTGACAAAACCGTTATTTTTTGAAGAAGACACCATTTTGGTTAATGGTTAAAAATTATGATGATGTAGGCTAGGAAAATGTCAGGATGACTTGTTTATCACAGCTGAAGGTTGTTGAAGATATTTTCCATAATTTATGTCTTAATTGAACGTTGCATTAAGAATGAGGTAGTTGGATGAGGTTTTCCCATAACAAATTCATGTTTTAATTAGTGGTGTGTTAAAGATATTTTCTATAATAATCCATGTTTTCATATAATAATTGGTGGTTTTAATTGTGGTGAAGCAAATGTTTTTGTCTTCGGGATAAAAATCCGTCAGACTTGGACTGTTCCATTGTTTCACCAACTCGTTTACTCCAGCAAATTCAGGGAGGAGGAAAACTGCAGAAATTGCAGAACGTCTGAATTTGTTTGAAAAGTAACGGGACGAGAAAAATAACAACGTATAACAACTGTCGAGTAAAGTAACAGCTTAACTGTACACCGCTAAAGATTCAACTTTGACTTAGTACCCAACGAACCCAAGCAAGAGGTTTCTGGTCGGAAGCAAGATACTTTTCATTGATAGAGTCTTTTGCCTGCTGTTCAGGAATTGTACCAACTGACTCCATCAAAGAAGCAAAGATTTGTATGGTTTATGGACTGAGCAATTATCAATTTATTTACTAAAATACGAACATTTACATATGTGATGAACTTGATTTGCTGTATTGTGATAATTGAACTAAGCAATTTTACATTTCTTATGAAAAGAAATTTTCAAAGCATGAGTTGCTGAGTGGGCTTTGGTTCCTCTGTTCTCGGGTCCTTTACTAAAAGTTGGCTGAGCAGAATAAGTCGGTCTTATTCTGTCCATTGCCCAGAACCCAACAGCGCCTTTGGTCACTCTCCAACCACCACCGTTCTTGCCTTCCATCCCTCCTAATCCCAACCCACAGCTCAGCTGCACATTCTTGACTGTCCAGCATTTTGGGACGTTGCAAATGGAACTTGTTGCTCTTATACACCCTTTCCTTTTCCCAATGCCAAACTATCCCAAATATTCCAATACTACTTGGTGACAAACTTGCACAAAATATTGCTCAGTAGCAACATCTGGAATACTCTCTCGGGTGTGTACTGAAAACCAATTCTTCCTTTGACCAGAAACTGGAGATATGCTTCTAGGAAAAAGATGTTGAGCTTGAGGTCTCTTTGCACTAGAAAGTTTTAGGCTTATTACGTGGGTTGAGTGTACGATGCATTTTTCACACAGCAATTTGAAGGACAATGAATAAAGTTGACCTTACATTACTTTTTTTAAAATATTTCACAAAACAACTCACCTTTGCCTGAAGTCTCCGCTGCAATAAAGCCTGTTCTTTCCGAAGAGATTCAGCTTCCCGAGATATCTTTTTTATGATGTTCTGGAGATCAGCATTTTGTTGTGCATCAAACTGGCAATCAGAAACACGAGAAAGGGGAAGGGTTATGTGCTTGACAACGGAAAGTCATAATGGACTCTACCTCGATGGCGGTGTGAGGAGTCTGGTTCCTGAGCCAGGCGGGTCTGCGAGGCACTAATGATGACAGACCAGTGAGCCTGGCTTGTAAACTAGACTTGGGAGTTACAGATTCTTCCCACTCTACTCCAATCAACTATGGGGTTTGAACATTAACCGATAAATTGATCGTGGTGTTGGAAAGAGGATATGAATTTACCAGATTTGCTGGTCCATTACTTTTTGGAGTCCTTGCTGTGATATTTATAATATATATATACACACACACACACACATTAAATGTGATATATATGTGCATTCTCCCACAAAATACACTTTACAATATATTCTGTGAAGCACTTTTTCGAAACTTCTTGACGACATGGAAGGCTCTATGTCAAATGCAAGAAGTAATATTACTATTTTGAATACTCAATTATTTCAATATAGATTTGGAAAATTTAGACTTAAAATAGAAATGGGAGGTGTTTTGCCATGAATAATTGAATGTAACTAAGTGAGAGCAATTTACATTTATAAAGCACTCTTCACGTTGGAACGCTGGTTCAGTTAGAAAAAAACATGTGGAAATAAAAGTTTGTTGGGCCTCAGAACATATTAGGGAAGTGTTCAAATCATTTCAAACTGGCTTGTTAATATTACCTGCTGCCGCTTTTTCTCCTCCTCAAGTTCCTGCTCTTTACGTTGAAGTTGTTCCTCCAAGTGCTTCTGTCAAGAGAGATTAAGATCAGAATTTTCTAGGGTAAAAGACAGGCAGGGCGGTGCTGGGGGTGTGCTATATTGTCAGTCCTTTGGATGACACATTAAACCAAGGTCCCATTTGCCTGTTCAGGACCTTAAAGACCCTATGCCACTATTCAATTAGAGAAGGAAATTTCTCCTGGTGTCCTAAGCCTTCACATATAATATAATAATAATCCTTACATTTGATAAGATGCAGTATATCAAATGAAAAGATTATTTATTACATACTTAGAAGAATAAATTGAGCAAAGAGACATTTTGTTATTCTTCTGCAATCCTCTTCATCAGCACTTGGTAAATTGAATCTGCAAACAAATTGTCCTTGGAATACTAATTTGTTTTATGATTTCTGATTTTTAGATGTAGTATGGAGTATGTCTTGGGTTCGTTTGCCAATGATCAAATCCCAAAGTAATAATAATAATCCTTGCATTTGATATAGTACCTTATCACGTCTTCAAGACATCTCAAAGGATATACTGTAAAGTGAATTGACTGTATATTTTGTGGGCGAAGCGCAGCAGCCAACTGCGCACAGCAGTTGCAAGTAAGGATGCAAGTGTTACTTTTAAAGAATTGAATCTTAAATTATTATTGCAATACTCTTGAACAGATCTTAAGTTGACCTGCCTGCACATTTGAAGCTTCTCTTACCTGTTTATCTAGATTCAGACTTTTTTGCCGATTCTTCTCACGGTTTTTTTGTTCTCTGGGGGAGTAAAGAGAAGCCATATTAAATGATTTTTTTTAAAACAAACCTGGATACATCCACAAATTACATCCACTTTAACACAATAATAATAATAATCCTTACATTTGATATAGCCCCTTATCGTTGAGATGTCTTAAAAAAATATATACTCTAATGTGAATTGACTGCATATTTTTATGGGCAAAACACGGCAGCCAATCTTGCACAGCAGTGTCCCACAAACAGTTGTTGATTGAGCAACCCAATTTTTTTTCTTACACAAGGGATTATTACCTCCAGAAAGTTATCCGCTAATCGCCTAACAACTGGGTTCCTACTTACTGCTACTAAACAGAGGCACTTAGATAATGTGCGTCACGCCAACTGGCAGGAACTTTTCTCCGACAATCTAGTTCTGGTTTCATCAGTGCCAGCAGGTTGGTGTGATGCATAATCTAGTTACTGGCAGGCTATACAAGTGCAAATTGTTGTTGTTGTGTTGCTCTTTGTAACTTCCTGTTAGGTCTCCCCACTTGAAATGTATTCATCCGGTTGTATTGCATTAGAAAACATTGGGTATGGGTAATAGGATTTTTATATTGAAGACATTTTTCTCCTCCCCTCGCAATCAATTTTTTCTATGACATTCCACGGATGGGGGCAGCCCGTACATCTCTAGCTCAACATTAGGCAACTAGTCTTTAAGGAGCTCAATGTAAGCAAAGTTCAGGATGTCCTGTGTTGAAATGATCAAACCTTGCTAAATTTGTCCCTGTAAGAATTCAAGATCAAAGGATTTTGCACTCCTCAAACTCACATTCAAATCCCTTCACTCCCTGCCATCTCCTTAGCTCTCTGACCTCTTCACCTCCGCTCGACTGGCACTGGCCTCCTATTCGTCCCTCGCACCCTCCACTCCACCATTGGAGGTCGCGCTTTGAGCCACTACACCTCAAAACTCTGGAACACGCTTCCTCAATCCCTCCCCATTGCCCTCTCTCTCCCCTTTTTTAAGTCCTGCCTGAAAACCTTCCTTTTCAACCGTGCTTGCAGCCCCCTCCCCCCTCCCCCAGCTCGGAGTCAGGCTCTGCCACTGTTAAGCGTTCTGCCACGATACCCTGCGTGGAGGGCGCTATATAAGTGCAAGTTGTTGTGGTATACTTTTAAGAATGAGAAAAATATTCTTTACCATTGCAATAAATTATCTTCCTGATATTCACTTTTTGCCAACAAATAACACACGACAACAATTACCTGTGAAGTTGGAGACATTTCGGCGATATATTATTTTAGTTATTACGTATTGTACATGCTTAGAGCACAAGTTTTTCTTTGAACTGCAGAATCGTTCACAACACAAAATACAAACATTTACTCAACCTTAAATGTTCCTAATTTGGACAATAAGTCCATAAGTCTTACACCACCCAAACATTCAGTGAGACAGACTTACTGTTTTTTATATGTTTTTTCATAACTGGGAGTAAATTCAAAAACGTCTTCAGGTTCTTCTGGGACAGTGCAATTCCTAATGAACAATGAATATTCAAAGATTAAAAAAAAGTGAATAAGGATTTTGGTGCAATGAGGCAAAATAGTAACTTTACTTTTTAAACTACAGCCCTAATACATTTAAACTTGTACTTTGTGCAATCTCAAACCAGTCGGTCAACAAGTGCGACATTTTACCAATCTCCTAGAATATTTAAGAATGACATCCAAAATGATGCTGCAAAACTAACATTATTTTGCAAATAAACAATTCAGTACTTCCACACTAAACATCTGATGAAACAACAGCACAAGGTAAAATAAAGGAAAATATTTTAATGGTGAATGTTAGTTATGAGGAATGCTTAACCCGATGTGAAAGACACTATATAAATGTAAAATTGCTGCTATTATTATTTCTTTGTTCCATTTGAAACAGACATAGGATTCAGAAATATTACAGCTACAACGGGTCAATAACAGCTCATGATAAAAATGCTCATTTCCTCTTACCTAAATTGTGGGTCTGGGTTATTGATGCAGAACCATTTATCAGGCAGATTGTCTGAAGTTATACCATCCGGAAGCTTTCTCCATTTCAAACAACTATCGCACTGAACCCAAACCTGATCAGGATCGTTCCTAGAACAACAAAAGATGGTATGCATTTTGCTTTTAACTTGTACAAGAATATGCCAAACTCAAATCCTCAGACGAAATAAATGAATATTTGAATAATGAATAAATAAATGAAATAATGTACATTAATTCATATTCAAAATGCTGAGTTATATGGTTTATACGTCAAATCAGATCCCATCATAAATATTTGCAGAATTTCAAATGTATATTTGTGCCCCAATCCAAAGTGTATGAATTTCCCTCGCCACAGATTGCTAAAAACTGGTAATCAGATTGACAATTTGTGTTTCATCCTTTCACTCATTTTTCTAATCGTTGACTTTATTCTAGGTTTTCCCTTTTCCCTATTGAGTTCCCATTGAAACGATACCCGTTTTGCCAATGATATTTACACCTGACCGTTTTAGAAGATTATCTTGCACCATTTCACGACCCATGAAAAAGATCCACCTAGATGACAAGTAGCGAGACTTGTTTATTTCCCAGATACATTCCCACTAGCTTTAAATTAATCTCTTGGTGGATTCTCTGCAGTTCACCCATGTGGGTGCACATCTAGTGACTTAATTAACTCACCTTGTTTTTAATCATTAACTCCTCTTTCAATTGTCCCCACCCACACCCTTCGAAAGGCTTTGGATTTTCCTCCCATCTAACGTATTTTGGCATCCATGTACCTTTTAAATACAGAGGATGGGAAGGGAATCTCCACTAAGGCTTCTGCTAACTATAAAAGGCTGACGCACACAAAGGTGCCTGAAATGACTAATTTCTCCTCACTGCAATATTCCATTTCAGACTTGGAATTCACTAAGTAAACAGTCATGGATTCTAACAATAGCATTTCTTTTTTTTCAAAGGATCACTGACACGCTGCTTTATACAAAACACACACAAACGTGCATTGAAATGAACCGACTTTTTAAACACTCCTGATAATATTAACCGTACAAGAGAAAACTGCCAAAGTCTGACCCTGTTCAAAGAACTTTCTCCCTACTACAAATATGATCTGGAAGTGCATTCACTCAAGGTGACTGAGTAACACTTCAACAATTCGCCATCTTACACAGAGCTAATTTCGACAAGTGGGCTTCATTGCTGAAATACCCTGAGAAAGAGAGCATAGCCACACAAATACTCACTGTTCATCTTCTACCAGAATAAAGCTCTCTGGATTCTCCTCGTTCCTTTTGTGCTTTTTCTCATACCAGTAATCATTCAGTTTTTGTCCCAGTGCTGCAATTGTTAGTCTTTTTTTGTACAAAAAAAGAGAAAATTTTGAGAAGGCAATTCCGCTTGCAAGAGTATAACATTTGTATTGAATTCAGTCTGATTGCAAAGTTAAGACAACTTGTTGAGAAGGCCACAGAAAATTCATGAGTTTTCAATGCCATTTAAAAGTGAATGCTTTAGTTACTGCTTCAATTGCTCTTTTGGAATATCATTTTGCCAGGAGTAATAATTCCTTAAAAAAAATAGTTTGGTCACAAAATCCACGACTGTTTGTGGGACACTGTTGTGTACAATTGGTTGCCACGTTTCTCCCACACTCAATTCACTTACAGTATATTCTGTGAAGCGCTTTGAGACGTCTTGAAGACGTGATAAGGCGCTATATCAAATGCAAACATTATTATTGTTGTTAACATACAAAAACTTGCGTCCCAGAGCATTTGACGACGCTGAGCTAGGGGGAGGTGACCGTAGGCACGGTTGAAGAGGAAGATGGGGAAAAATGGGGTAAGGCGGAAGGATTGAGAGAGTGTTCCAGAGTTTCGGGGCGTAATGGCTGAAAGCCCGGCCACCGACAATGGATTGGAGGGAACGAAGGGCAAGCAGGAGACCGGAGCCAGTTGAGCAGAAGGTACGGATAATGGGTTACATCAATCATGATAAATGACATGATATTACCATGGGAATCTGTATCACCAATTCCCCATAAGGCCCACAATCTCAGGTAGTTAGGCAATGATGCAGCAAGTGAGTTCCTTGTAGTAGCTGGCTCATATACAATATTGTCAAGAAAAAATATCATGGCCAACTTGGTGACCTAGGAATGAATGGTGCATGGCCAGCTAGAAAATTTAGCGAAATTAGATAAATCCATAAACTAAATGGATTAGATAAATTCTTGCATTTGATAGAGCACCTTTCAAGTCAGGACATCTAAAAGCACTTCACTGGATATAGTGTAAAGTGTAAGCAAACGTAGCAGCCAATTTGCACACAGCGATCTCCTACAAATGGCCATGAAATGAATGTTCAATTTTACTTGTTGGTGAAAACACCAGGAAAACTTCCTTTCTCTTTGCAAATAGTGCTGTGAGATTTTTAATGTGCACCTGAAAGAAAGTCGGGGAGCTCGGTTTAACGTCTCAACTGAAGGATGGCACTACCAACAATGCAGCGCTCCCCCACCAGTACAATAAATGAACCATAGACATTTACATAGTTCTTTTCACCTAACGTGTCTCAGAGATATTGACAAATGGGAGAACATGGAGAGAAATGTTTTTATGAGGTTCGTGAAGGCAAGGGAAGAGGTACCAAATGGAAGTGGTTTGTGAAAAGGATTCACTGTTGAAGTCAATACTCCCCTTTAACTTTTACTCAATTATAATTCTCCTTTTAGCCTCTCCACTATCTCATGCTATCCTTCAATTCAGTCTATTCTAGTAGCACATTTTGCATTACTTAATGAAAATGAACTCTCTATAATTCAGCTTCAAAGTGTTCCGTCTGCTGGCTAACCAAGAAAAGATTAAACTGGGTCTCACCACAAATAATAATATTCCTTACATTTGATATGGCGCCTTGTCAAGTCTTCAAGGTCTCAAAGTGCTTCAACAGAATATACTTTAAAATGAATTGACTGTATATTTTGTGTGAGAAACGCAGCAGCCAATTGCGCACAGCACAAACAGTCGTGAATTCAGTGACCAATTTTTTTTGAAGGAATTATCACTCCTGGAAAAGCAATCCACCAATCGATTAATGACTGTGTTCCTGCTTACTGCTAGGTAAACAGAAGTGTGTGGAGTAAGTTAAGTTGCCCAACATTTCTCTCTGCTGAGAATCGAACCCAGGTCTCTCTCGCTTGCGAGGCGAGTTTTCTAACCGCTGAGCTACAGTGGAGTCCTGTAGCTCAATGGTTAGAGCACTCGCTTTGCAAGCGAGAGACCTGAGTTCAATTCCAGGCAGAGGGCGAAACCTTGGGCAAGTTTCCTTACTCCACACAGAGCCTAATAATAATCCCTCCAAAACCAAAAACAATAATAAATTGGTCATTTTCAATCTACGACTGTTTGTGGGACATTGCTGTGCGCAATTGGCTGCCGCGTTCACCCACAAATATACAGTCAATTCACTTTAGTGTGTTCTGTGAAGCGCTTTGGGACGTCCTCCCGATGTGAAAAGCGCTATACCAAATGCAAGGATTATTATTATTATTAATAGCCCTAGCCCTAAGACTAGAATTTAAACTCAGGACATGTTAAATATTAAGACCGCAATAACTACCATACAAGGGACTAATAGTTTAACACAGTCTCACAAATGTTTGCCAATATTTTCTTAAAGGTTCCTTTTTTAAAAAAACAAATTCGCTCTAGTACTTATATTTGCGAGGCTCCATTTAGAATATAGTTTGTTTGTATGACTTAATTTTTTTCTATATTATAGACGAGCCATATAAGGCAGGCAGCTGTGTAATTGTAAGGTTAATGCTTCTATCACAAAGTGACCAGACTTATAAAAATAATTGAAATATACAGCTAGAATTCTATTGTTTGTTGAAAATAAAATTGAATACACAGAAGGATGAATTTTCTTTGTGAAAAACAAAGAAAGTCAATGCAAATAAGTGATGCCTGCCCTGGTTCTAATTTCAAAGTGGTCGATGTACATATCTAGTCATGTCAACCAGTAGACATGCAGTGCTTATTGGAATAAATGCACCGTAGGACTGAAAGGCAGTTTGACATGACATCTAATTTTTAAATAATAAATCCAAACATAATACCTAAAATATACAATACCTTTTCTTGATAGATTTGATTTGTTTCTTAAAAACTTTAATCTCAGATATGCTAACTTCATGGACTCAGGATAACATTGCAGGTAAACTTTATAATAGCCCCCATAGTACAAAAATAAGTCAAGTTAGAATTAAATATGTATCCATTAAGGGTTGGTTACCAGAAGAAAAAATATTTTCTCCCCAAGCCAGCTATTTTCAATAACTTATTATATATGTCAGTTCAATCAATCAAAAAAATACTTACAAGACCTTCTTATTCTTTTAGGAAATAACATTATGGGATATAGTACATAGGTAGTTTGGGACATATGTGCATGTGACTGCCAGGAAGGTGGAAGGTGAACTAGATGGACCTTGGTCCTTTTTCGTCTAGCATTTATGCTCTTATGTTAAGACCGTCGGCGTAATTTCTACATGTCAGCCTAGCTCAGTGGTAGCACTATCGCTTCTGAGTCAGAAGGTTATGGATTCAAACCCCACGTCAGGACTCAAAACCATATAGTCTAAGATGACACTCCAATGCGTTGCTGAATGAGACAATAAACCAAGGGCCCATCTGCCTGTTCAGGCGGACGCTAAAAATCCCATTAATTCGAAAAGAGAAGGGAGTTTCTCCCGGTGCCCCGGACAACAATCCCCCAAATAAAAAAATTGGTCATTCACTTCACAACTGTTTGTGGGACGCTGCTGTGCGCCACTGGCTGTTGCTTTTCACCCACAAAATACAGTCAATCCACTTTACAGTACATCCTGTGAAGCGCTTTGAGATGTCTCGACGACGTGACAAGGCACTATAACAGATGCAAGGACTATTACTATTATTATTAATAAGCACTCACAAATTGATTCTGTACACTTTGCAGCAAATATATTCATGCACTGTAGTTATTTAGCATTTGGAAAAAGTACTTTCAATACAACTTTAAGTTACCTGAAGGAGAACAGGAGTTCTGGCCTGAATAGTGACCCTGTACAAAAACTGCTCAGGTTAGTGTCTTATAATCAGCATAGAGTAGGTTAAACTGGAATGGACCAGATAGCTGCCCAAGGATGGGGAACAAAGACAGGAAAGAGTAACTGAATAACAAGTTCATATTAAGACAGTGGGAAGAGACGGAGTTAGGGATATGAGAGACAGCTAGAAGGGGGTGGTATTAGAGTGGTAGGCACAAAACTTAATTACAGCATTGTGATTGGAGCATTATACCTATATATGGAATGTGTGCCAAGTATTCTTTGTTCGAACGACAAGAGTGTGCCTGGACTGTAACCTGTTTGCAGTGCGGTAATAAAGAAGAACTTTTGAAATCTACCTGAAGTCTGAAGGTTATTTTACACTCATAAAGACAGTTTAAGAAGTAACCCAACATTACCTATAGTCATTTGTATAATCAAAATCTTGCTTGTTGTGTGTGGGCTTGAGGAAGTCACATGCAATAACTCCTATGACACCCACTCCCATGTTGTTTGCCTGAAAATAAATAAAATCAAAGGATTCATAGCACTGGTGTTAACATTTCAACTTCTAAACTATGCAAACAGTAAACTGTAAACGTGCTTACCCTGAGCTGACAGCCAACCTTTTCGTAAGCTTTAATGAGTCGGTTCTTGTGGTACATCATTATTCCGTAATGTTCTTTGATTTTGCAGTTGAAGCCAAAGGTTATTTTGATGTTTTTCAACTTCAGATTGGGGTTAAGGAACTTGTGAATCGATTATTTTTAAAAGCAAGTAAAAATACCAAAAGCATGTCAAAAAATCAAACAACTAAAAAATACTTCAGTAAAAAGATACAGAAAACGTTGGTCTGTATAGATCATGCTCAATGTGAGCAAGACTTCTGGAAATAAGCTGTGTTTTGACTTTCTTTCCTCGAATAACGATTTGCATGCGTGGCTTTAAGTATAAAATACTACAATATGCCTGCAAAATGAAATGTTAAAATAGGTTAGCTCATGAACACCGCAGTTCTATTCTGTTAATCACTGCTTGCACAGCCATTTCAACTTAGCAAACAAACAAGATAGTAATAAGATAATTTTCTTAGATATAAACACTGGAATATAAAGAAATAAAGACATCTATCTATTACAGGAACAAGATAATTATATTAACTGCCTCATTTGGTAAGAGAGGTTTCTTTCTCATGCTATCATTACAAGTTGCATCTTCACATTTTGTTTTTAAATTTTAAATAAAAATTATAAGCCCTTCAAAAAAACCTTTGTCATTCATTCCATGACTGTTTGTGGGACACTGCTGTGCACAATTGGCTGCCGCGTTTCGCCCACAAAATCTGCAATTACTACATTTCACAGTATATTCTGCGAAGCACTTTGAGATGTCTTGAAGACATGATAAGGCTCTATATTAAAAGCAAGGATTATTATTACTAGTAGTTTATATTCCAGTAGAATGGAAATAAATATTTCAGATTTTCCAGAGTGGCTTGCTTCTTCAATTTTAGGATTGATTCAACACAAATTAATAAAGCAGAAAGTTACAGAATTCAATTTATAATCACCAAATCTGAATCATAGAATCGATTCGGCTCATCATGCCTGTGCCAGCTCTTTGAAAGAGCTATCCAATGAGCCCCATTCACCCACTCTTTCCCCATAGCCTTGCAAATATTTTCTTTTCAAATATATATTGAAGTCCCTTTTGAAAGTCATTATTGAATCTGCTCCCACCACCCTTTCAGGCAGAGCATTCCAGATGAACTAGAAGGAAATGGTTCTCTGAATCAGCACTTACTCTTAACGAATAGTCACTGTCAGGCACAATTTGGTCCTTCCGCTCTTGTCTCTTATATTTTTTCGATTCATTGTTTTCATCTAAAATATCCTCAGGGATTCTGAAGTCATACTTGTCGGTTTCAAAGTCAAACTCTGGCTTTCCATCGTTGGTTCTTGGAAGAAAATTGCATTGTCCAAACTTGTGAATCAGGTTTTAAAGCATTAATACATATTAGCTTCAGAAATTTAATTCAATTGTTCACACCTGACACTGTGTACTTACTCTTGAAATTTAAAAAAATGGCTGGGGATTTAAAGCACATCTGTCATAATTCCAGATGGTAGGAATTAGCACCATTTAGTTGTTTCGAAATTTGCCCCACTAGGAATTTATTAGTTAGGCAACATTCGCAAACCAATCAACCAAATAAAGACAGCTTCTGTTCTCTAAAATAAAGTGGCACTCCGGGGAAAGATCCATACAGATAGCATTTTTGCCCACAAAATACAGTCATTTCATTTTACATTATACGAACAGCTTTGAAATGTCTCAAAGAAGTGATAAGGCATTATGTCAAATGCAAGGTTTATTATTTATTATTGTAGCATTTATGGATGTTACCCCAATATCCAACTTCAGAACCCAAGCAGGGGGGAAATGGTGAGGGGAGGGAAGGGAGGGAGCGAGGAGGGGGGAAATGGTCAGGGTGAGGGAAGGGAAGGGAGGGAGCGAGGAGGGGGTAGAGAGTCGAGAGGGGAGCTGAAGGCACGGTTGAAGAGAAAGGTCTTGAGACCGGCCTTGAAGGAGGAAAGGGAGGAGGCGGCGAAGGCACTGGGAGAATGGAGTTCCAGAGCCTCGGGGCTGAGAGGCTGAAGGCCCGACCACCGATGGTAGGGCGGTTGGGGCGGGGGATGTGGAGCAGACCGGAGCCAGAGGAACGGAGGGTACGGGCAGGTACGTAGGGGGATAGTAGGTCGGAGAGGTAGGAGGGAGCAAGGCCGTGAATGGCCTTCTTTGTGAGGATGAGGAAGTTCGCCAGCTCACTAAAGCAGGACAGACCTGGCCACTTAACCCAATAACAGGCTTCCTTCTTGTGAGCCATTGCCTTCACCAAGGCACACCCTGCTCCACAAGTCCAATCAGTTGGACATTCAGAATAAAGGACAATGTAGCGTCATGTCTAGACTATTTGTTTTGGGTTCGATTCCTGGCAGGGCGAAATGTTTCCTTACTCCACAGGACTCTGTGTACCTAGCAGTAAGTAGGAACCTGGTTGTTGGCGGATTCCTTTTCTGGGGGTAAAAATCCCTTCTAAAAAAAAATTATACATAATAATTTGGTCACTTAATCTACAACTGTTTGTGGGACACTGCCGTGCGCAATTGGCTGCCGAGTTTTGCCCACAAAACATACAGTCAATTCACTTTACAGTATATTCTGTGAAGCACTTTGAGGCGTCTCAAAGATGTAATAAGGCGCTATATCAAATGCAAGGATTATTATGATCTAAGTATGAACAGTAAAAGACCCAGCTTCATGAAACACAAGCATCAGCAGAGTTTTAAAAAATAAAATAAAGCCTGAAGCATATGTGGAAACCTAGTTGGGTATTCTGCTCTCTCTTACTGTTAACATAATATCTTAACAATAAACTTTCCCCAAGACTTTTCATTAACTTTAAAAAGAAATGTACTTGATACATTCTAGATATTAATTTAGTTTATAAAAAATAACTTACTGTCTTATATTCCAAATGATTATCTTGGTTCCTTGTTTCCCGGATATAGCTTCCAATTCTGTCAAGAGTTCCTTTTCAGTACTGAATAAAGAATACTGCAGGATGGCTTTCAGACTGGTCTGAAAATTTTGCGAAAGTTTCTGTGAGGCTTGTATTAAGGAACATATATACAAATAATCAGTTTCTAATTTCTGCATTTTTTCCACTTCTGTTGATTTTTAACCAATTAAGGGTAATTAGATTGCAAACAATTCAGAACACATACTTTCAAACAGAAGGCTTTGGTTTAGCCCCCACATCTCTCACCCCCCACCTCCCATATGGTTCTCATTTAACATTGGGATATTCAAAACAACAAATTAAAACAAATGTTGAATCATACAGCACAGAAGGAGGCCATTCGGCTCATCTTGTCTGTGCTGGCTTTTTGAAAAGAGCTATCCAATACAACAATCCCACTCCCCCGCGCTCTCCCCATAGCCCTACACACTTGTCCCCCCCAAATAATTATCTACTTCTCTCTTAAAAGTTGTTATCGAATCGGCTTCCACCACCCTTTCAAGCAATGTATTCCCGATCCGAACAACTCACTGTGTGAAAAACTTTCTCCTTACTTCCCCTTTGTTTTTTGTAAAAACGATTTTAAATTGGTGTCCTCAGGTTACCGACCCTCCCGCCAGTGTCTAAAACAATGCACATGCCATGCAATAAGAGTTGAACTCCTCATTCACAATCTCCCAAGTGGAGTTAGCTCCTCACCTTGGTCATGCTAACATGGGGAGGTGCTAAACTGACAAATAGTTCCTGTATAGGCAGGGACAGAAGAGAAAGTTGGCAGGAGAATAATAATAATAATCTCTCAGCAGCCATTTTCAGACAGTACTTGAGTGCCAGGAGGGACCACATACTGACCATAAAGTTCTGATCAAGACAATGATGCACAGCACAAGGCAAAAGGCAAGAAAATGTGCAAAACAACTTTAAAGCGACTTCCAAATCGGAAATCAAACCATTTTTAACAAAGGATATTTTTCTGGTTGAAATTAATAATTGGTACAATCACATTTTCTGCTTTGATCGCTTCGAGATAACTCTGAGACAAAACACCCACACTAAAGGTGTCTCCGTTTTTTGTGAAGACCATGGCGTCCTTTCCTAACCGCATAGATCCAGACTTGAAACCATTGCCATAAAGCCCGACTGGAACGTGTCCGTTTATTGCAACTTTATCACTAAATCCGAAGCTTTTGAGGGAGGGGGGGAAAAAGAAAGACAAAAAAAGTTCACATTAAAATCAAAGCATAAAGTATAGCGTTTCAAACATCTCAAAACAGGTCAAATGTTGCAGTCATTTTTTAAGAACTTAGCAGCCATTTTGCACAAAGCAAGGTCCAATAAAGACACGTGAAATTAATGACCAATTTACCAGGAGGACTGTGGGCCAGCACACGAGGAGAATCTCCCTTTGTTTTCAAAAAAATGTCATGGAATCATCCACTTCCTTAACAGGCAGATGGAGCCTTGGTTTAACATCTCATCCAACTAACACAACTTTCGACAATTTAGCACTTTCTTTGTGTTACACTGAACAAGGAGTTGAAGTCAAGCCGCAAAGTCAGGAGCTGCCAGTTGAGGCTGCAACGTTTCAAGTTGGGGGAGAAACGAAAGTCGCAAGAAATCATCATGCTTCGGTGGTCTCCGGTGGCTGATTAAGGCACTGTGACACTGAGGGCATCCGAGAGTATTTCGATCCCCACTTCCAGTCCCTGACCAGCACTGCCTTCCTGCACAATAGCTCGCCTCCAACCGTATCTTACCCAGGACGCAGCCGAAACACTCGACCAAATGTTCGTCAATTCCCAACTCGACTTTTCAAATGTCCCCTTTGCCCATCTCCCCAGTTCCACCATGAACAGGATCCGGCTGATCCAAAACTTTGCCACCCGCACACTCACCCGCACTAAACTCTGTATCTCCATCACAGCAGTTCTAGCCAGGCTCCACTGGCTCCCTATCGCCGAACAAATAAATTTCAAGATCCTCACACTAGTTTTCAAATCCCTTCTTACCCTGGCACCTCCCTATCTCTCTGCTTACCTCACAACCCGCTGCCTCCACTTGACTGGTTCCGGCCTTCTTCATGTCTCTCGTGCCCTCAATTCTACTATTGGTGGCCACCCTCTTGGCCACTAAGGCCTGAAACTCTGGAACACTCTTCCTCTAGCCCTCCACCTTGCCCGTTCCTTCCCCATCTTCAGGTCGCACCTGAAATTCTTCCTCTTCTACCGTATCTATGGTCACCTCCCACTCCCCCTGGTCAGCGTCATGCTCTGCCACTGTCAAGCGTTTGGGACACTACCCTGTGTGAGGGGCAAGTTGTTGTCAGAAAATAGGGGATGAAAGAAAAATTAAGGGGGATATTTATTAGAACATCGTCTGAAAGCTAAAGATGTAACAATAATAGTGGGAGAATAAAAGATTTCATAGGAATCACTGAAACAAGGAATTGCAAAATTCGATTAGACCAAATCACCTATGAGTAATATACTATCATCCACTACATAGTAACAGATTGTTTAAGTACCTTCAATATTGGACGTGATGAGCAGAGACGTTGATTGTATGTGCCACAGTACTTTTATGTTTAATACTACTGCACCCACTCCTACTATTAACCTGGTTTCCTCAGTGTGAGTTGCTGCTGTACTGGACGAAACTCACTTCCTCTGTTACCTGACCTTCCTTCTAACAATAACTAAGTAAACAAACGTGGGGATTGTTTTTTAACTACAACACCCAGTTCCCTATGATCCGTTCTGGCCTCTTTGACAATTCACTGAAAATCCAGCTATTGATCAACTGAAATGCGGTAACGCTGTCAGACCTTAGGTCTCTCCAACCCCAACTCCACTCCCCGATGTTAAATAATCCAGGAACTAAAATATTCATTTTTAGTTCTGTTACTGCTTTGACTATGAAAATAATTGTGTTTTAGAGGGTTGTGGCAAAAAAATTTCAGTAAATGGCAGGTATTTTCATCGGACGCGTACCATTACCATATATGCTTTGCCTTTTAATTTCAGTTTTATTGATTTTCTTTTCAATTTATTATTCTCTCTCAATTTGATGGGTGAAAATACAAAACTTCCGGTTTCAACGTACAAACTGCAACAGATAAATCATCATACATCAATCAGGCAGCTTTTTCTCCAATAGATAATGTAAAATGGGATAATATACAATACTCATAAAATGTGATTTACTTTAGTCAGAACTCTTTTAAGTGAAGTCAGCAATTAATCAACTAACATTATCCATATTGCATGCGTCACAATAACTCCCAATGTTTTAAACTTAGTGCAACATACAATGCATGATTGTGTCAAGTTTGGACGTGAATCCACGAGACAAATTATCCTGGGAAATAATTCCATCCCATGACAATTTACATTAAGTTAAGTGCAGTTTCTTAATAGCTACCGGTGAAGACAAATACATCTTTTTCAGATTTTTGATGATCGTTGTTGATCAGAGCGACATATTGATGGATCTAGAACCTGCTTTTTCTGCCCGTGAAGGCTCAAAGGGATCTGTTTTTTTCCCAGAATTGATAAGTCATTTCTGGGATTCATAAAGACCGCCACTTAAAACCCCTCATCCTCACCTGACTCCACTGGCTTCCCATCACACAGTTCACAGAGGATACAGTTCTAGATCCTGTTCCTCATCTTCAAAGCCCTCCAAGGTCTTGCTCCCCCCCTACCTCTGCGACCTTCTAATTCACCAGCTCCCTCCGGTCAACAGGCCTGCTTCACGTCTCCTGCCTTGCCACCATTGGTAAGCGGGCCTTCAGCTACTCTGTCCCCACCCTCTGGAACTCCATCCACCCTGCAGTCCCTCCACCTCGCAACCTTCAAGATCCGTCTCTTCGACCATGCCTTCAGTCACTCTCCTTCCCCCCTTGCTCTCCACCCGCCCTGATCCTGACCCCCAGCTCGGGTCCGAAACACTGATTGCCCAGCACCTTGGGAAGTTCTCTCGACGTGAAAGACGCTATACAAGTGTAATTTTGTTGTTGTTGTGGTTGACAGAGTTCTAGGACCTCTTTCAGCTTATCATGCCTGACCCTCAACTCCATCATCTGGCTGTCCTGGCCAGCCCACAAACTCTTCTTGGGTGGGCTCGAGATCTGTTTCCTGGTAAATCTGCTGCAAACAAACAACTTTGGGGTCACCTCCTCTGGCCGACTTTTCTCTATTTGTGCTTTAAAGACAAGCACAGGGTCACTTTCAATTCATTCCTAGACAGGACATTGATAGCTAATGACACTTTCCTTGTGTTGACTGAAACACTCAATATCCTTAACAAATCAAAGCAAAAACATCCAAAAGAGGTATGGTCCCAGTGCACACTTGTAAGTTAACAGTCCCCCAACAATTTCAGTTTGGTTGCAATTTTTTTTGTCAGCTGGGTGTCTGACACATGTGGAAACCCATCACCGTGCTCGAGTCTCCAAATCAAACTGAGAACTCCGTGCATCCCACTAACACATGGAAATTCCAGCGATAGATCCTGGAGGGATGCATCCTGCTTACCTAATTCCAGGAAGGATTGGAGCAGATTGGCAAGAGCCAAAGCTTGGGGACCCCAGCGTGTGCGTTCAGGTACTTTTGGAGTTTAACCAGTGAAAAATGCATAGCTTGCCAGTTATATCACTGTCTGGAAAGCTTTGGTTGCAAGAAACAGTTCATGGGACACAAACAGTTGTTGAGCTTGACAGATTTGTTCCATCCACCTAAGAAAACACTTAGCATTTAAGTTAACTTCAGAGTTACACTGTGTAGATGAAAAAAGGAATGGAAATTTCCTGTTGTAGACAACTGCGATTTAGGCATTACTTGAATATGTCCAATTTTGCCTTCTGCTGTCAGAAGATACCGTTTCTACATCCTTGGATGCATTTTTAAATACATTTGGTCTGAATCCAATGCAGTGTACAAAATTCAGTTTCCCACTTCCTGCCAACTATAATATTCTTTTACTAACTTCATTTGGCTTTACCTAGTTTACTGGAGGCAAAATCACTGCATAATTGGCACTTGCAGGCACTCTCATTTAAAGTAGCTGTCAGAGTAATAGAAAAAGACGTGGAACTGATGAGTCGTTTGATGATGTAGCAGACCTACTGTTGTCCTACTGTTGACACCAGCTAATTCAACACTCCCAAGTAGGGAATCTTCCTGATCTGGATGGTTCAGTGACATAGGAGATTTACCAAAAACCATTCCCAGGTGTTTAGTTTTACTCACATTTGTAACAGATTCAGGAGGAGACTAACAAGTGGTTGTGTAATAATCCAACAGTTTATTTAAGCAATCAATACAAATAGTCAACAGGTCCAATAAATTAGCCTAACTTGTTCTTCAAACCAGGATAATAGATACAGTAGCAACGATATTATATTATATTATTATATTATACACGCATTTGTCACCTCAAGGCTCAACTACGGAAACTCCCTCGTCGGCCTCCCCAATTCTTCCCTCCACAAGCTGCAGATCATCCAAAACTCTGCAGCTCGTGCACCAGGCTCCGTGACCCTATCACCTCCACCCTCGCCCAGCTCCACTGGCTCTCCATCCCTCAGGGGATTGAATTCAATATCCTCGTCTCACTTTCAAGGCCCTTCAAGGCCTTGCCCCCTCCTACATCTCTGACCTGCTAACCCCCTATCAATCTGTCCGCTCCTCCGCTCACCAGACTCCGGCCTGCTCCAGGTCTCCTGCCCGACCCGCCCCACTATCGGCGGCCAGGCTTTCAGCCTCTCTGCTCCCACTTGTTGGAACTCCATCCCACAATCCCTTCGCCCCACTCCCTCTCTTGCGTCCTTCAAGGCACGATTCAAGACCCTCCTTTTTGACCATGCCTTCAGCCACCCTCTTACCCCTTCTGCCCTCTCTCATCCCACCTACGCTTGGGTCCGGATTCCTGACTGTTCAGCGCCTTGAGACGTCCTCTTGACGTGAAAGGCGCTTTACAAATATAATTTTGTTGTTGTTGTTTTAACTCCGCCTCCCCTTCCTTGGTCATTGGTCTAACTATCAGCTTTTGTTATTGGCTTCCTCTTATGTGTTCTATCACCTTATCAACCCCATCCTCGCCCAACTCCACTGGCTTCCCATCACACAGAGGATATAGTTCAAGATCTTGGTCCTCACCTTCAAAGCCCTCCAAGGTCTTGCTCCCCCTACCTCTCCAAACTCCTAACTCCCTACCACCCAGTTCGCTCCCTCCGCTCAACGGGTTCCGGCTTCCTTCACGTCCCCCGCCTTGCTGACCCCATTATTAGTGGGTGGGCCTCCCGTCACTCTGCACCCACCCTCTGGAACCGCATCCTGCAGTCCCTCCATCTCGCCCCCTCCCTCGCCACCTTCAAGACCCACCTCAAGACCCTCCTCTTTGACATGCTTTCAATCTCTCTGCTTCCCCCCTCCCCCACCTCGACGCTCAGCTTGGGTCCATAACTCTGTCTGTCCAGCGCCTTGGGATGTCCTACCGATGTGAAAGGCGCTATACAAATGTAATTTTTTGTTGTTGAAGAACATGATTACTCAGACCTCGTGTCAGGATAACATCTCTCCACAATATTATCTGACCCCGTGGCAAGAGGACTCATGAATTAGGACCTTGTTATCAGGAACTCAAAATGACCCACATTGAAATGTGTTTAAACTAACAGAAGTGAGCAAAAAACTGGATTTTGAGAGACGAAGAAGAAAAATAGCTTACTGTTATATTTCATGATACAAGCCCAAAACTGCGATGTCCAACCTTTAAATAAGATTTTTATGCAAGTCGTTTTGGAAATCATTCAAAACGCAGTCCAAGTATGATGAAAGCCAACACAAAAGGAGTGGCAGAAATGTTTTACTGTAACTTCAAAAGTTTGAAATCTACATTGTACAAGCACAGTGAAAGCAAACATGGTTATTATCTTTCTCTAGTCTCTCTGCCACCTTAGCATCCAAGCAAGATACCAGCTTTCTCAATTTGCTAGTGTCATCCAAAATTAGGGCGTTAAAAAGCATGAAATACCTCAAAATTATTTACTGGTTTCAAAAGCAGCTTACCTCAACATTTTGTGCAATTTGTCGAGATTCATTCCACGTCCATCGTCAGTGAACGTCAAGCAAATGTGATCCTTTATCAAAGTCTTATCGATCCAAATTTGCCTTGCATTTACATCTGGATCATACGCGTTATCTATAACAGAAAAATACAAGCATATAAATGCACTTCACCTAATTTTATTCAATGCTTGGTAAATATGTACAAGAGCTCCTCAAGCTGTTGATTTTACCACACTGCCCGCTTCCCCTTTATCTATTAATGTAATGTATCTAGAACATCACAATTTCATGAAGTTACAGAGGATTAAATGTGTTTCGGTCACAAGACTAACGAGTGGGTGAACAAGTTCACAGAATTTGAGTGGGTAGAAAATAAACAACATACGGTTTCTGCTATTTTTTAAAAAAGTGTCAATCTGTTGTTAGGTGAAAACCACTCTAATGTAAGAAAAGCAGGATGACCACACAGATTGCAAAACCAAAGCGAATATATTGACTGGTCAGTGAAGTTAACCAGCTGTAATTGTGTTTTTTGTTTACATTTTTATATTTCTCAGTCGAGGGTGCATCAATGAATTCTACCCAAGTTTATGCTAAGTTTATGTTGCGGCATATGATAGAGAAGTCTGAAACCGAAACTGCTCATTCGACAGGGAAGGGCCTGCCTCGTTGTGGTATTCTGATGATATAATTGGTTAGCATATATGTTGTTTTTTGCCTCATGAACTAATATCTGCAGTGATCTTCAGTGGAGTCCTACAGCGCAGTAGTTAGAGCACTCGCCTCGCAAGCGAGAGACCTGGGTTCGATTTCCGGCAGGGCGAAACCTTAGGAAGTTTCTTTACTCCACACGTCTCTGTTTACCTAGATGTAAGTAGGAATCTGGTTGTTAGTTTGGCAGATTGCTTTCCGGGGATAATAATCTCTCCCCCACCAAAAGAAAAAAAATAATTTGCTCACTCAATCCAGCTGGTCACGGTGAAGCGCTTTGAGACATTTCGAAGACGTGATAAGGTCTATATCAAATGCAACGATTATTATTATAATACTGAAATTGATCAATAGTGAATGAACCAACAACAACAAGTTACATTTGTATAGCGCCTTTCACATCAGGAGAGAGTCCCAAGGCGCTGGATAGTCAGAGATCAGCACTCAAGCTGGGGGTTGGGATCAGGAGGGGTGGAGGGCGGGAGTTGGAGGGTGACCAAAGGCACAGTCGAAAAGGAGGGTCTTGAGACGGGTCTTGAAAGAGACATGGGAGAGGGCAAGGCAGAGGAAGTGTGGGGTATAGTTCCAGAGAGTGGGCGCAGAGGACGTGAAGCAGGAGCACACTGAACAGAGGGAGTGGATTTTGAAATGAACATGATGAAGGTTTGGTCAATTCAATTAGTTCTTTGAATTGAAGCTGACATCTTTATGTCTATGGAATGATTCTATGTCTGGAGAGGACAGCATTCCCTGGAACCCAGCAGTTCTATGCATTCAAACCGATTTCTCCAGATCAAAAGTTCCACAGTCGATTTGCTTTCAAGAATGTGCAAGATTGTGGAAATGGTGGTGGGGGAAGGAGAAAGTAATGGATTTGGAGCCCATTAGCTGGTTTTACAACTGATTTCAACTCGCACCCCTTTAGCATGTCTGCATTGCAGATGGCCTCAACTTGGGGGCGGTCGTAAGAATAGAATTGGGGCCTCACTTTGAAAAATTGGGAACTTGAAGTTCTACCACACATCTGGTTTTGCAACTAATTGTAGCCGACCTACTTGGCACACGTCCACAGCACTATATTAATTCATGAGTCATGATTCTGACTTAATGCAAGGCTTTGAGTTGTTGTCAACTGAATGCTTGACACCAATAAATGGCTCAACTGAACTCTTTTTGAGACTTCCATATACTCGTTAATACAAAGTAGGAAACTGGTTTTGTCTTCCGGACTCAAGAACCCCGACTTCTAGTTACTGGAAGGTTGGGTAATAATATCTCCTCTGTGACACAATCAACCAACCAAGAACGTGCAACTAACATAATTTCCATCCTTTTTCTTTTGGTCCTTTCACTTCTAGATTTTTTTTGGCTTACATCCACAAGCGCTCTGGGATGCTAACTACATAATTGCAACTTGTTGTTGCTGAATGTTGACACCACCATTGGCACAAGCTCGAAATGTTAACAATGGCACAATGTTAACCATTGGCACAAGCTCGAACTGCTCAAACACAGACGCTGAGGAAGCTGAATTAACATTAGTGAAGATGATCTCATTAACCAATTAAATGTTTAAATTGCATAACAAGTTAGGGTTAGGTTATCCCCTAGGTGAGGAAGGTGTGCACAATTTTATTTAAACTTGAAGCTTAAGCAATATTAACGCAACTGAACAGCATTTTTGCTAAGGTTTCAAAGAAACTTGGCAATTCTCCTGTTGAACTGGTTTATAGTTGTCTCCTAATTCAAATTTAACCCGAAATTTAAAATAATTCACTGAGCGTCTCATTGTTATCTGAACGCTGTCAGCGTTGTCGGTGCTTTGTCGATTATTTTCTGTGAAAGCACTATATAAATGCACCGCATAAAGGAGCAGTAATAATGTAGGAAAAAAATGATGCACCGACCAAGAATGAAGCATCACATACCACTGCAAAACCTTTTAAGAAGCAAGTTTGCCAATCCTGCAATTTGTGGCTTACACTCTCTAGTCAATGAACGTTCTAAATCATGTTCAATGGACTATTGTTGATTACGTAGGGAAGAGAATGAAAGACTTAAAAAAATATGTATTTTGTGCAAGTTTGCACCTGTACTCTTCCACCTTCAGTAAAAGGTGTGCGCAATTGGCTGCTGCGTTTGGCCCACAAAATAGTCAATTTACTTTGCAATATATTGCGTGAAATGCTTTGAGACGTCTCAACGATACGATAAAGCACTGTATCAAATGCAAGGATTATTATTATTACTTCACCATACTGTACAGTACTTCTTCAGCAACTTTGTGTTGTGAGTAAGTAGGCGAATGTCAGACTCCTAAAAGAATTCCAAGCTATTACTGGTTATCAGTGCTAACATTATGTTTTAAATAACATTCTTTTGAAAAAAGGGCCTGATTGAGACACTTAAGAAATACAGCGCCATCGAGAACAATAATAAAACAGCAAAACTGAAATTTCCTGCAGATGTCCAAGAAGCTATAATTGAAAGCGTGAGTGCCCCCTGACAAGGTAGTAGATGTAGTGTCCATTATGGGTTTCAAGAGGGAAGTGGACAAGTATATGAAAAATGAAGGCTTGAAGGGGCATGGAATAGGATGGGGGAGTGAAAGTTTGCTCTGAAAACCGGTCTAGACTCGAAAGGCGAATGGCTTCCTTTTGCTGTGTAAAAATATCTGATTTCAAGGGTGTGAATATTCATCACTCGTATAATTTGGACATAGCCACATGTGCTTCTGTGTTTTCCCAAGCCCTCAATCCACTCCTTTTGTAAAAGAAGCCCTCACGATGACATTCATTATTTTATCCTTAAATTTCATCTGAGCTCTCAGAGCATGTAGCTTGTTCCCAGGGCTCTGAAAACCACAGACAAACAGATGGTGCTCAGGGATTACGTTTCCTCTTTTCCAGCAGAGAGACATCTCTCCATGTCAAGTTGGCTGAGAATGGGGTGTGGAGGGAGGAAATAAGAGGAAGAATCAGAACCAAATGATCAAACCTAAGTGGTTCCACTTTGCAGAAACAAAACTAACGCAATGCACAGTACATCAATTTCCAACAGATGCTACAGTGCAGATGGAGCTTCGCAGCACATATTACACTATTTATTGCTGTGCTATCATTTTAGAAACTGATTCCATCATAATGATGATCAATTTCAACATATGGATTCAACATAATCAATCCATTCTACATATGGAATTGGAAACAACACTTCTTTCAAAAAAAATTCAGATCATTTTCAATTATGTGGAAATTTAACATCAGTCACCTATTGCATAAATAAGTCACTGTTTGCATGAATAAGACACCCAAAGGTGAGTGTTCAATAGAGACAGCCTTCCTGCAGTCTCAACAAGTTTGCTCAAGATCCCTATGGATCGTATTAAAAACAAGTTTTCCCAAATCCCTGCTGAACTCAATGAATATACAACATTATTATTGTTGTTGAATTGCAGTATTTTGTGTTTGGTCAGTCACCTAGTGTTCCTAAATTTTCAAGATACCACTTCGCAATCAGTAAATATATTTTTATTTTAAGTGCACGATATTACAGTTGAGAGTAAACGTGGAACATTCTGCAATCTGTGCAGCAATCTTGCCCCAATTTAAAATAGATTATTTTTAATTATTTGAGGAGCAACAGAGTAAGATCTACCCACTCATAGCACTAATTTGAAACTTTGTGGCTCAGACATTTCGCAGATAACGTCAATCCTGAGATTATAAAATCACTCTAGGGCTCATCTTGTATTCCCTATAATCTATCGAGTAGGTTAGGAATATAGCAAATGCGTGGGGGCGTGGAAGAGAGAAAGGCTCGTAATTTGTCCAAAAGAAAGCATAATAAATACAATAAAATATTGCAAATTATATAAATGACATTTATGAACAATGCATAAATTTATAGCCCTGTTATTTGTAACCAGGTTGCAACATCATTGCAATTATGGAAACTGAAGGAGGTTTTTGCATCATCACCATGCTCGAAACTTACATCGATTTATTCTTCTACCTACCTCTCCATACTACACACACACACACCCCATCCACCACCCCTCAGGCAGCTGAAACCCTCATCCACGCACTTATTAGATCTATGCTCGACTACGCCAACTCTCTGCTTTTTCAGCCTTCAAAACGCTTCCCTCCACAAGCTGCAAATCATCCGGAACTCTGCAGCTCGTGTCCTCTCCTGCACCAGACTCTGTGTCCCTCTCACGCCCACTCTTTGCACAGCTCCACTGGCTCCCCATCCATCACCCAGAGGATACAGTTCAAAATCCTTGTTCTGGCCTTCAAAGACATCCGCGGCCTTGTTCCTTCCTACCTCTGCGACCTGCTAACTCCATATCAACCTGTCTGCTCCACGTCCGCTGCCTTGCCCATCCACCAGCGGCAGTCAGGCCTTCAGCTTCTCCGGCCCCACCCTTTAGAACACCATCCCACAGTCCCTTCATTTTGCTCCCTCCTTTGCCTTCGTCACAGCACGTCTCAAGACTCTCCTTTGGACCGCGCATTTGGCCCTCCACCCTCCTGAACCCAACCCCCTGCCTCGGGTCCAAATCCCTGACTGTCCAGCGCTTTGGGACGTCCTCCCAACCGGGAAAAGCGCTTTATAAATCGTCTAGTGATAAAATATAGTGACATAAGTATTCCACAGCAGTGTGAAGTTCAAGTATCCTGCGCCTATAACTGCATGTAATGTGTAAAAATTTGCAAAAACCACCAAATGACAAGAAACAATATTCTAAGAAATTAACACTTTTAATCCTTAACATTGCACCTGAAAGTTTTTTTTTTAAATCTCAATTTCTCTTCTCAGAGAAATAACTAACACAGAAATACTCTGTACTTAATAATAATCCTTGCATTTGATATCAGGCTTTACCACGTCGTCGAGACCACTCAAAGCACTCAAAGGATAAAGTATTTTGTGGGCAACCCTCTGTAGCTTACAGAGTTGAGCACACGCCTCACAAGTGAGAGAACTGGTTTTGATTGCTGGCAAAGCAAAACTCTGGGCTTTTTCCTTACGCCACATGCTTCTGTTTACCTAGCAGTAAGTAGGAACCTGGTTGTTAGTCGATTGGTGGATCGCTTTTCCTGGGGTAATAATTCCTCAACAAATTATAAAATAGTAATAAATTGGTCGCCCAATCCACAGCTGTTTGTGGGGCACTGCTGTGTGCAATTGGCTGCCGCGTTTCGCCCACAAAAATATACAGTCAATTCACTTCACAGTATATTCTGTGATGTGCTTGGAAGGATTATTATTATATGGTGGATTGGTGGCCAAACACAAAAGACCCAGCCAACTCTTATTAGTGAAAATGGTTACATCCAATTCCTCCTCTTCGATCGTGCTTTTGGCTACCCTCCTACCCTCTCTGCCTCCCCACCCTCCATGATCCCAACCCCACCCCGCTCGGGTCCTAATCTCTGACTGTTCAGCGCCTTGGGACGTCCTCCCAACGTGAAAGGCTCTTTACAAATGTAATGTTGCATTGTATCGTAAAACCACAGCAGCCACAGTACTGGTGAGAAAAGCATACATACTTTCTACAATTACAGCTAAATCCAAGGGTTAAGTACGAGTTTCCGAATAGTGTTTGCGATACTTATGCTGCAGTTTGGATAGTGAAAGCTTACAGTAATTGATTTAACCTTGCAACGTGCTGCAGACTGCAACAAACCCACTAGCAGAGGTGGAAATATTCAGGACTTACTTCGACTAGTTGGTCTCACACACCATTGGATGGCAAGTCTGCTAAGAAAGCACCTTGGACACATAAAACAAACAACTTGTATTTACATTGAGCTCCTCATGCAGGGTAGTGTCCCAGAGCACGTGACAGTGGCTGAGCACGACGCCGAGGCGGAGTTGACCGTAGGCACAGTCGAAGAGGAAGATTTTGAGGCAAAAGGTTTGTTTAAAAAAAATTTTAACAGCAAAAAAAGAAGTTATCCTTCTTCTGCATAGTAGTCTATTAATAAGCTTCCTGTTAAAATGCCATTGCTAACAGCTATGTACAATCCCTTAACAACCATATTTGAAATACTATATTATGAATCTGCCGATTATTGACCGTTCAACCAGTTACAGCCACATAACATAACAGGCAACTTGTGTTTGTTGGCTCACTCAAGTATACAACAACACTCAATTAACAAGCTCAACCAGCTGCATTGTCTTGCCATCCTTCTTCCTGCAGTAACTAAGCAAATTACTTATCAACTGACAGCCTATGACACCCAAAGGAGAAAAGATACATCTCACAGTGTAATAGGCGACACTGACTGAAAGGCAACTTTTGATACTCCGTCGTACAGTGATTCTACAGTTTACAGTAATTCCACAGTGTACATGAACTATGGAACTCTTTTCCTCAATCCTTCCGTCTTGCCCCCTCTCTCCCCACTAAAGACCTTCCTTTTTGATCATGCTTATGGTCACCCCCTTCCCCCTCTGCCACTGCGAAGCACGTGAAGTGCGCTATATAAATGCAAGTTGTTGTTGAGCATGAAACCAACAGGCACAAGTTCTCAACAAGAAACCTCAAACCAGACTCTTACAACTAGAGTAGAATAATAATCAAAAACAAAACTAGAGAGAAGAAAAAGGTGATATACTGAATATATATATATAGAGTAACTCAAACTAATAGGAAATAGATAGAGGAATGAGAATGAGAATCAGACTGGAAGGGAAGCAACAGATCAGGATGAAAGTGTAAACACAAACTGTTGTTCAGGGAGATAATAGAAACAGCCCTCAGAAAGGTAAATTGAAGATGCCATTAATCCGATAAAATCGGAATTTTGAGGAGTCAAATATAATTTTCATGCAACAACAACTCTATATATCATCTACAATATATAAACACACATTTTAAGCAAATAAATAAACACCAGGGGGAACATGGAAGATGCAACAACAATTTACATTTACATAGCACCCCTCACGCAGGGTAGCGTGCCACAGTGAAGAGACGCAGCACTCACCTATCAGCTCAGCGATGGCACTGAATGGCCAAGTGTGACTTGTTGAGTTGGCGTGAAGAAACTTGGGATTTAACTGGAGGTGGGGACAAAAACAATATATATATGTATATATACACACACATAAACACTATATATATATATATAGAGAGAGAGAGAGGGGAAGAGTACACAACGGTAGGATTACAAGTGAGAACAAAACAATAAGTATATATGTGTGTGTGTGTGTATATATATATATATATATAACAATAGTGCAAATAAAGATAGGATTACAAGCAAGGACAAACACACATATATATACACATATAAAGAGAGAGAGTAAATAACAGGATTATATGTGAGGACGAAAACAATGTATACACAGAGAGTAAATAAAGTTAGGATTACAAGTGACAATATTATACATATATTATATAATAATAATAATATAATATAGTCCTTTAGCTCAGTGGTTGGAGCATTCGCTTTGCAAGTGAAAAACCTAATTTCGATTCCTGGCAGAGTGAAACCTTGGGCAAGTTTCCTTACTCCAAAAGCCTGATAATAATCCCTCAAATAAAAATAATAAATTGGTCATTTCAATCCACGACTGTTTGAGGGGACACTGCTGTGCACAATTGGCTGCCGCGTTTCGCCCACAAATACACAGTTAATTCACTTTATAGTCTATTCTGTGAAGCGCTTTGAGACGTCTCGAAGACGTGATAAGCGCTATATCAAATGCAACGATTATTATTATTATACATTGAGTAAATAAAGGTAGGATTTCAAGTGACAATATTATATATTGTAATACAGTATATATCATATAGCATATGTATATAGAGAGTAAATAAAAGTAGGATTACAAGTAACAATATTATTTTATACTGTTCAGTATATAACACAGTATATAGAGAGTAAATAAAGGTAGGTTTACAAGTAATAATATCATATATAATAATACAGTATATATAATGCAGCATATGTATACATAGAAAGTAAATAAAGGTAGGATCAGAAGTGACAATATTATAGTCATTTAGCTCAGTGGTTGGAGCACTCGCTTTGCACTATTCAGTATATAATGCAGTATATATAGAGAGTGAATAATGGTAGGATTATACTGTACAGTATATAACAATATATAAAGAGAGAGTAAATAATGGTAGGATTATACTGTACAGTAAATAACAATACATAAAGAGAGAGTAAATAATGGTAGGATTATACTGTACAGTAAATAACAATACATAAAGAGAGAGTAAATAATGGTAGGATTATACCTTACAGTAAATAACACAATATATAGAGTAAATAAAGGTAGAATCATACTGTACAGTATATAACACTATATATAGAGTAAATAAAGACAGGATTATGCTGTACAGTATATAACACTATATATACAGAGAAAGAGTAAATAAAGACAGGATTATGCTGTACAGTATATAACACTATATATATATAGAGAGAGAGTAAATGAAGTCAGGATGACAGAGCCGCTGACAGACTGGCACTCACGGCGCTCAGAGGGACGCCCTGACTCGCGCTCCGCGCCGCCGCCATCTTCTTTCCGAGGAGCCGACAATTTCCTCTCGAACAGACGGTTTGTTTACAACCCAACCCGCGCCGCCACCTCCTCCCGCCCTCCGCATGTACGCCCGCGCCGCCGCCGCGCTCTTCCTCGGGGGAGAGGAAAATGGATGAGCTGACGCTATTTCAACAGCCTCAGGAGTCTCCCGTGAGGAGGGGCCGCGCCACCCGTCGCTCTTCCCGCCGTTCGCCTCTGCCTGACACTGACTGACTGACTGACTGCAGCCCTCTGCGGCCGTTAACGCTCGCGCTGCGCGCGCAGACTCCCCCCCCCCACCCCTCGTTCAAAGCCCCGCCCCGCCTGACCGACTGATTTTACTGACTGACACCCTCAGACCCCGCCCACCACGCCCAACTCACCCGCCTGATTGGCTGACACCCTCAGACCCCGCCCACACCCACCTGACTGACATACTCAGGCCCCACCTCCACCGTTCCCCTGCCTGACGGACACCCTCAGACCCCGCCCCCCCTGACTGACTGACTGACTGACTGACTCTTTCACAGTACCGTCACGTGACCAGTTCCTTATTTTTTTCCCCCCCTCTTAGGTTTCGTTTCCTAATCCGGATCGCCTTGAGGTTTCGGATGGATCGTCGGCAGAACCTGGAAGGGCAGACCAGTCGCCGGGAGCGCGGCGCCGTTCCCACTCCGCTCCCGTTACCCCTCCAACAAAACAACAAAAAAGACAAAGACGCCTTACCGGCTCCAGCCCACGTGGTAGCCACGGCCCTAACTGGACAAGCAGCGGGGCAAGCTCACCCCCCCAACACACACTCCGGGGTGCCCGAGCCTTGGCTGTTGCCAATCGGCATTCAATGCATTCCGGAATTACAACCCAACGTTCCCCCCTCCGGGGAGAGAGCATTCCCCATTTCCCATTTCAATAACCTATCAGAGATATCCACGTGCAAAGTGGGATGCGTGGAATTTTCGGTTTGGTTTGGATGCTCTTCATCCAGCACGGCGATGGGTTTCCGCATGGGTCAGTTGGTGAGAGTGAGAATTGGAACAGAGCGAGAATTCTGTTGGGGAATTTGGTGAGAGTGGGAATTGGAACAGAGCGAGAATTCTGTTGGGGAATTTGGTGAGAGTGGGAATTGGAACAGAGCGAGAATTCTGTTGGGGAATTTGGCGAGAGTGGGAATTGGAAAAGAATGAGAATTCCCACGCTTCTGCTGAATGACAGGGTTCTCTCTAGCTCTCTGGTAGCTCGCTTACTGAAGAATTCCCACTCTCACCAAATTCCTTAACAGAATTCTTACTCAGTTCCGTCTCACTCAGTTCTACCTCCCGCTGCTGGGCTTGCTGCACAAGTGAGATGCTCGCAAGTCTCGCAAAAGACTGTACAGAGGGAGGTGGAAGAGTAGGAATTCTGTTAAGGAATTTGGTGAGAGTGGGAATTCTGTGCAGAAGAGGAAAGAGGTACATCATTATAAATTATATAATAGTTATACTAAAATAATATAAGACATGTCTGGGAATATGGCAGGGCATCTGGGACCGGTTGGGTGCACAATGTGTGCCATGTGGGAACTCCAGGATGCTTTGTGTGTCCTGGACAGACACGTGTGTAGGAAGTACCTCCGGCTGCTCGAGCTTGAGGTCAGGTTTCTGAGATTGAGGAGAGGCTGGTGTCATGACATAGCATATGGGAGGCTGAAGAGTTTATGGATCGAATGTTTCAGGAGGAGGTCACTCCACAGCCACAGGGAGTTCAGAAGGAGAGTGAGTGGGTGACCACCCGGCCTGGTAGGAAGAGGGGACGGACAGTGCAGAAATCCCCTGAGAGTGTGGCACTCACAAACCGGTTCTCTGTACTGAATACTGCTTAGGGTGATGACACCTCTAATGGAGAGTCAAAAGCAAAATGGATGCACAAGGGAGCACAGGGAAGAGTGTCAATGCAATTGTCATTGGGGACACATGGATGAAAGGAGTAGACTGACGTTTCTGCAATCAATCAACATACCAATCTCATATAGTATGTTGTCTCCCTGGTGCCAGGGTTGAAGACATCAAGGAAAAGGTGCCTTGTTAGGATCCATGACATAGGGAAAAAGGGGCTGAGATCCTACAGAGAAAGTATCAGAAGCTAAGGAAAATGCTACAGAGCAGGACCTCAAAGGTGGTGATCTTTGGATTATTACCAGGTCCTCGTGCAAGAGGGTATCAAAACAGCAGGATCAAACCCATTAATGCATGGCTGGATAAATAGTGCAAAAAGGAGGGCTTCAGGTTCCTGGATCATTGGGACTAGTTCTGGGACAGGTAGGACCTCTACAAGGTGGATGGGTTACATCTGAAACCCTGAAATCTGAAAGGGATAGGGAAGGAAAAAACAGAGGTTTTGGCAATATTGATTAAATATTACAGGTTACTGCCCTGGAAAGGGATGATGTGTCAGAGGGTCCAAAACAGAATCTATTTGGTTAGACTTAAGGAGCAGAAAAGGAGCTGTTACTCTGTTAGGGGTAAACTATAGACCACCAAATAGTGGTAAAGAGATAGAGCAAATCTGCAGCAGATTTAGAAACATGCAAAACCAACAGAGCAGTGATAATGGGAGACTTCAATTATCCTAACAGAGACTGCCAAAATAACAGTGTAAACGGCAAGGAGGTGGAAGGACTCCTGAAATCTGTGCAGGATAACTTTCTGGATCAATATGTTTGCAGCCCAACGAGGAAGCAGTGCTGGATCTAGTTCTGGGGAATGAAGTGGAGCAAGTGGAACAGGTTTCAGTAGGAGAGTATCCGGGCAACAGTGATCATAACATCATCAGCTTTAGAGTACTTATGGAAAGGGACAAGGAGCAATCAAAGGTGAAGATGCTCAACTGGAAGAGGGCTAATTTCAGTGAGTTGAAAAGGGATCTAGCCAAGGTTGACTGGAAAGAAGGATTGGCGGCTAAAACAGCTAAAGAGCAATGAGACTGGTAAAATGGGCAGACACGTGGCAGATGAAGTTTAATGTGGATAAGTGCAAAGTGATACATTTTGAGAAGAAGAATGAGGAGAGGCAATATAATCTTAAAGGGGGTGAAAGGACAGAGGGACCTGGGGGCTCATATAAGCAAATCTCTGAAGGTGGAATGATAGGTAGATAAAGCTGATTTTATATTTTTTAAAAAATCAGGATACTAGGCTTTATAAATAGGGGCATAGAATACAAAAGTCAGGCAGTTATGATGACCCTTTATAAAATGCTGGTTAGACCTCAGCGAGAGACTGTGTTCAGTTCTTGGCACCACACTTTAGGAAGGATGTCAAAGCATTGAAAAGGGTGCGAAGGAGATTGACCAGGATGGTACCAGGAATGAGGGACTTCAGTTATTGGGAGAGGCGAGAAAAGCTTGGATTATTCTCCTTGGAGCAGAGAAGGATAAGAGGAGACTTAATAGAAGTTTTCAAAATTATGAGGGGATTCGATAGGGTGAACAAGGAGAAACTATTCCACTGGCGGGTGGGTGGGTAACCCGAGGACACCGCTTTAAAATAGTTCTTGAAAGAAAGAGGGGAGGTGAGGAGACATTTTTTCACACAGCGAGTTGTCGGGATCTGGAATGCATCGCCTGAAAGGGCAATGGAAGCCGATTCACTAACAACCTTTAAGAGAGAAGTAGATAATTATTTGGGGAGGACAAGTTTGCAGGGCTATGGGGAGAAAGCGGGGAGTGGGATTGGATAGCTCTTTTCAAAGAACCAGCACAGACGCAATGGGCCGAATGGCCTCCTTCTGTGCTAAATAATTCTATGATTGCTTGCTGAATATTTTGCCCTACCTGGGAATCAAACCCGGGTCTCTCGCTTGCGAGGCAAGCGTTCTTAGTACGTTATTACAAGAACTAACTTTGAGGAAGGCAAAAAAAGGCACAAATGTTATACACAGTGATTGCTTAAGTTTTGAATTTTATTTGTTAGTAAACATTTAGTGATGGTGAATACATTCACAGAACAGTATTAAGATCGGTTTCCAATACTTTCGATTGCAAATGTAGCTGTAAACAAAGACCAAATTAAAGTAATAACAGTACTCCCCTCTTCAGATCAACATTGGCATTTCTCACAAGTTCTTTCCCAGCATTACAATTTTTCACTTGGAGGAGAGAAATGAGACTTTTAATATTGATGGAAAAGAAAAGAAAATGCAGTTTGAAAATATAGATATTTATATTATATACACTCACATACGCACACACACACAGTGAAGTCAGGTTCCTAAATGGCATCATTCGTTAATACTAGCCTGTTGATTAGTACTCACGCTTATTAATAATACTGCAAATTATCAATATTGGATCAATAATAAAACAGATAGAGGGGTCCCCAAAGATAGAATTCTACTGTTATCTGCTGGGAGACACGAGTGCTATTTTTCCAATCGTGTTATATACTCTTGAAGGCACCAAAAGAAGGCCCGTCCAAGTGAGTGTTGAATTATTTGATACCTACCTGATCCCACACCAGTTGATCCCTAGCTAATTGAACTTACGTTTTGCCCTTCACCGCAATGAAACCACTCAATGAGTAAAATAGAAAGTCTGGAGAAGAAAGGACTTGTTACGTTCTTCTGCGAGCAGCCTTTCCTTTCCCCTCGCTCTCCGAAAGGTGTTGCAAATCTCTTCCGAATGCCAGAGGCAAGCAAGTCAACGTGATAACCATATTGCAGATATTCCCGACGCCCACCTGCAGTACAAAACCTCAGTCTTCGTTCACTTCGTGCAGCCCGCAGTCCTACCAACACGAGTGAGATAACAATAATAATAATATTCCTTGCATTTGGTAATAGCGCCTTATCACGTCTTCGAGACGTCTCAAAGCATTTCACAGGATAGAAACTTGGACATCAGTGCTCCATCATCACCTCCAGAAAGTCACATGCGATATTTTCTTCAATCCTTTGCAGCACCTCGCTGCTGTTGGGGGCTTGTCCAAATAGACTCTGTAAGGGTATCGATCCCCTAGCCCCCAATAGGCTCTGCCCTCCCTGGGATCTGCCTGGTTGAACCTTGAAAATGCAGTTGAGTGTCCTGAAAAACGGTGTGAGTGTGTGGATGCTTGACACGGATCGCACAGTCAGGAGAGGAAATTCCTGTTCAAGCCCAGACATCGTTACATCCAGATCATTCATTTCCTGAATTAAGCAGGGGAGAAACAGCAACAGGAGGAAATTTAGACTTGATTTTCGATCTGTCCTTTCTCCCCAAAATTGTTTGACTTTTTTTTCCCCTGGCTCCTATTCCTTTCCTTCATTAAACATGATTTTAATAATAGTACTAATCCTTGCATTTGATATAGCGCCTTATCACATCTTCCGAGGCATCTCAAAGCGCTTCACAGAATATACTGTAAAGTGAATTGCCTGTATTTTTTTTAGCGATTATTAAACCCGGAAAGCAATCCACCAATCGTCAAATGACCAGGTTCTTACATACTGCTAGGTAAACAGAGGCATGTGGAATAAGGAAACTTGCCTAAGGTTTCACCCCACCTGGGAATCGAACCCAGGTCCTCTCGCTTGTGTGGCGAGTGCTCTAACCACTAGAATACAGGACTCTGCAACTTACTTGGTAGAAGACAGCAAATTCTGTGGATATCATTTACTATTGCATGAACTGTAACAATAATACTAAGAAGACTTTAAGCAAAGAAGCATTTAAGAGGAAACTTGATGCATGAGAGAGGCTAGAGAGGGGGTTGGATGGGTGGAGCTCATGCACATCATAAACCCGGGTATCGACTGGTTTGGCTGAATAGCCTGTTTCAGTGTTGTAGATTGTGTGTACTTCTATATCCAGTACAATTTACATTTATATAACACCTTTCATGTCAGCAGGGTGTCCCAAAGCACATGAATACTAGTTGTTTTGATTAAAGGAATGAACTTTATAATAAACTACATACAAGACTTGAGCATAAAGGAAAATTTGCCAGAAAACAAAAATAATGATGTTATGAATTGAGGATAGCAAGAGGATATTTTGATGGGAATAAAGACATAACAAAGTCACAGTTCCCTGCACTTTTAACTTAATTCTAAAGTACTTCTGTCAAGATAAGTTTGAAGGAAAAGCCGAATGCATATCGGTCCATACTTTAGTTACTGAGATAACAACAACTTGTATTTGCATAGCGCCCTTCACGTGGGGTAGGGTCCCAGAGCGCTTCACAGTGCCTGACAACAAGCTAGGGAGAAAGGTGACCGTAAGCACGATCAAAAAGGAAGGTCTTTAGGCAGGAATGAAGAAATATATAATGCTTTGGTATGATGAGCTGAATTGACTCAGTGAGGGCTATAAAGTGTAAATCGGATCAAAGCAAGTTGAACCTCGGGCTTCAAGTTAAGGCAACGGGAACGTTTCAAGGAACATCTAATATTTGTGGAAAAAAAACACACAGTGGAAGAAGTTTGAAAAAAATCAGGATTTTGACCATACCCTTAACAAATAGAAACGCTTGCTTACCCTGTATTTTTGATCCAGAATATCCACAATTCGGCCAATTTGAGGTTTGTATTCCTCAAATGAGTCAACGACATCCAGATTGGGACTGTGGATGTTAACGCTCACCTCAGGAACAAAAGCCCATCGGTACCTAAACACACGGATACATACACACGCAAACACACACGCACATGCACAAACACACAATGAAGAGCTGTCAATAACCACATGTAAAGCCAACATCTACATCCAAGTAAAACATTCAGAGGCAGGAAACATGCCCAAAAAACGAGAGTCGTGCAATGCCATTGCAAGAACGATTCTCCCACTGTTCCACTGGAGCTCCCTCACTCTGTCAATCCGTCTCACTCCCTCTCTTTCAGTCTTCAATTCCCACTTTGTGTGTAGAAAACGTTTCAGTCTTGTTTATGGTCACCTCTCTGTTCTGACCATTTAAATTGTGCCCCAAAAGTATTTTCCAATAGCTCTGCTTAAATGTATTTGATACAGCGCTTATCACATCTTCGAGACATCACAAAGTGCTTCACAGAATATACTGTAAAGTGAATTGACTGTATATTTTGTGGGCGAAATGCGGCAGCCAATTGTGTATTGTGTCCCGCAAACAGTCGTGGATTAAGTGACCAATTTATTGTTATTTTTTTGAAGGGATTATTACATCTGGAAAAGCGATGCGCCAATAGACTAACAACCGGGTTCTTACTTACTGCTGGGTAAATAGAGGCATGTGGAGTAAGGAAACTTGCCTAAGGTTTCGCCCTGCCTGGGAATCGAACCCAGGTCCTCGCGTACGAGGTGAATGCTCTAACCAATGTGTTACAGGACACCGAGCACACACACACACACATCACATACTCAGAAACTTACATTTGAAATAAAGGCATATGTTCTGGGGGAAACGAGAGTGCTGTATCGAGAAATTTACAAGCCGATAAATACATGTCAATATGGCTCTGGTCCAGGTCCAATAGCAGTGGGTCATTTCCATTGCTGGCTGGAGATCTTGGTCCTCCTTTATTGCAATTCCTAGAAGATAATAATAATCCATACATTTGATACAGCGCCTTATCACATCTTCGAGAGGTCTCAAGTAAAGTGATTTGACTGTGTATTTTGTCGGAGAAATGTGGCAGCAATTGCACACAGCAGAGTCCCACAAACAATTGTAGGTTGAGTGACCAAATTATTCTATTAGCATTTTTATATTAAAAAAAATTGAAGGCCCATCAGTAAAGCAATCTACCAACCGACTCACAACTGGTTTCCTACTTTCTGCTAGGTAAACAGAGGCGTGTGGAGTAAGGAAACTTGCCTTAGGTTTCACTCTGCTGGGAATCAATCCTAGGTTGTCTCACTTGCGCTGTGAGTACTCTAACCACTGAGCTACAGGACTCCACAAGATTCAAATGTCAGCCCCAACCACAGCAGCAAGAATTACGTTCCTCTCCTCTGCTCCATCACAATGGTTTAATAATAATAATTATCCTTGCATTTGATATAGCGCTTTTCATGTCTTCTAGACGTCTCAAAGTGCTTCACAGAATAGACTGTAAAATGAATTGACTGTATATTTCTAAGCGAAGTGTGGTAATTTGTGACAGTGCCTTATTTCCTATATTTTTTCCTTATCTCTCTCAATTACGATAATTGGCAAAAGAACCAGAGGGGAGATGAGATGAGGAGAAATTGTTTTTTTTAAACACAGAGATTTGTTGTGGACTAGAATGCACTGCCTGAAAGCGTAGTGGAAATATTCTGTGATTCTATTCATCTCTCCTTTTAGCGCTTTTCTTTCAGTCTATCTACTGCATGGGCATACAGAAGGCCGGAGTCAGTCGAGCGGAGGGGCTTTACATTTATCGATGTTATGTTCCTTGATCTGGATAAGCTCTCTGCATAGGTGCATCCAAACCAGCAACAAAGAATTTGATGGTTGCACACTAGGACTGGCTGCTTTACTGGAATTACATAACTCAGATTGCAGACAACAACAACTTGCATTTACACAGCGGCCCCTCACTCAGGTTGGCGTCCCAGAGCGCTTGCCGGTAGCGGAGCATGACTCCGAGCCGGGGGGGGGAGAGGGGGAGATGTCCGTAGGCACGATCGAATAGGAAGGTCTTCAGGCGCGGAAGGTAGGGACAAGACGGGAGGGATAGAGGAAGATTATTCCAGAGTTTCGGGGCGTAGTGGCTGAGAGCGAGGCCACCGATGGTGGAACGGAGGGCACGAGGGCATACAGAAGGCCGGAGTCAGTCGAGCTGAGGCAGCGGGTTTGGGGGGGGGGGGGGGGGGGAGCTAGGCAGGTCAGAGAGGTAGTGGGGTGCACTGTCAAAATATGAAAACTATTCAGTGCAGGATACATTGTAAAAAAGATTGGCAAAAGTACAAGGTAATAAATCTGAAAGAGACAATGTCCCATCGTTTTCTTATCGGAAACTCTTATTTAATTACTAGCTTGTATCTTGTTACCAGATTTCTATCTCCCTTCATTTCATATCCCATTCTTAACATACTCGAAAACAATTAGAATTTTCAACTTTGACTGAAATTTGAATACTTGCATTTACATACAGAATTGAACGTCTTAAACAAACAGCTGCAGATAACATCAGTGTTAAACCTTCTCACTCAAAAAGCCACATCTGTTAACAGAAAATGGATACCAAAGTTTTTTTTAAAAAAACCATGAGGACAAGTTTGCAGGGCTATGGGAAGAGAGCGCGGGGAGTGGGATTGATTTGGGTAGCTCTCTTAAAAGAACCGCCAAAATGGGCCGAATGGCTTCCTTCTGTGCTGTATGAGACTTCAAAATCCATTGGATGTCAATTAAAAGCAACAGCTAAAAGTTCCATAGGTCTTAAATAAATCAAAGAGTTCAATTGTCTCGAGATGCAGTTTCTTGCTTTCTTCAGCCACCCGACTAGACCCAGGAAAATGATAGGATTTGATTACTGAACTGATTTGTGCGCTGAGTTTCATTGAAAATGCAAGGTAGTCTCACTTAATTCAAAACCAAGGCACAAACTTGTCGACATCAGTATTGTAAAGCAAAGAACTTACTTTGATTTTTCAATCTCAAGCAAATCCTCTTCCAACTGCATGAAAACTTGAACCTAGAGGAGACATCAGTAAGCTTTGGTTTGGGTGTTATACAAAGCAGTAAGGAATTGATAGTCCATAATAATAATAATAATCCTTGCATTTGATATAGTGTCTTATCGCGACTTCAAGACGATTCAAAGCGCTTCACAGAATACACCGTGTAGTGAATTGACTGAATTTTCTGTAGGCTAAACGAGGCAGCCAATTGCACACAGCAGGGTCCCACAAACAGTCACGGATTAAGTGACCAACCTAGTATTATTTTTACTTCTTTTTTAAGGGATTTTTACCCCTGGAAAAGGGGGTGGAAGCCATCCAGCTCATCAAGTCTGCTCTCCCAGTTTACTTAATCATGGCAGATCTTTTAACACCATTTCCTTCCACCCACCTCCAGCTATCCATCTACCAACCACCTTTTAAACAGCCAGATGATCCACCCTTCTCATTTTAAACATATAATAACAATCCTTCATAATTGATATGGCGCCTTATCACCCATTTGAGACATAGAAGCAGGAGCAGGCCAGTCAGCACCTCAAGCCTCTTCCGCCATTCTATAAGATCATGGCTGATCTATACCTCAACTTCAATTACTCCGCCTTTGCCCCATATCCCTTGATATCCTGACCTAACAAATACCTCGCCACCTCAGTCTTGAAATTGTGAATGGATCCAGCGCTTCGCAGAATATACTCTGAAGTGAATTGACTATATATTTTGTGGCGAAACAGAGCAGCTAATTGCGCATAGCAGTGTCCCACAAACAATCGTGGATTGAATGACCAGATTTTGTGTGGAGTGTGTGTTGAGTAAGGAAACTTGCCTTAGGTTTCTCCCAGCCCGGGAATCAATCCCAGGTCCTCTCGCTTGCGAAGTGAGTGCTCTAACCAATACAAGATTCCATAAACATCCGGAGATGATTGTGCCTCCACAGTCTTCAGGATCAGTGAAATCCATGTTTTCACAAAATGACTGACCTCACTGCAAACCATCCTAGTTCTACTCTGTACGCTATAAGGATTTCCCATTTCTTCAAGATAAATATCTTAAAACACGCCATGATAATCTGGATTAAACATACTCCAGTTCATAGGGGCGAAAAAAAAGTATTTTTAGAAACAGGGTTTAAGGAAAAAAAAGATTTTTTACCAGATTTAATACCTCCAGATACAGTATATAGTTTGGGACATGACATGTGCAAACGACTGCCAGGTTGGTGGAAGGCAAACTGGATGTACCTTAGTCTTATTTGCCGAGCAAATTGTCATGATCAATATGTTTTAATAGCTGTACTCTAAGATCTTTATAATAGAGCAGCGATTATACTGAAGTTCATTAGCAGGATTTTTTTATTTAAAAAAAGTATTTTATAACATCAAACCTTGTGTTCAGCTATTTCTTTGAATTTGATCCCCAAAATGCAAACAGAAAGCATTAACAAAATTAGCCACCGGTTAATAGTGTGGATCATTATATTTCAAGCATACAAAAAAAACCTTGCAAGGTCCCCAAAGCAAAACAACAATCAGTCAGAGACTGTTGGAGTGAGGAGGGGTCTCTTACCAGTTCGGTTACCATAATGGGCCACAGTGAGGTCAGATGTTGAGGAGAAATTCTCATCATTAACACCCTGAAGGTGAGGAACATCTGGGAGGTAACAACGGCTGACATTCCCACGCGAAGAGTTTCGGTCATGCGTTCTGAAGATAAAGGGAATAGAGTATCAGCCACGGTTCTGTGGTGTGTCAACCTTGTTCCCTTCCCTCCGGAAGGCTTACACGTTTGATACTGAACAACAGGTGTACTCGAAACATAGAGCATTAGAATAAATAATAATAATATGCATTATTACAAAGTTATCAGTGATCAAGCTGTATAAATTATAAGGGTCGTGTCAGGATTCTCTGACTGTTCTGCTCCCCTCAGTTCCCTACGATTTCTTCCTTATATCCCCAAACTATCCTAAACTTGTTTTCTACAGATCCCTGAGAACCTTATGATCTGATTCCTTCGAGGTGCCAAGTTATCAATGTCGGATTTTTGCCAAGGACCTCTGTATCTTTCACCTTGAGCCTCTGTAACTAAGTATCTCTACTATCTCTTTTCAATCCTCTGGGTTGCCTTGTATGAATATTATGATCAATAATGGCTTATTGATTCCACACGGCCTTTCCTCTGTGTTAACTGTGGTTAACCTTTGCAGTGGTGACACATCTGACATAATTGGAAAAGTTGGAATAGATTGTCAATTTAAACACTGTCAGTTCAACTTCACATGAGGAAAGCAACAAGTTTATGAGTTTTTTTTGTGTGATTCCATGATGGTTCAATTGTAATCCATTCAAAAAAAAAATACTTTGGTCACTCAATACACGACTGTTTGTGGGACACTGCCGTGCACAATTGGCTAGAATTTGGACCCTAGCTGGGGGGGGCGTTGATGGTTTCAGGATTAATAACTAAATTAAAAATTCAATTGAAGTGTCTTATTTTACAAAAACAATGTCATTTAAAAAAACAAAGTAAAAAAAAAATTAAAGTTAAATTAAAAATTACAATTGAAAATGAAAGTGCCTTATTTTACGAAAATGAAGTCGAAAGACATTTTTAAAAACAAAAATTAAATGAAAAATTAAATGAAAGCGTCTTATCTTACAAAAACAAAGTCGAAAAAATGTTTTGTTAAAAATGTTTAGTAAAAAAAGATTAAAATTAAAATGAAATTAAAGAAGCTTATTTGACAAAAAAACAAAGCGAGGCTTGCCTTGTATAAGGGGCAGATACGAGTGATACTGGTCCAGCTCTCCACTGAAGATGGCAAAGGCCTGTCTCTTCACCAGCATTGCTTTTTGCTCATAATTTGCAAAGAGTTTAAGAGAACTGCTCTGGGTGCCTGTATGGAGAGGAAAAAAAACAAACTAAAGTTAACAGTTTAAAGCCAGGTTGACCTGCTGATCCCCTCTATCAACCTGTCCGCTCCCTCCGCTCAGCGGGCTCCGGCTTGCTCCATGTCTCCCGCCCGACCCGCCCTACCGTCGGCGGCCGGGCTTTCAGCCGCTCCGCTCCCACTCTTTGGAACTCCATCCCACAATCCCTTTGCCTCGCTCCCTCTCTTGCCTCTTTCAAGGCTCGACTCAAGACCCTCCTTTTTGACCGTGCCTTCAACCGCCCTCCTACCCCCACTGCCCTCCCTCATCCCAGCCCTGCCCCCTCCTCCCTCACGCTCGGGTCCCGATCCCTGTCTGTTCAGCGCCTTGGGACGTCCGACATGAAAGAAGCTTTACAAGTGTGATTTTGTGGCTGTTAATAAACCTGGACAGATTAGCACTTCTTCCCCTGTATATTAAGTGTTTGAAAAGGGGACCTGATAGAGGCTTTATATGTGTGGAGTCAGGAAACTTGCCTAGTATTTTGCCCCGCCCGGGAATCAAACCCAGGTCCTCTCGCTAGCGAGGCGAGTGCTATAACCACTACGCTACAGGAACTCCACAATGTGAAAGACTTTATATGAAATATGAGGGTCAGCATCATCATCATCATTATTATTATTGTTATTATTATTATAATCCTTGCATTTGATCTAGGGCTTTTTACGTCTTCTAGACGTCTGTATGCTAACGAATGCTCAGCTTGTTGCAACCAGAGAACTTTACACCGGTCGTGTCTGCCAGCAATTCAGATTTCCTTCAATGACAAGCAGGTGGAACTCTCACACACATACACACCCGCAGCACTTACTCATCAAGTCTTTGAACATGGTTTTTTCATGGGTCAGAAGATGGTCAATAATAGATTTCCAACTGATAAAAGAAAGAGAAGGTTATAGCCACTGTTCAATCTATTAGCACCATCAGTGGCCGTGCCTTCTGCCACTACGCCCCAAAACTCTGGAGCACTCTTCCTCTATCCCTCCGCCTTGCCCCTTCATTCCCACCCACCCACCCACTGTCTCTAACCTGTGTGAAGGGCTATGTGTAAATGCAAGTTGTTGTTGTTATCACATTAATTACAACAGCGTTTTTAGGATGATGGATTCTGAAGAACCTTGCAGCCACATTGGTTCTGTGAAACTGGCTATCCTACCGGTAAACCAACCAGCTATTAAATGTATCTACGAGCAACAGTTTGGACTGACCTGCTTTTAAATGCAAAAGTTATGCGGATAAAATTTTAGGGGGCAACCACTGATAAAAACTTCTGGAACAGTCTCCCTAGAGAAACAGCGGAAGCAGAAAATGTAATTTTGTCTCAAGAACAAATAGAAAATAATATCTCGGGATAATGCAGTATACCATTCTGACATAGACAGAATGGTAAAATGGGCGACACATGGCAGATGAACTTCAATGTGGAGAAATGCAAAGTAATACATTTTGGTAGAAAGAATGAGGGGGGGGGCAATATAGGCTGCGGTAATACAATCTTAAAGGGGGTAAAAGAACAGAGAGACCTGGGGGTGCAGGTAAATGAATCCTTGAAGGAGGCAGGACAGGTAGATAGAGCTGTAAAAAGGACATATGGGATACGAGGCTTTATAAATAGGGGAATAGAGTACAAGAGTCAGGAGGTTATGATTAACCCATATAAACACTGGTTAGGCCTCAGTTAGAATACTGCGCCCATTCCTGGGCACCAGACTATAGGAAGGATGTTAAGGCATTGGAAAGGGTGCAGAGGAGATTTACGAGGATGGTACCAGGAATGAGGGACCTTGGTAATGAGGAAAGGCTGGAGAGGCCGGGATTATTCTCATTGGAGCAGAGAAAGTTACGAGGAGACCTAATAGAGGTCTTCAAAATCATGAGGGGATTTGATAGGTTAGAAAGGGAAAAACTGTTCCACTGGTGGGTGTGTCGGTGACTCGAGGTCACAGATTCAAAATAAAATCTAAAAGAAGCCGAGGGAGGGGAAAAGAAATTTTTCATGCAGTGAGTTGTTCGAATCTGGAACACATCGCCTGAAAAGGCGGTGGAAGCCGATTCGTTAACAACTTTCAAAAACGCGGTGGACGGGTATTTGAGGGGGACGGATCTGCAGAGTTGTGGGGAAAGGGCCGGGGATTGAGTGGGATTGACATTACATTGCTCTTCTCAAAGAGCCGGTACAGACTCAATGGACCAAATGGCCTCTTTTTGTGCTGTACGATTCTATGATTCTATGAATATATAGTTTGGGACACAACACGAGAAAGCAACTGTCAGGATGGTGGAAGGCCAAATAGATGGACCTTGGTCTTCTTTCGCCGAGCAAATTCTTCTTATAAAACAGCTTGTCAGAGGTGATTAAGCAAAGGATTTAACCTTGAACTCTGATCGGCAGCCACAAGGACAACGACACGTTCCACTTCAAAACCCGCCCATCACCATCTGGACACGAACACGATAAACACAGATGCAGGCTTCAGGAAGTGATACTATTAATACCAATGTTTCTGAATAAGAATGTGGTTATCGTGCCTTCGACTCCCCTCCATCCTCCACTACCTCAATCCCCTACTCCCACCCCACCTCGCTCAGGGTCCAAATCCCTGCCTGTCCAACCCTTTGGGACGTGAAAGGTGTACAACTATTGCTGTGCATTTGCTTCGACACTTACTGACTGATACACGATGCGTCCATCTGGAAGAAGAGTGGGTCCATGAAGAGCTCGTAGGCTTCCTTCTTCCAGGCTCTCTTTGTGTAGGCATAGCCACTCAGACTGCTCAGCAACTGAGCACTGGCTCGAAAACTGGGCACATTGTAGGCACTGAGAGAGCAATACAGAAATACAAAATTACATTTGATATAGCACCTTTCACGTCCCAAGGCAGTGGATTAAGACCCAAGCAGGTGGGGAGAGTGGCTGAAGGCATTGTCGGAGAGCAGGGTCTTGAGACGTGCCTTGAAGGAGGCAAGGGAGGGAGCCAAGCGAAGGGAATGTGGGATGGTGTTCCGAAGGGTGGGGGCAGAGAGGCTGAAGTCACAAAGTCCTAAGTGTATTAAAGTCACAATGAGTGAATGCATACCAGTTAAAGGACTACAGTTTTCAATGTTTACTGTGAAGGGAAATGTGCGATCATAATAATAATTCTTGCTTTTGATATAGCGCCTGATCATGTCTTCAAGACTTCTCAAAGCGCTTCACATATAATATTGTAAAGTGAATTGACAGTATATTTTGTGGGCGAAACGCGGCAGCCGATTGCGCACAGCAGCGTCCCACAAACAGTCGAATGCAAGGATTACTTGAAGAGTCTGTCTCGTCATTGCTGCTGGTTGAGGTGAGTTATGTACTTGCGTTGTTGCCTTACCTGTGATTCCGCAGGTATGGAAAGACATAGTACAGTAGGCGTGAGATGAGAGGCACAGCCTTATCCTTCTCATCACTGCGGTAAACCATGTCGAGGAGAGGGGCGAGCACCTGAAAATGATGGAAAAAAGACAAAACAAATTCACCAAATGTCTATCTCCACACAGACATCAGTTTTTCTGGCCAACAGTCAAAGAAACCCACATATATTTGACACAAATATAAAAAAGTCACTAATCAATCAAACTGGGAGGTCAGAAGAAACATCTTTACCCAGAGTGTGGTGGGAATGTGGAACTTGCTACCATAGGAGTAGTCGAGGTGAATAGCGTAGATATATTTACAGGGAAGCTAGATACATACTGGCGGGAGAAAGGAATGGAAGGTTATGCTTATGGGGTTAGTTGAAGAAGGGCAGGAAGAGGCTCATTTTGAGCATAAACACCGGCATAGACCAGCTGGGCCAAATGGCCTGTTTCTGTGCTGTATATTCTTATGTAATTCTATGTAATAATTTAATAATTAATCCACTCCAAAGCAAACAGCTCGGGAGACAGTTGGGAACAGTCACTGCCTTTAATCTCCAGCATGCAGATGGTTATGTTTCGATGTGCAAATAGTCACTAGTATGCAGGTTTAGGAAAATGTCTGACAGATCCTACCATCAACAGTTTGCACACCGCTCAATGAGTTTGTGAAACTGTGACTGTTGAGTCCTGTAGCTCAGTGGTTAGAGCACTCGCCTCGCAAGCGAGAGACCTGGGCTCCATTCCCGGGCAGGGCGAAATGTTGACCAAGTTCCTTACTCCACACACCTTTGAACCCGCTAATTAGGCGAACCCAGTTAGTCAATTGGAGGATTACTTTTCCGGGGGTAATAAATCCTTCAAAAAATAACAATAATAATTTGGTCACTCTATCCACGACCCCCAGCTCAGGTCCAAATAACTGATTGTCAAGCGCCTTGGGACGTCCTCCCAATGTGAACGGCGCTGTAGAAATGTAATTTTGCATTGTATTGTTTGTGGGACATTGCTGTACACAATTGGCTGCCGGGTTTCCCCCACGAAATACACAGTAAATTCACTTTACAGTATATTTTGTGAAGCGCTTTGAGACGTTTCGAAGACATGATAAGACGCTGCATCAAATGCAAGGATTATTATTATTATTATCTAGGCGTGGCAAGTGTTACGGGGTGTGTGGTGGTAGCACTCTAGCTAAAAAGATGGCAGTAATGCTGTGCCGTGTATGAAGAAGAGTTAAAATAGTTGAGAAAGAAGAAATTGTTATTGCAGCTGAAGTGAGCTGTTGAGTGTTGACGTGCGCTGCTGTATTGCTTTAATCAGAGCTGGCCTAAAAACCCAAGGCCGATGCGATTAAAACCATCATCAGACGGATCAACTGACCTGCACAATCAGTCTGAAGTAAAGAAAAAAAGTACAATGATGTCAAGGAAAGCTGATCCAAACTTCAGAAGCTCGATACAGGGTGAGAGTGTTCCTTCCTCCAGGAGTGTTCTTCCGATGTTACTTGAATTGGAGCAATAGGCGAAGGAGCAGTTTGCCCAACTTGGTTGCCCATCGCAGCAGCCAATTGCGCACAACAGTGACCCACAAACAGTTATTTTGATTATTATTATTGTTATTATATTTTAATTTATTTTGAAGAAATGATTACCCCCGGAAAAGCGATCCGACAATCGACTAACAACCAGGTTACTACTGACTGCTGGGTAAACAGGGGCGTGTGTGTGGAGTACGGAAACTTGCCCAACGTTACGTCCTGCCTGGAATCAAACTCGGGTCTCTCGCTTGCGAGGCGAGTGCTCTAACCACTGAGCTACAGGACACCACCTGTAAATCGTGGTAAATGCATCTCTGCTTGCTCCCTCATGGCTGAGACTTTATATCCTGTGGAGTCCTGTAGCTCAGTGGTTAGAGCACTCGCCTCACAAACAAGATGACCTGGTTTTGATTCCCGGGCGGGACGAAACGTTGGGCAAGTTTCCTCACTCCACACACACGCCTGTGTTTCCTAGCAGTAAGTAGGAATCCGGTTGTTAGTCGGTTGACGGATCGCTTTTCTGCCTTCATAAAAAAGCAAAAAAAATTTGGTCTCTTCAATCCACGGCTGTTTGCGGGACGCTGTTGTACGCATTTGGCTGCCGCGTTTTGCCCTCAAAACATACAGTCAATTCATTTTACAGTGTGTTCCGTGAAGCGCTTTGAGACGTTTTGAAGATGTGATAAGGCGCCATATCAAATGCAAGCATTATTATTATTATTTAAAAAGTGCAACATTGATGCACAACATCTTTTTGGATGATGAAGCCTCTTTGGCCCATTTGCTCTCATCTTTCCAGAATCCTAGTCTTCTCACCCCAGCATCAAGCTGTTTTTTGAAAATGAATCCAGTTTCCTGGTTCCTATCTAGTAACCTATTCCACTTGTTGATTACCTTCTGGGTAAAGAAATACTTATTGGTGTCTGTACTGAAATCGCCTTTTGCAACTCTAAACCTGAGTCCTCTTGTTCCATGGATCTTGTTGCATTGAAATGTATGGTTCATCCATCCCCTCGAACATTATTATATCCCTTCTTATGTCTTCAGCTCTTTCAAAAGGTCTTACTAAAGCAATACGACTTTAAAATAATATCAATCAACCTGCGGAAATACAGCAGATGTAGAAATTTGCCCGTGTATTGTTGGAGTAATATGTTCAATTCTGGGCACCACACTTTAGGAAGGATGTCAGGGCCTCGGAGAGGGTGCAGAGGAGATTTTCAAGAATTGTTTGGAGAGCATAGAGAGGCTGGGATTATTCTGCTTCGAGCAGAGAAGGGTGAGGGGAGATTTAACAGAGGATTTTCAAAATTATGAGGGGTTTTGATAGAGTAGCGAGGGAGAAGCTGTTTCCTCTGGCGGGTGGGTGGGTCGGTAACCAGAGGACACAGATTTAAGATAATTGGCAAAAGAACCAGACGGGAAACAAGGAGAAATTTGTTTACCCAGAGAGTTGTTACTTTTTCGAATGCATTGCCTTAAAGGGTAGTGGAAGCATATTCGACAATAGCTTTCAAAACGGAATTGGATAGGTACTTGAAGAGGAACTATTTGCAAGGCTGTGGGGAAAGAGCGGAGGAGAGGGTATGATTGGGTAGCTCTTCCAAAGAAGGTACAATGTGCCGAATGGCCTCCATTGGTGCTATATAATTCTATGATTCTACATGGACTTACCTCAGCAAGTAGGGTCAGAGCTTGCACGCTGTATGGAGAGGCAACGGCTGTGGACACCACTGCAGTGGGGAGTGAGAACGAGCCTTAAGGTCAAAAGCAAAGTATTATTTCATTTCTCAGAATGAAGAACTCTGACACACTCACTTGCCTGGTTGTAAAATTCTCATACACATTACATGACTACAGAGAAAGATCCAATAGTTTCACGCTGCTCCAGTGAACAAGCCACATTTTTGTAAACGCACACGACAACAACAACAATACCTGTATGTCGGATCTGACAACATGCACAGAGTCACCAAAAAGTCACGATAATAATAATAATCCTTACATTTGATACAGCGCCTTATCACATCTTTTTGAGACGTCTCAAAGTGCTTGACAGAATGTATTGTAAAGTGAATTCACTGTATATTTTGTGGGTGAAATGCAAATTGCGCACAGCAGCGTCCCACAAACAGTCATAGGCTGAAGTGAACAATTTTTTTTTGGAGAAGGAATTATTATCCCTGGAAAAGTGATCCGCCAATCGACTAACAATTGAGTTCTTATCTACAGCTAAATAAACAGTGGCGTGTGCGTGGAGTAAGGAAACTTGCCCAACGTTTTGCCCTGCCCGGGAATCGAACCCAGGTCCTCTCGCCTGTGAGGCGAGTGCTCTAACTACTGAGCAACAGGATAGCACTTTCAAAGAGCTGGCACAGGCTGTAGGATTCTATGATTCTATAATAATTAAATAATATTTTAAAAAATCACCCCCCCACCCCATACCTCCCAAAATAAAAATTGTTCATTCACCTCCTGAAAAAAAATTGTCGCTGAATCCACGACCGTTTGTGGGACGCCGCTGTGCGCAATCGGCTGCCGTGTTTCGCCCACAAATATACAGTCAAATCACTTCACAATATATTCTGTGAAGCGCTTTGAGATGTCTAAACGACGTGATGAGGCGCTGTATCAAATGCAAGGATTATTATTATTATTATTATTATAACTGAAGTTAGTTGAACTGAGCCTCGAAAGACACTCACTTTGTTCATCCAAGTCAGGATTAGTCTCGTCAGGGTAAACCTGTGGCCCAGCCTTCACCTCCAGGCTTCTGCTTAACCAGCTGGTCTGCTCCAGGGACGATCCAACAACATTCCCCACAGCTTCGATTATTTTCTGGGATACCTCCTGGCAAAAGGACACAGTTGTCAAAAACAGAGGCACAGTTGAACACGACCAAAACAACAATAGCAACAACGACACATGACATTTACACGTTGACCTTCACATCAGGAGGAGGTCCCAAGGCGCTGGACAGTCAGGGATTTTTGACCCATTTTTGGGGGGGGGGTGGCGGGGGTGGGTTTGGGACCAGGGTGTGGTGGAGGGCAGGGAGGGTAGTGGGTAGGAGGGTGACCAACAGCATGGGAGAAGAGGAGGGTCTTGAGATAGGCCTTGAAGGAGGCAAGGGAGGGAGCGTGGCGAAGGGAATGTAGGATGAAGTTCCAAAGGATTGAGGGCAGAGATGCTGAAGGCCCAACCGTCGATGGTGGGGCGGGGCAGGCGGGGGATGTGGAGCAGGCCGGAGCCCGCTGAGCGGAGGGAGCAGACGGGTTGATAAGCGGTCAGCAGGTCACTGCGGTAGGAAGGGGCAAGATCGTGGAGGGCCTTGAAAGCGAGGACGAGGATTTTGAACTCTATCCTCTGGGGGATGGGGAACCAGTGGAGTCAGGCGAAGGTGGGGGAGATGGGGTCTCGGAGCCAGGTGCGGGAGAGGACACGGGCTGCAGAGTTCTGGATGAAAACGCCAAGCATTCACAGGGCAAGGGAAGGCCACTTGCTTGGGCATTAGGAAATGTGCAGACCTTACCTGCAGATCTTTCTGCTCTCTCTTGTTTTCCAAATTGGGAATTCTTAACATGAAATCATTCAGGATGCTGTGAAATTCAGAGCTTTCATTTAATAAAACAAAAATAAGACAAATTGCTCTTCACAAAACGTCAATTCCTAAACTGTTGCAATGACACAAGCTGCACTTGTCACATTCCCCAACAACAGCAACAACAACAACATGCAAACAAGAACAGAAGTCACCGGGAACACTCAGCGGGTCAGGCAGCATCTATGGAGAAAGGAAAGGGAGTCAACGTTTCGGGTCTACGACCCTTCGTCAACAACTTGCAACAACTTGTACAGCTCTCATGTCGGGAGGACGTCCCAAGGTGCTGGACAGTCAGGGATATGAACCTGAGCTGCGTCATGACTTCTAATAACATTAATATTATTGATATCAAAACTCTGTCGTGCACACCCTTCCATAAACAACAACAACTTGCGTTTACACAGCACCTCTCACTCACGCAGGGCAGCGTCCCAGAGTGCTTGACAGTGGCAGAGCGCAACGCTGAGATGGTGGTGGGGGGGGGAAACCATTGGCAGTCAAAGAGGAAGGTCTACAGGCGCGACCTGAAGATGGGGAAGGAAGGGGCGAGGCAGAGGGATAGAGAGAGAGTGTTCCAGAGTTTCGGGGAGTAGTGGCTGAAAGCGCGGCCGCTGGTGGTGGAATGGAGGGCACGTGGGTCATAGTTCCTCTTCAAGTACCTATCATACAGGAGGCCGGAGCCAGCTGGTTGGGGGTTGGTGGGTAAGCAGGTCGGAGAGGATCTTGAAATCGACCCGTTCGGCGATAGGGAACCAGTGGAGCCTGGCGAGGGCTGGGGTGATGGGGATACGAGGTTTAGCGGGTGAGATAGGGAGCCAGTGGAGCCTGGCGAGGGCTGGGGAGATGGGGGTACGGGGTTTAGTGTGGGTGAATGTGCGGGCGGTGGAGTTTTGGATCAGACGGATCCTGCGCATGGTGGAGCTGGGGAGACGGGCAAATAAAGAGGGCATTTGAGAAGTAAAATAAATTAGGTCTATGAACTAGCAATACAGTTACAGGTCAGTGTTTCCCTCAGCCCATACCCTCCGAATGGATGGTCACCCAGGGGTGTACAACAAATTGCGCCAATTCATTCATTTTTTTTAAAAAGAGTCATTTTTTTTAAGAAGAAAATTATTCTGTTTAAAAGTTTTTTTAAAAAATGATTTATTTTAAAAATGTTGCATTGCTAATTCAGGACAGAGGCGTTTTGATCATTGACGTATTATCGGGTTGAGACGTTCAGTGAATCTAAAATGAAACATTTTAAACTTTTTTTCAAAAAAAACAAAAGATGTTCAAAGAAATTTCACTTACATTTTTTCGGTGTATTTTTTTTTAAATTCACAAATTCACGCAGCAAGTTCCAAAACAGACAAACAGTTGGTAATTACCCCATGAGCAGGAAGTGTCCTGGCGGAGCCAAATTCAGCTGAACGGATTCCTTCAAGAGACTCAACATGGAAGGCAAAACCTCTTGCAGGTTGCTTGTGGGAAGCCTTGGGAAAAGGACACAAAGCAAGATGAAATACAACAACAACAACAGCCACTTGCATTATATAATTGCAGTCGTAAATCCTTCCAAAACAACAATAATAATAATAAATTGGTCACTTCAATCCACGACTGTTTGTGGGACGCTGCTGTGCGCAATTGGCTGCCGCGTTTCGCCCACATATACGGTCACTACACTTTACAGCGTATCCTGTGAAGCGCTTTGAGACGTCTCAAAGACGTGATAAGGCGCTGCATCAAATGCAAGCATTATTATTATAGTATATTTTTATATAGTGCCCCTCACTCATGCAGGGTAGGGTCGCAAAGCGCTTGACAGTGGCAGAGCACGACACCAAGCTGGGGAGCTGGGGAGGAGTGAGTGACTGTAGGCACGGTCAAAGAGGAAAGTCTTCAGGCGCGACCCAAAATGGGGAAGGAGGGGGAGAGGCGGAGGGATTGACAGACAGTGCTTCAGAGTTTCGAGGCGAGGTTGGAAGCACAGTGTGGAGAGACACAGATATTATTCCTATTCCTGAGCTACCAATGTCTTCTGACCAGACGAACAACCATAACACAGCGCCCTTCACGTGGGGTAGCGTCCCGGAGTGCTTGACGGTGGCGGAGTCTGACCTCGAGCCGGGGGAGGTGGGGGGAAGAGGGAGGGAGGAGATGACCGTAAGCACGATCAAAAAGCAAAGTCTTTAGGCGAGATTTGGAAGTGGGGAGGGAGGGGGCGAGGCGGAGGGATTGAGGGAGAGAGTTCCAGAGCTTTCGGGGGTAATGAGTGAAGGCACGGTCACCGATGGTGGATAGAAGGGGGCGAGGGACGAACAGGAGGCCAGAGCCAGCCGAGCGGAGGCAGCGGGTGACGGAGTGGGTCTCGGGGAAGCGGGGGAGGGTGTAAAGCAAATCAAATTGATAGGGAGGTGCGAGGGCATGAAGAGATTTGAAAACGAGCCAGAGGATCTTGAAGTTCATCGCTCTTCGGAAGCTCTGAGAGTTTCACTGGGTAGTGGCCTGAGACGGAGGGGTAGGGGGGGCAGGGCGGGAGGAGAAGGAAATACGGGGGAATAAAAAGTCACCAAAATCTATTTCACAGGTCGTCAAACAAAGCAAACGGAAATATGTTTGTTATTTAGAGTTTCTCTCTGGGACCTGTCCAATAATCCCCCGGATAGAAATAGATCATTCACTTTGCTGTTCATGGGACATTGCTGTGCGCAAGTTTCTGAAGAGCTTTGAGAAGCTTCACCAATGTGATAAGGCACTAAATGAAATCAAGGATTATGATGATTATTATTATTATGTTGGACCATTGTAAAAATGCAGCAATGTATTGTGAACTCTGTGGCTGAAAGCTATTACACACACTCTGGGCATACTCAGACGTAACAACAACAGCAAGGAACAAATCACATTTCTATAGCAGCTTTCACGTCAGGAGGACGTCCCAAGGCGCTGGACTGGCAAGGAAAATAATCTTTACGTTTGGTACAGCTCCCTTCATGTCAGGAAGATGTCTCAAAGGATATGCCAATTGCGCACAGCAGTGTCCACAAACATTCATGGATTGAGTGACCATTTTTTTTTGACGGAATTATTAGCCTCAGAAAAAAAATCCATCAATCGACTAACAACCATGTTCCTACTCGCTCCTGGGTAAACAGAGGCGTGTGTGTGGAGTAAGGAAACTTGCCTAAGATTTCGCCCTGCCCGAGAATCAAACCCAGGTCTCTCGCTTGCAAGGCAAGTGCTCTAACCACTGAGCTACAAGCCTTCAGCTGAACGTCTCAAAGTGCTCCCCTGACGGCTTACAAACCGATGTAAACAAGAGCTCTACCAGCGAGGTGGCTATTAAACGATCTCTGGACCTTCGTTGCTAAATAAAACTGAGCCATAAGAAAGTAATCTCAATCGTCAAGAGAAGTGGGATTACCTCTGTAGTAAAGCGAAGCTGAACTGCAGCATCGGGATATCCACTAAAGCTGGCTTCTGTGAACACAGCAATACGTTAGCAAATATGTTATGGCAAAACCAACAACAAATTACATTTGTACAGCGCCTTTCGGTTAGGAGGATGTCCCAACGCACTGGACAGTCAGGGATCCTCACCCAAGATGGTGGTTGGGATCAGGAGGGGCAGAGGGCAGGGAGGGTAGGGGTAGGAGGGAGACTGAAGGCAGGATGAAAGAGGTGGGTCTTGAGATGGATTTTGAAGAAGGCAAGGGAAGGGGGTGAGGGGCAGGGACTGCGGGATGGAGTTTCAAAGGGTGAGGGCAGAGAGGCAGAAGAACCGTCCGTCAATGGTGCTACTAGAAAATCCAGAAGTGAATCAACATTCATTAAAGATAGGATGATGTCTCTTCAGATTACAGCTTTTCATGTGGCTCATTGGGTGAATACGCCATTGAGCTGGACTGAGCATATCCGATTCCCTCTCTCGTTGGGGCCAAGTTAGCTGATACCTCACTCAGGTAACAATCGAGGTGCCAGATTGCTATTAACTCCCCTTGACTGGGAGTGAGTGGAAATGAAAACATGAGCTACGTGTTGTTTTCCATGCCAAAATAACTTGTCTATAGATGAAATAGGAATCAATCAATCAATCAGTCAACCAATAGGACATGGCCTGTGATTGAAGGGGAGGTACATTCAGAACAAATCTGCGGAACCAGTAATTCAACGATCGAGTAGTAAATTTATGGAACAGGCTCCCCAGGGAGACGGTGGAAGTAGAAAATGGGGTTTGTTTCAAGAACAAATTAGATAGATTTCTGCTAGAAAATAATATCTCGGGATAATACAGCGTAGAGTTTGGGGCACGACATGTGCAAGCGACTGCCACTACGGTGGAAGGCAAACTAGATGGACCTCGGTCTTCCTTGGCCCAGCAAATCTGAGGTTCTAATGAAACAAATTCGGAGCCAGAGACATCAGTGTTAATCTCTGCTCAGATTAAATATGGCTGCCTTTTTAAAGTGGAGATATTCAATGGTGTGCTCCCACTCCTCCCGCACCCCCTCCGCACCCAACGCATTGCAAAAACGCTCCCCCACCCGCTCCAAAAATATCATCTCAATCAATCTCAGTTCGTAAGCTCCAGGAGTCACCTCCTCTCCTTTGGTCTGCTGTGGCTTTTTCACAACCTCTTTGATGAGTTGCAATATGCGGTCGGTCTTGAGCGTGTCCAGCCCTTGGACTAAATCTACCAGCGTCAGCTGTGCTTCGCTCGCCACCGGCAAGATCTGTGAGTGCAAAATTCAAGGCAACATTAGAATTATAACAATGCACCGGTCCGTTCATGTCAGGAGTCTGGCTGTCTCAGAGGAGTCCCGTGGCATAGTGGTTACCGCGCTCGCCTCGCAAGTGAGAGTGCCCGGGTTCGATTCCCTCAGGCAAGTTTCCTTACTCCACTCGTCTCTGTTGACCTAGCAGTATGTAAGAACCCAGTGGTGAGTGAGTCGATTGGCGGATCGGTTTCCGGGAGTAATAACTAATAAAGAAACTGGCCCATCGTTTCGACCTGCCCGGCATTCAAACCCGAGTCGTCTCGCTTGCGAGGTGAGTGCCCTAACCACTGAGCTAAAAGTGAGCATTTGTCGCAAGAATGTTTTCAGTTACAAGCCTCGACCTTTCCCTTGGTTTTGCTCTGCCGCTTGCTGCCTTTCTTCTTGTTCCACACGGCTGCCACGGCTGCCATCAAGTGGACTCCCATCTGTGCGGCAAATGGATTCAGCAGGTCCAAGATTTTCTGCCTGAAAGTCTGAGGAAGAGGAGGAGAGAAGAGATTACAATCCGAACACTAACCCAACAAACAATTCATCCCTTTTCGTTCTAACACAGAGCCTAATAATAATCCCTCCAAAACCAAAAACAATAACAAATTGGTCATTTTCAATCTACGATTGTTTGTGGGACATCGCTGTGCGCAATTGGCTGCCGCGTTCGCCCACAAATATACAGTCAATTCACTTTACAGTGTGTTCTGTGAAGCGCTTTGGGACGTCCTCCCGACGTGAAAAGCGCTATATCAAATGCAAGGATTATTATTATTATTATTATTATTATTAACGAATCTCGGCTGGGACGAAAGCTATGTACAGATTTGCAAGAACCCGATTGTTAAGTCGATTGGTGGCTTGATTTCCGGGGCTAATAATCCCTCCAGAAAATAATAATTTGGTCACTAATTTGGTGGGACGCTGCTGTGCGCAATTGGCTGCCGCGTTTCGCCCCCAAACGTGTGACACAGTCAATTAACTTTATATTCTGTGAAGCGCCTTGAGGCATCCTGAAGACTCTATATAAGAATAGTAATACTTGGATTTCATACATCAAATGTAAGGCTTATTATTATTTTATTTTATTATTTAGAAATCTCCTTGCGTCAGGAACCCACATCAGTTAAGGACGAGGAATTACAATCTTTATTTTCCAGAACAATTACTTTCCAAAAAATGCAGAAAGATAAAAAAAAACACACTTCAATAACTTCACGGGTACTAACTTTAGTGGATTTGAAGTAGACAGAGTAGGAGCCCTTGGCCACACCGAGGAGATTCACTGGCTTTCTCTGCGATTCCTCGCTGCGGATCACACCCCAGAGGACGGACATGCAGTTGATAATCAAAGACAGTTCCTCCAGGATTGCGTTCCTAGCGTTCTTCAGGCTTGTGGAATCACCCGGAGCTGCAGACTAGTGCGAAGACATAAAAAAACAGTGACAATAGCAAACAAATGACGTTTACACAATACCTTTCAAGTCGGCACAACGTCCCAAGGCCCTGGACAGTCAGAGATTTGGACCCAAGCAGAGAGAGAGGGGATTGGATTAAGGGAGGGTGGAGGGCAGGGAGGGTAAGAGGGTGAGCGTGGTCGAAGAGGAGGATCTTGAGATGGGCCTTGAAGGGGGCAAGGGAGGGACCGAGGCGGAGGGACTGTAGGATGGAGTTTCAAAGGGTGGCGGTCAGAGAAGCTTGTGAAGAGATGCCTTAGCGACGTGATAAGGCGCTATATCAAACGCAAGGATTATTATTAATATTACTTGCGTTGACTGCAAAATACCTTTTTCGCTTGCGTTGAACTATCCAAAAGGCAGAAGTGAGAAATTGCAGTGAGGCCTTCCAAAAGGGTCAGTGGATAATCTGGAGGGATGTTTTCCTTTTTAGTGGTTGCGCTAAAAATATAAGGGAACCAAAGTCAAAAGGAAAGCAGAGTTCAATTTATATACGTAGCATTCGGTCCCTCAGTCCACGGCTGTTTGTGGGACGCTGCTGTGCGCAATGGCTGCCGCGTTTCGCCCACAAAATATAAAGTCAATTCACCTTACAGTATATTGTGTGAAGCATTTTGAGACGTCTAGAAAAAGTGATAAGGCGCTATATCAAATGCAAGGGATTATTATTATTAATATTAATTTGCTTTGCAGTATCTTCCGCAGAGCTCTTTGAGGCTTCTCACCACCGCGATATCAACAACAAATTACATTTGCATCGCGCCTTTCACAATAAGGCCTGCACCAAATGCAAAGATTATTATTATGTATTATTACTACCTGATTGTGCGCTTTTCACTCTCTCGCTCGTACTGTTGAACAAGGCTGTCCAGGTTCCTGCAGATCTGCGCCACGAATGGTGCCACAACTAGTCCGAGGGATTTTTCCAGGTAAGGCAGGGAGGCTGTAACCATGCTCACCCAAGGGGGGTGAATACTGTAACCATATTGAGGCTGCAAAGCCCTAACCACAGCCGAGACGAACATTCCCTGGGAGATGATGGGTTGAGACTGCACGTAATCATGGCGGTGATGGACTGCTGGAAGTTGATGACCCGTTGCCACTCTTTGGAGAGTTCGGAGGAGGTACCCAGATCGACGACGGGAACCTGGCCCAGATGGTGCTCCAACACGATGAGGACTTGCAGCAGCTTCAGCAGCTCGATCTGGAGAGGGTGCTCGCTCCAAATCTGGTCTTCCCCGAAGTTAACCAGGCTCTCCTCCGACAGGCCCTCCTCGATGAACTCCTCGTGCCTGTCGGCCAGGCTGAGCCTGTAACTCTTCTCGCTGATGTACATGGAGGCAGAGAGGGCGAGCAGCACGTACTCCTGGACTTTGCACTTGGACAGCAAGTCGCCAATGAACTCGATATTCTTGCAGTCCCGGGGTTTGGCAACGGCCACCAGTTGGGTCATCACCCGGATCAGGACCTCCACGCTATTCACCTGGACTTCCCGGTTCCCCAGCAAATCCTTGTGCGTCAGCCTCATCTGGCACGGGTAGTAGGACCTCAGGAAACTCAGGCAGAGGTAGGTGAGCAACTCCAACATCAGGGAGCGGTGGGACGCGCTCGACTGTGCCGGAAGCTTACCGTAAAAGCTCTGTCCGTCGAGAGACTCCTGGTGCCGGGCCAAAAGGTTGTTGATAAGATTCAACTGGACGATGGAGGTGGTGTCCATGCTGGTGCTGGACAGGGCTTCGATGAATTCCTTAGGGGTGGCTTTCAACACGGCCTCTAGGACGGAGAAAGCGTACAGCACCCGCTTGGCATCGTAGGGCTGCCCGTACAGCAGCACGTGCTTGAACAAGGCCTCCACCAAGACGTGCTTCTCGCGCCGACGTTTCAGGAGCTTTTCGCGACTGATCAGCTGCAGTTCCAGGTCAATTTCCTCCTCGTCGCTGGACAGCGACTGCGAGGTCTGGGTTTTCTCCGAGTCGGTGTGGACCAGCGGCAGCTGGGTTTGGGGCCGGGGTCCGCCTGGGAAACTGGGGCCGTTCAGATCCCCCTCCAAATCACCCGCGCAGCCGCGCTCGTCTTCCTCGGTGGTGCTCATGGAATCGCGAGGCTCGGGGCTCGGCAGCGAGGCGGAAGAGGTGACGTCTGTGGACCCGGCTCCCGAACTGGCATCAAGGGATTCAGTCCGGCCGCTGTGTTCCTCCTCAGCGATGTTCTCAGACGGTTCACTGAGCTTGCGAACGCAGCTCTTTATCGGGACCTCCCGCTTCGCGGTGGAACGCTCTGGGTATCCTTCCACCTCAGCCCACAGGGCCTCTCTGTCCACTGATGAAATGTGTCCGAATAAGACGCTCTCCTCAGAGCTACTTTCCGATAGCACGCTACATGCTTTCGAGTAGGCTGCCTTCTTGTTCAGTAAAAGCTGAAGATCGTCTGAAACCCAATTGCGCACAATTACAAACACGAGTTTCCGATCGGGCTCATAAAATTCGTTGCATTCGTTGCAGCACCAAAATGTGACTGTGTGTATTTGTTGGCAGCCAATTTAAGCACAGCAATGTTCCATCAATAGCCAGGAGGTGAATGACCAATTTATCTCGAGGATTGAAGGCCAGGACACCGGGAGAAAGGAACCTTGCCTAACGTTTCGCCCTGCCGGGAATCAAACCCAGGTCCTCTCGCTTGGCGAGGCGAGTATTCTAACCACAGAGCCACTGGTGGGTGGGGGACGGATTGGTGGGTGTTCTGGAAGTATGAGATCAGATAGACCTAAGAACCTTCTTCATCCAAACCAATCTTGTGATCTTGGGTTAAATCTTGTCGTTGGGAGTCCTGTAGCTTTGCAAGTGAGAGGACCTGGGTTCGATTCCCGACATGTTGGGCTAGTTTCCTTACTCGACACACACACACGCCTCTGTTTACCCAGCAGCAAGTAGGGACCCTGTTGTTAGTCAATCGGCGGATTGCATTTCCAGGTGTAATAATCCCTTCCAAACATAATAATATATAGTAAATTGGTCAGTTCAATCCATGACTGTTTGTGGGTCATGGATGTGTGCGCAATTGGCTGCCACGTTTGGCCCACAAAATATAAATGAAAGTCAGTTCACTTTACAGTATAACCTGCGAAGCGCTTTGAGACGTCTCGAAGACGTGATAAGGCGCTATATCAAGTGCAAGGATTATTATTATTTTGTCTTAATTGTTTTGTTGATTTGATATGGAGGCCTGACTTTATAACACACACACACACCAACACACAAGCCCAAGAGTGCAGTTGACGATTACCTCCAATTACTTTCTTTTTCAGGCACTGGATGGTGGTGCGCTGGGTCTTTGGGTTGAGGAGCAGCAGCAAAACGGGTTCGAGAATTCGAGCGACGTCGTTGAGAGACAGCGCCCTGACAAGCCAGCCCTGCGCTGCGACACCAATTGCCCCGTCTGAACAGTTCAGGCTATCCAGCACCACAAACAGACACCTGGACACCAGGAGGAAGCAAAGAGTTATCATACAGTGCAACCCGCTGAGTACGAGAGCATATCTGGGCCCAACGTCTCGAGCCCAGTTCATAACCAAGCGCATAAAAATAATAACAATGATAATAATGCTTGCATTTGATACAGAGCCTTATCATGTCTTCAAGACGTCTTAAAGCACTTCACAGGATACACTGTAAAGTGTAGTGATTGTGTGTTTTGTTGGCGATGTCCCACAAACAGATTGAGTGACCAAATTATTATTATTAGTAGTAGTAGTAGATTGGAGGGATTATTACCCCCAGAAAGCGATCCGCCAATCGACTAACAAATTGTTTCCTACTTACTGCTAGGTAAACAGAGGCCTGAGTGTTGAGTCAGGAAACTTGCCTAAGGTTTCGCCCTCCCGGGCCGGGAATCAAACCCAGATCCTCTCGCTTGTGAGGCAAATGCTCTAACCACTACGCTACAATTAATACCAGCTGTACCCACTGCAGCCACGCTTGCCACCAAACGATCCAATATGGAATGTAGATTTCCGTGATGCACAACAACAACAACAAGATTGCATTTATAGAGCGCCTTTCACGTCGGGAGGACGTCCCAAGGCGCTGGACAGTTGGATCGGGACCCGAGCAGTGGGGGAAATGGTCAGGGTGAGGGGAGGGAAGGGAGGGAGCGAGGAGGGGGTAGAGAGTCGAGAGGGGAGCTGAAGGCACGGTCAAAGAGAAAGGTCTTGAGACCGGCCTTGAAGGAGGAAAGGGAGGAGGCGGCGAAGGCACTGGGGGATGGAGTTCCAGAGCCTCGGGGCTGAGGCTGAAGGCCCGGCCACTGATGCTAGGGCGGTTGGGGCGGGGGATGTGGAGCAGACCGGAGCCAGAGGAACGGAGGGTACGGGCAGGCAAGTAGGGGGATAGTAGGTCAGAGAGGTAGGAGGGAGCAAGGCCGTGAATGGCCTTGTAGGTGAGGATGAGGATCTTGAATTCGATCTTCTGGGGGATGTGAAGCCAGTGGAGGCGAGCGAGGGTGGGAGTGATGTGGTCGCGAAGCCTGGTGCTGGACAGTACATGAGCTGCAGAGTCACAAACCATTTAACACGCCATGAACACTGTGTGTACTCCTTAAGCAAAACTGCCATACATGTGTGATGAGCTTGTTCAGGTCATAGCTCATCAATAATAGGAGATGCCCACACAAAAAATATGCCCATGACACTCCCCCAGTCCTTTCCGATGAGGTATAAATCACGTTAATCGGTTATCGCGTTATTGGCGGACAGCCACACAGATAGACATTTTGTCTTTATTAGTATAAAATAAAAATGTTTTTACTCACTTGGGCGGACTTCCTTGTGGTGAGGTTGTTGCCAGTTACTTCCTGCGCACTGTAGGTGCATGTTAAGCGCAGGTAGGAAGAGCTACTCAGACAGTGCAATGAATGGCAAGCTCTGTGGTTTTAACGGGTTAGACTCCAGCAGTTACCCCAACGCACACTCTGGGCTCCCCCCACCCCAAGCCTTGGCTCTTGCCAACCTGAACCTAATACTCTCCGGAATTAGGTAAGCGGGATGTGTCCCTCCAGGAAGAGAGAGAGAGAGAGAGAGAGAGAGAGTGCCTTCCATTCCAACAACCTCTGGGATTTCCATGTGTAAGTGGGAGGCATGGAATTCCCAGTTTGGTTTGGAGACTCTTAAACACGGTGATGGGTTTCCGCACGTGTCAGAGCAAAAAAAACAAGTACCTGTCAAACGAGCGGGCGCAGAAGGAGGTTCTGTCGCCCTGAATGTCCCGGGTAAAATGCCACAGCACCGAGAACCTGAAGAGAGTCTCCAGCCTTGTCGCCTTGAGATGGGGAAAATAATAAGTCAATACACAATCCTTGTGGAGGGTCACACCTGGGATGCACTGAATCTTATTTTACGCCACTTTCGTGTCGGGAGAATGTCCCGAGGCACTGATGTGGGGTCTGCCCTCTTTTCGGTCTTCCCAGCTCCGCCGTGCACGAGATCCGGCTGATCCAAAACTCCACCGCCCACATACTCACCCGCACTAAACTCCGCCCCTATCACCCCAGCCCTCGCCAGGCTCCACTGGCTCCCTATCGCCGAACGGATCGATTTCAAGATCCTCTCACACTCGTTTTCAAATCCCTTCACGCCCTGGCACCTCCCATCCTCTCCATCCTGCTTACCGCCTCCCAAACCCCAACCCACTGCCTCCGCTCAACCAGCTCCGGCCTCCTGCTTGTCCCTCGTGCCCACCCTTCCACCATCGGTGGCCGCGCTTTCAGCCGCTACGCCCCGAAACGCTGAAACACTCTCCGTCTGGCCCTCAGCCTTGTCCCTTCCTTCCCCATCTTCGGGTCATGTCTAAAGACCTTCTTACTCGACCATCTCCCCCCCCCTATTCCCGGCTCTGCGTCGCGCTCCACCACTGACAAGCGCTCTGGGACGCTACCCTGGGTGAGTGAGGGGACGCAAGGTGTTGTTGTTGTTTGCACCCAAGCTGGGGGTGGGTGATCGACCTCAGCCACGAGGAACTCTCCCCAAATGAATCCCTTTACCTCTCCCCCTCCCGGCTTCTTCTTCACCCAACCTCCTCCCTTCCCCTCCCTTCCCCCACTCCACCCCCACCCCCCCGCTACATGATCTCCAGGTAAATAATCACACGTTGAAAAAAAATCACAAGGCAGGTTTGTTTGTGTTAGAGCTGCAATCAGAAAGAGCTTGAAGTGACTTCAAAGGTTCAGTTACTCAATGGGTTCTAGCCATCACCGAACGGATCAGTTTCAAGATCCTCAAACTCGTCTTCAAATCCTTTCAGGCCCTGGCACCTCTCAACCTCAACCTCTCTGACCAGCTTACCCCCCAACCCACACACCTCTGCCTCTGCTCAACTGGCTCCGGCCTCCTGCTTGTCCCTCGTGGCCTCCGTCCCACCACCATTAGCCGCTCTATCAGCCACTACGCCCCGAATCTCAGGAACACTCTTCTCTACCCCTCTGCCTTGCCCCTTCCTTCCTCATCTTCAGGTCGCGCCTGAAGACCTTCCTCTTCAACCGTGCTTACGGTCACCTCCCCCTCCCCCCGATTTGGAGTCGTGCTCCGCCATTGTCAAGCGCTCCAGGAGACTACCTTTTGTGAGGAGCATTGTGTAAATGCAAGTTGTTGTTGTCGTTCAACTCTGTGACCTGATAATCCTTTATCAACATGTCCGCTCCCTCCACTCGGCCTGCTCCACTTCCGCCGCCCGTCCCGTCCCACCATCAGCGATCTGGCCTTCAGCCTCTCCTTCCCCACCCCTTGGAACTCCATCTCACAGTCCCTTCGCCTCTCCCCCTCCCTTGCCTCCTTCAAGGCCTGTCTCAAGATCCCTCATCTTTGACCGTTCTTTTGGCTACCCTTCCTGCCCTCCACCCTCCCTTACCCCAATCCCTACTCCCACCCAGCTCGGGTCCAAATCGCTGACTGTCCAGAGCCTTGGGACATCCTCACGACGTGAAAGGCGTCGTACAAATGTAATTTTATATTGTGTTGTTGTTGAATGGTCAAAAGACAGTGAAACTTACCTTATCTCTGTGAAGCAAGGACTGGCAAATGATGTCCTCACAAATGTTGGCAGAAGGGGCCAGGCAGTGTAGTTTATAGAAGAGCTCCACACAGGTGACGTGATGCTCTCTGCTCTCCTTATTAAGCTGGTTCCACAGAACGTGGGAGACCCTCTGCATTTGAACATGACAGGACGTTGAAGGTTAAAAAAAAAAGTCTTTAAAGTCAGTCGTGGACATTTAATAATAACAATAATAATCCTTGCATTTGATACAGCGCCTTATCACGTCTTCGAGACGTCTCAAAGCGCTTCACGTGTAGTGTCAAGTGAATTGACTGTATATTTTGTGGGCGAAACACGGCAGCCAATTGCGCATAGTAGGGTTCCCACAAACAGCTGTGGATTGAAGTGACCAAATTATTATTTTTTTTAAAAGTATTTAATTTTGAAGGGATTATTAATCGGCTAACAACTGGGTTCCTACTTACTGCTGGGTAAACAGAGGGTGTGTGTGGAGTAAGGAAACTTGCCTAAGATTTCGCCTTATCTTCATTTGTGTAATAAACTCCTTTTAACAATCATAAATGAGGAGCCATCAACTTATCAGAAAATACAAAGACCCCCAAAAACACAGCTGTTTTGTGTCTTCCCTCCCCCCCCCCCCACACACACACACAAACACACTCTCCTTTATCCACAATCACAAACAGTTCAAAAGGTAAGATGGACTGAAACTGACCTGATAGAAGTTGGTTTTCTCTGCCATGAGCTTGAGTGTGGCTGGAGGGATGGGGGGGACAGTCATCATCTGCAGCTTGCCCAGGAAAGGGTTGTTGTGCCCGGAGATCTTGTACCTTCTCACTTTGTCTTCGAGGACGAGTTCCAGCGACTGAGACCGAGTGATGATCTCCAGCAAAGTGGAGGTGGCCACATTCTGCACGTGACAATCACTGATGCAGCAAGACAGAGTCATCAAGGACTTGAGCCACAGGGGCAAGCTGCCATCACCGTTGCCTGGAGGATCGAAGCAGAAGTCCTCCCATCAGAGATAACAATAATAAGAATCCTTGCTCCGTCCCCAGCCTCCTGTTTGTCCCTCGTTCCCTCCGTTCCACCGTCGTTGGCCGCACTTTCAGCCGCTACGCCCCGAAACTCTGGAGCACACTTCCTCTATCCCTCCACCTTGTCCCTTCCTTCCCCACCTTCAGGTCGCGCCTGAAGACCTTCCTCTTCGACCGTGCCTAGGGTGACCTCCCCCTCTCCTTCCCCTGGCTCGGCATCGTGCTCGGCATCGAGCGCTCTGGGACCCTACCCTGCGTGAGGGGAGTGGGGGGCGCTGTGTAAATGCAAGTTGTTAGTGTTGATATCACGTCTTTGTGACGTCACAGAATATGCTGTAAATTGAGTTTCACCACTCGACGGGGACGATATTCCCTCCCAAAACAAATGAATAAATTTATTTGCGGGACGCTGCTGTGCACAATCTGCTGCCGCGTTCGGCCCTCGAAATACAGTCACTCCACTTTACAGTATATTCTGTGAAGTGCTTCGAGACAACTCGGGCTTGACTACGCCAACTGCGTAGCTCGCTGGACTTCCCAACTCTTCCCTCGCACAAGCTGACAGATTGTTCAAAACTCTGCAGCTCGTGTCCTCTCCCACAACAGTCTCCGCGAACCAATCGCCCCCTGTTCTGGCCTGGCTTCACTGGCTCCCCATCCCTCAAAGAATCGAGTACAAAACCCTCGTTCTAACCTTCAAAGCCCTCTCACTTCTTGCTCCCCCTTACCTTCCGACCTCCTAACCCCACAACAGCCTCTCCGCGCCCACCGCTCGGACTGCTTCACATCCCCCACACTTCCCGCCCCACTTTTTGACGGTCAGGCTTTCAGCCTCTCTGGACCCCACCCTCTGGAACTCCATCCCACAGTCCTTCTGCCTCATCCCCTCCCTTGCCTCTTTGAAGACCCGTCTCAAGACCCTCCTCTTCGACCGTGGCTTTGGTCACCCACCTACCCCCTTATGTGCCAGGTCCTCCACCCCCTCCTGATCCCAACCCACAGCTCAGTTGTGAATCCCTGACTGTTCAGGACCTTGGGATGTCCTCCTGACGTGAAAGGCGCTGTGCAAATGTAATTTGTTGTTGTTGTATAGCGCCCTTCACATGGGGTAGCTTCCCGGAACGCCTTAACACTGTGTATAGCAGTTGTAAGCGCTCTGGGACACTACACTGCGTGAAGAGGAGCTGTATAAATGTAAGTTGTTGTTGTTGTTGGCAGCTTACCCACGTTACTGAAGGCGGAGGAGCAGAAGGCGTCGATCTCCTCGCAGGACAAGTAGACGGGGAAACTGGCGCACTCCAAGAGGAGCTGACAGGTTGCAGCGAAGGCCAGTCTGCAATCCTCGCTCACCTCCTCCACCTCCTGTAGCACCCGGTCCACGTCCCAGTGCCCCTCCTCCTCCTCCCCCTCCTTCCCCACTCTCCCACTCCTCTGCTCTCCAGGGCCTGGCGACAACACCACCGGCTGAAGCTGCTGCTCTTGGATCTTCTTCTTCAGCTGTTGCTGCTGCTTGAACGTCTGCGCCCGGACGGTGAAGAAATCCGACAGCATCTGCTTGAACTGCGGCACGGTGACCTGCTTCTTGACGTCCTTCCCGTCCCCCGCGGCTCTGCCCGTTAACCCTCCCGCCCCCGCCGACAAGCCCCCGCCGTCCTCGCCCGGCCTGGGGTGCTGGCAATCGGTCCCGAAGAAGTGCTTCAAGGTAAAATGGGCCAACAGCTGTTGGATGTTCCGGACGGTAGCCTGAACGCTCCCGTTGCTCTTCCAGACGTCGCTGACTCTGGGGTCCGGGCGACTGTGCGACCTCTCCTGCCCCATCACGCTCAGCCCAATCCCGCTGTCTTCCGATCGGAGCGAAGGGAAGATCCCAATCCTCCCAGTTCGCTCTTCCGGGCTGGGCTCAGTCTCGGACCCCGTCTCACTGTTCTCCTTCAAGGGGATCTGAGAGGGTTTGGCCAATATTAATAATAATAATAATATTCCTCGTATTTGACAAGGCGCCTCGTCACACCTTCGAGACGTCTCAAAGCACTTCGCAGAATATACCGTAAAGTGTAGTGACTGTGTATTTTGGGGGCCAATCGTGGCAGCCAATTGGGCACAGCTGATATTATTTACCAGAATTCAACAAGCTCTGATAAAAGCCGAATAATAATAATAATAATAATGATCCTGTTCACAAAAAGTATAGTTTTTAAGGGATTATTACTCCCGGGAAAGCGATCTGCCAATCGACCAACAACTGGGTTCCTACTTACTGTTGGTTAAACGAGGGCGTGTGGGGTAATAAGGAAACTTGCCTAAGGTTTTGTCCCTGTCTGAGAATCGAACCCGGGTCCTCTCTCCTGCGAGGCAAGTGCTACAGGACTTCATGGGTCTGTGCTGTTAAATCCACCAATTATCTTCCCTCCTTCTCCGGACAGCTTCATAAGCAATGCCACTGATCTGCCAGGCTTTATTGTGACATTTCATCTATGTTCTGTTCTTCCCCTCCCCAAACACACATCACACACACCACACACATACATGACACACACACACCACACAAACACACACCACACACACAGAAGCACACATGCACACGCACCACACAAACACACACCACACAGACACACCACAGACAGACACACAAACACTTACCTCAGCCGTTTTTCCACCATCTATTTCGGTTTCGCCGTTGACCTGCAGCTCCTCATCCATGAAGGGGGCGGGCAGCTGAATCTTGCTGAGTATCTTGTAGCAGGTTCTCAGGCTTGTGGTAAGTTCTGTGGGTCCGAGGCTCTCCATGTTCTCTACCAAACAGTCGACCATGTGATGCAGCATTTGTGGGAGGAACTGGGTCTGAATTTCGGAGCAGAGTTCCTGAAGGTGATGGATCAAAAGGTTCCTTCTGTTAGCAAATATCATCCTTTTGCAAACCGAGCGCTGATAGACAATCCTTGCATTTGATACAGCGCCTCATCACGTCAGGAGGACATCCCAAAGCGCTGGGCAGTCTGAGAGCCGCACCCGAACTGGTGGTTGGGATCAGGAAGAGGTGTACGGTGGGAGTTTAGGGGTTGGAGGGTGTCCGAAGGCACACGGTCGAAGAAGAGGGTCTTGAGACGGATCTTGAAGGAGGCAAGGGAGGAGTGCGAAGTGGAGGAACTGGGGGATGGAGTTCCAGAGGGTGGAGTCAGAGAAGCTGATGGCAAACAACATCATCAACAAGCAAACCAAATCGGATAGCTTTGTAAAGAGTGAAGACTTCATGCTCCCAGTCATTCAGTCAGCGCACGTCACTTTGAGCCTCATCAACCGTTTTGACTTCAAGAGGAACGCACTGAAATAAGGTGGGAAATGCATTGTACCTCGACAGGGGGCAGGCGAGTGAGTCAGGGAATCTCGGGCTTTGGGACCCGAAAGTGAGGCCGCTATGATGTGAATCTGGTTTCGTAACAGCACTGCAATATACATCGGGAACGGACATTAAGAAAAATCATGGCAAGTTGGTCATACCTTCTGAAGACAGATCCAGGGGGTAAAACAATGCAAAAAGAAACAGAGAAAGGGAATGAAATACACGAATGACAGCACATCCAACAAGTCTGAGGGGTTGTGCCCGCGAATCGCCGCGCATTGAAATCTCAGCAGTAGAGATAATAATAAGCCTTTCATTTGATATAGCGCCTTATCGCGTCTTCGAGACGTCTCAAAGCACTTCTCAGGATATACTATAAAGTGAATTGACTGTATATTTTGTGGGCCAAATGCGGCAGCCAATTGCGCACAGCAGCGTCCCACAAACAGTTGTGGATTAAGTGACCTATTTATTATTATTTTTTTTGGAAGGAATTATTACCCCAGGAAAAGCGATCCGCCATCGACTAACAACTGGGTTCCTACTTATTGCCGGGGAACAGAGGCGTGTGTGTGGAGCAAGAAAACTTGCCCAACGTTTCTCCCTGCCTGGGAATCAAACCCAGGGTCGCTCGCTTGTGAGGCGAGCGCTCTAACCACTGAGCTACATAAGACGCATTTTTTCATAAGACACGCCCAAAAAAAGGACCTCCACCCAAGCCTCCCCCCACTCCAAAAATAATAAAGTCAGTCTGCCACTGGAATACAAATCAAATAATCATATCAAATTGCTCTCCTCGACTCGATCCCTCCATCTTGCCCCCCCCTCGTTGATCAGACCTGAAGACTTTCCTCTTCCCTTTCTCCCCGGCTTGGGGGGGCGGGGGGAGGGGGTGTCAAACACCACCCTCAAGTACTCTGAGACCGCCACCTCTGCCTGAAGGCCGCTTACACAACAGGTGCAAATTGTTTCTGTTTGCTCCTTGTGGTTTCCTCAGCAAAACAGCAGCCCTCAAATAAAAAATGTGATCGTTTTTCAAACGATTCAATAAAGTAGCTTCAGAAATGTTTCAGGACGCAACAGGAATGATAACTTTTAAGCAAACGCGTGTTTTTTTAAAAAAAAACACAAAAAAATGAGCCTGAGCTACCGAGACAACCGCAGAGGGCTGGATTCCGACATTCCGTTTGCCAGGCATGTCACCTCGGATATAGTTGAGCTCCAAGGAGAGCCTGTGAAGAGGAAGCACCTTTAGTTGAGTGGCATTTCTGTTACTGCAAATCCTTAAGTCAACAGGGTTTCCCGGTGACAACGTGACCCAAGAAGGAAGCTATTGATAACCGTGCAATGTAGGTGCTGGCGATCACCACGCGGGCAGATCAGCGAACGGGAAATGAACTAACAGGGAGCTCGGAGTCAGCAAAGTCTCGGCCACTTCGAACAAGTTTGCGAGTACGTCGCACTCACCAGGGGAACGACCTCCAAAAGGAACACCATCAAACAGCACAGCTCTAGCACAGTGGGCCATTCACTTGGACGTTCCTCCACTTTGGGGGCTTTTGGCTGAGATCGGCCCCTGTAAATGGCGTAACAAAGGCCGCAATTAGCAATTATAATAATCATAACAATCCTTCCATTTGATATGGCGCATTATCAGGTCTTAAAGCACTTCACAGAGTATCCTGTAAAGCCAATTGAATGCATATTTTGTAGGCGAAACGCAGCAGCCAATTGCGCGCAGCAGCGTCTCACACAAACAGTCGTGGATTGAGCGACCAAATTATTATTACTATTTTTATTTTATTTTTTAATTTTGAAGGGATTATTACCCCCAGAAAAACGATCCACCAATCGACCGACAACCGGGTTCCTACTTACTGCTGGGCAAACAGAGGCGCGTGTGTGTGTGGAGTGAGGAAACTCGCCTAAGGTTTCGCCCTGCCCAGGAATCGAACTCAACTCCTCTCGCTTGCAAGGCGAGCGCTCTAACCAATACGCTACCACTAAATTATTCAGCGGACATGAGAGCAGATGTACCAGAGAGTCACAGGATACGGGGCCAAAGTCTTTTCAATATGTACATTTGTACTTTCAGGAGCTTTACCTGATGCAGTCTTCAAACAGTCTGGTCATATAATCCCACAGGTAGTCCGTGCTTAAAGCGCTGATCAGTAGATTCACCGTCTTTATCACTTCCAACGCATTTTTGTTCTGTTTAATTTCGCTGCAGAGGGAGGGACAGGGGGATGGTGGAGAAAGAGGAAGAAACAAAGAGTTGTCTTCACAAGTCTGATCGATCTACCGTTGCTTAGAATGTAAAACACATTTGCTAGGAGATAATATTAATCATAATATTAATAATATCAATAATAATAGTAATATTAATAATAATATTAATAGGAATCCTTGCATTTGATGCAGCGCTTTATCACATCTTCAGGGCGTCTCAAAGCGCTTCACAGAACATACTGTAAAGTGAGTTTGACTGTATATTTTTGTGGGCAAAATGTAGCAGCCAATTGCATAACACAGTAGCGTCCCACAAACAGTTATGGATTGAATGACCCAACTGTTGTTATTATTATTTATTTATTTTTGGAGGCAATATTACCCCAGTAAAAGTGATCCACCAATCAACTGACTACGGGTTCTTACTTATTGATAGGTAAACAGAGGCGTGTGGAGCAAGGAAACTTGCCTAAGGTTTCGTCCAACTCATGACAAAGTACCTCTTGGTCTTTGAACACAATCATGATCAAGGCATTCAAATAATAAAATAGACAACCCAAAGTGCTTCACAGAATATACTGTAAAGTGAATTGACTGAACATTTTGTTGGCGAAACTGGGCAGCAAATTGGGCACCACAAGCAGCGTCCCACAAACAGTCGTGGATTGAATGACCAAATTATTATTATTACTTTTTTTTAAAAAAGGGATTATTACCCTCAGTAAAATGATACATCAATCGATTAACAACCATGTTCCTACTTACTGCGTGTGTGTGTATGTGGAGTAAGGAAACTTGCCCAACGTTTCGCACTGCCCGGGTCCTTTCGATCGTGAGCCAAGTGCGTGCTTTAACCACGACGCTACAAGACTCCACAATTAAATATCCCCCTCTCCCCACTTCCTCTCCCCCTGGCTCGGTGTCACCCGACACCACTGTGAAGCGCACTGGAACACTATCCCATGTGAAGGGCACTGTATAAATACAAATTGTTGTTGTTCTTGTACGAAACCTGTTGTAGCAGGAGTGCTCAGCGTCCGTACCTGATCAGTAGACTTTCATTCTTGCTCGAGCGAATATCTGAATCCAGCATCTCATTGCAGATGGAATAAAATGCTCTAATCACTTCAAGAAGCAGATCCTCAATAACCTCGGGGCCTGCCAAAAGATCATATTAAAAATAATAAGTAATAATAAACCTCGCATTTGATATAGCGCCTTATCACCTCTTTGAGATGTCTCAAAGCGCTTCACGGGGTATACTGTAAAGTGTAGTGTCTGTGTATTTTGTGGGCGAAACGCGGCAGCCAATTGCACACAGTGGTGTCCCACAAACAGTCGTGGATTGAGGGATCAAATAATTATTTATTTTGAAGGGATTATTACCCTGGGAAAAGCGATCCACCAATCGACTGACACTTACTGCTGGGTAAACAGAGACGCGTGTGTGGAGTAAGGAAACTTGCCCAAGGTTTCACCCTGCCCGGGAATCAAAGCCAGGTCTTCTCAATTGCAAGGCGAGTGCTCTAACCACTAAGCTACAGGACTCCGCAAGCCCTCACATGTCAGGCAATTTACAGCATTATCGAAAGGCAGAGCAAAAGCTGCCTCTGTTCTTGCTTAACAAGCGTGTCTTAAATGCCAGCCCCAGAAGATACCACTGAACATCAACTAATATTTTGGCGGTCGCTCAGTGAACATTTCCAATCCAGCACCCAATGAAACAACAGTTGTATCGAGTGGAGACGGACCATAGTTTAATATTTGAGGCTCCCAATTTCATTTCCTTTGAGCCGCTGAAGCTAATCCAGGCTGGAGTTAAATCGAGGTCCTAGAGGACAAGAATTGTTGGCTAACTAACGCCCGGTGGCAAAGGTAAAGCAATAATTACTCCTTCTCTCATGGCATTGAATATTCCTTTCTCCATCTCATATTTGTCCTTTGCCCCATTTCCACTTAAACCGCAGCCACCACTCAATTAACCCTCCCATCATGCAAGTTCACAATCCATTTTATGATAAAATAATAATAATCCTTGCATTTGATATAGCGCCTTATATTATCTTCGAGACGTCTCAAAGCGCTTCACAGAATATACGGTAAAATGAATTGACTGTATGTTTTGTGGGCGATGGATAGATAAGACGTTATTTTTCCTCTCATTTTACCAGAAAGGTAAATTTAAGACAGTGACATGAACTGGAATAAAAGGCAACGGACTGCAAATCAAAGCCAGTCAGCTCTGTGTTCATTTCCACGCGGTGTTCATTTCCAACACAAATTATTCCAGCTTTCGCTGGCTCACTCCATTGCAGTAGGAGGTAACAGCCATGCAATCTCCTGTGCTTGGGGTTACCTAATTCAGGTTTATCGAGTAAACTGATCAGAATCCGGAAGGGTTTCAGGTGAGCTTGAGGTCCATGTTCCAGAACAGGTTTGAAATTTATCTGTTGCAAAGTCAGTATCAATGCCTGTGGGCAGAAAAGCATGACTTAAAAGAGACGATTAAACATTATTGCTCGATCCAACACATCTCAGGAGCAGGCACACAAATTAAATAGGTTACCAATGGCTTCCACGAGAATTGACCCTTCCAATGGCCAGTCTGGTATTAAGCGCTCTGAGATGCTACATAAGTGGAGGGCGCTATATAAATGCAAGTTGTTATTGTTGGGTAATAATAACAATAGTAATAATCCTTGCATTTGATACAGCGCCTTATCACGTCTTCAAGACATCTCAAAAGCGCTTCACAGAATATACTGTAAAGGAAATTGACTGTATACGTTGTGGGCGAAACAAGGCAGCCAATTGGGCACAGCAGCGTCCCACAAACAGTCGTGGATTGACTGACCAAATTGTGTTTCCTTTTTAATAAAGGGCTCGTGTACTGTCCCGCACCAGGCTTCGTGACCGCATCACTCCCACCCTCGCTCGCCTCCACTGGCTTCCAATCCCCCAGAGGATCGTTTCAAGATCCTCTCCGACCTACTATCCCCCTCCCTACCTGCCGTACCCTCCGTTCCTCTGGCTCCGGTCTGCTCCACATCCCCCGCCCCAACCGCCCTACCATCGGTGGCTTTCAGCCTCTCAGCCCCGAGGCTCTGGAACTCTATCCCCCAGTGCCTTCGCCACTTCCTCCCTTTCCTCCTTCAAGGCCGGTCTCAAGACCTTTCTCTTTGACCATACCTTCAACTCCCCTCTCGACTCTCTACCCTCTCCTCGCTCCCTCCCTTCCCTCCCCTCACCCTGACCATTTCCCCCTCCTTGCTCCCTCCCTCCCCTCCCCTCACCCTGACCATTTTCCCCCCCAATGCCGGGGTCCTGACCCAACTGTCCAGCGCCTTGGGACGTCCTCCCGACGTGAAAGGCGCTCTATAAATGGAATCTTGTTGTTGTTGTTGTTATTACCCCCAGAAAGCGATCCGCCAATCGACTGACAACCAGATTCCTACTTACTGCTGGGTAAACGGGGGCATGTGTTTGGAGTGAGGAAACTTGCCTAAGGTTTCGCGTTGGTCGGGAATCGAACTCGGGTCCTTTCGCTTGCGAGCGAGTGCTCTAACCACTGGGTTTCAGGTGGTTGCGCTGAGGAAGCTGATCTCAGCCCAGCTACAATTAGCACTGGGACACTTGGATTTGGGGCGGTGTGGGGTGCGGGGGGGGGGGGCGCGGTGGGTGGGGGAGAAAAGGAGGGAGGTGAAAAAAAGAGTGAAGAAGAAATAATCAACTAAGTTCAGGAGAATCCCTAATGGAAGGAGAGATTGTGAACAAGAACAAGGGACATCACCTTAAAATTAGAGCTGGGTTATTTAGGAGTGAAATCAGGAGTTTTTCACCCAAAGGGCAGTGGGAATCTGGAACTCTCTCCTTCCCCCAAAAGGCTGTGGATTGTGGCAAATATCTATCCACCTGCGTATTGAAAATGTGATCCATACAGAAAATGTGATCCATTGGAGTTGAGGTATAGATCAGCCATGAATTTATAGAATGGCAGAACAGGCTTGAGGGGGCTGAATGACCTCCTCCTGTCCCTATGTTCCCATAAGCACAGAGGGGGAGAGAGAAAAGTCATGAAGATTTCTACGTCAAAGATAATAACAGTAATAATAAACTTTGCATTTGATATAGCGCCTTATCACATCATTGAGACTTACTCGAACCAGCAGGTCTCGGGAATGTTTGCTGAAATAAGAAGTGGTCTGGTCTTCCAATGAGGTGGAGATGGCTGGGTTTGTAGCCACATAGCCACCTTTAATATCGGTACCTAAACAAACAAACCATTAGGAACATGTAGAGGATAATAACAATAACAATAATAATAATCCTTGCATTTGACACAACGTCTTATCACGTCTTCGAGACATCTCAAAGCGCGTCACAGAATATTCTGTAAAGTGAATTGACTGTGTATTCTATGGGCGAAACGCGGCAGCCAATTGCACACAGCAGCGTTCCACAAACAGCCGTGGATTGAGTGACCAAATTATTATTTTTTTTTTAAATGAATTATTACCCCCAGAAAAGCGATGCACCAATCGGCTAACAAGCCGGTTCCTGCTTACTGTTAGGTAAACAGAGGCGCGTGTATCGAGTAAGGAAACTTGCCCAAAGTTTCGCCCTGTCCCGCCCGGGAATCGAACCCAGGTCCCCTCGCTTGCGAGTTGAGTGCTCCAAGCATTATGCTTACGGGATGCTACTGCATGAGGGGCGCCGTATAAATGCGAGTTGTTGTTGTTGTTGTTATCGTTGTAGAGACACAGCGAACACGGGAGTCCTGTGCATTTATACACAACAGAGAGAAATATCATTTGAACACAGATGTGTGAATTGCAGAAGAAGACTTCACTTATAGAAAGTCTCACTTTGAACATTCATACTTTCCTTCACGGCCAAATGCTTGAAGGGAACGGTTTTGGTGCGATTACAGAGGTGCCTCCCACACAGCAACAACAACAACTTGTACTGATATGGCATCCTTTACGCAGGGCAGAGGGAGAGAGTTCCAAAGCATCGGGTACAATGGCTGAAAGTGCGGACACTGATTTGTTATAGCACCTTATCACGTCTTCGAGACAGAGGCATGTGTGTGTGTGTGGGGTAAGGAAACTAGCTCAACGTTTCGTCCCCTGCCCGGGAATCAAACCCGGGTCCTCTCGCTTGCAAGGCGAGCGCTCTAACCACGGACTCGTAATGAACGAGAAGAAACTAGTGTTTGTGTCATACCCAAGAGCCACGCGTACAGACGCCTGTTGAGGGACATGTCTCTCCTGAGGATCACGTGAAGCCCAGCAGAGAGAACATGGACCATCTCTGACCTGGTCAGTGGGATGACCCATTCATCTGGATCCTTGAAAAGAAAAACACCCATGAACTACAAAGGCTAACAACGCAACGCAAACATACTTTCTCTCAGGTTGTCTGTGTTCTCTTGAGTTTAGGAGGTTGAGGGGCGATCTGATTGTGGTGTTTAAAATGCTAAAGGGATTCGATAGAGTATCTGCAGAGAAACTATTTTCCTCTGGTGGGTGGGGGGTGGAATCCAGAACAAGGTGGGGGCATCATCTTAAAATTAGAGCTCGGCCATTGAGGATTTTTGAACTCGGGAAGCATTTTCTCACACAAAGGGGAGTGGAAATCTGGAACTCTCCCCAAATCTGGAACTCTTTCCCTCCCCCAAAAGGCTGTGGATCCATTCATATTTTCTGAAATTTGACTGGAGGTGGATAGATTTCTGTGAGGTCAGGGTATCAAGGGATACGGGGCAAGGGCGGGTAATTGGGGTTGAGGTACAGATCAGCCATGATCTTATAGAATGGCGGAACAGGCTCGAGGGGCTGAACGGCCTCCTCCTGTTCCTATACGTCCCATTCCATCTAAAGCACACTGCAACCTTTGTTCGTGCGTTGCATTTTATTGCCTGAAATGGCATTTATTTTCATTGATCAGCAAAATGGATTCACACTTTTCCACTCCGCATTTTTCTCCGAAAAGTAGGTGAAAAGGTTACGATTTGTTAGCAGAACTGAAGTAGAATTCATGACTGGTGCGTTTTAAAAAGGTTTGTAACGTTAGTTACGAAATGTTCAATAACTGCCAGTAGGTGGAAGCAGCAGCCGCAACAACAACAACAATAACAACAAAATTACATTTGTAAAATGCCTTTCAAGTCGGGAGGATGTCCCAAGGCGCTGAACAGTCAGGGATCAGGTCCCGAGTGTGGGGCGCAGGGTTGGGATGAGGGAGGGCAGAGGGGCCTAGGAGAGTGGTTGAAAGCACTACTCTCCGTAATAATAATCCTTGCCGTTGATATAGGGCTTTACACGTCTTTGAGACGTCTCAAAGCGTCTCACAGAATATATTGCAAAGTGAATTGACTGTATATTTGTGGGCGAAACACGGCAGCCAATTGCATACGGCAGCGTCCCCACAAACAGCCGGGCATTGAAGTAACTAATGCATTATTGTTTTTTCAGGGATTATTGTCAGGCGTGTGTGTGGAGTAAGGAAACTTGCCCAAGGTTTCGCCCTGACCGGGAATCGAACCCAGGTCTCTCGCTTGTGAGGCGAGTGCTCTAACCAGGACTACAGGACTCTACAGGACTCCGTACGAGCCAAGTCACATTCCAACCCGCCATTTGCTTTTAAAATCACAAAACTGCTTCAGATGAAGGATATTCTTTGTCCAGTCTGATCTCAACCCCCCCACAACACCCATCCTACAATACTTCATCACAGCATCAAGATGTTTTTTAAAATGTGTCTCGTGTCCTGGCCTCAATCACCCTCCCTGATACTAATAATAATCATAACAATAATCCTTGAGTTTGATATAGCGCCTTATCACATCTTCAAGACGTCTCAAAGCGCTTCACAGAATATAACCGTAAAGCGAATTGGCTGTGTATTTTGTGGGCGAAGCGCGGCAGCCAACTGCGCACACACATTTTTGCATTCGTGATGGATTATTATCACCCCCGGGGGCAACAGGTGGAAACAAAAAACGAAGAATGTCAATTTTCTTTCTTTTTTTCAAGAAAAAAAAACCAAGGCCTTTTGCCGAGCGCTTACCAGGCACGAGGAAAGAGGGAAAAAGAAAAAGAGAATTTCCAAAGTGTTGCGTTGTACGAGGACATTGGAATCCTGAACTGAAGCACAGAATGCTTTCACCTGAAACACAAACAAACATCATTTGCCAAAGAATTACTAACAATTTCCAACAGCTAGGAATGTTCTCCTCGGAGCAGAGAAGGTTAAGGCGAGAGTTAATAGAGGTGTTCAAAATTATGAGGAGATTCGAAAGAGTGAACAGGAAGAAACTGTTTCCACTGGCGGGCGGGCGGGCGGGTCGGTAACCAGAGGACACAGATTTAAGATAGTTGTCAAAAGAGCCAGAGGGGAGATGAGATGAGGAGATACTTTCTCACCCAACGAGTTGTTCGGACCTGGAATGCATTACCTGAAAGGGTGGGTCGAAGCCGATTCGATAACAACTTTCAAGAGAGAGGTGCATAGATATTTGGGGAGGACAAATTTGCAGGGCTATGGGGAGAGAGCGGGGGAGTGGGAGTGATTTGGACAGCTCTTCCAAAGAGTTGGCACGGACACGATGGGCCGAATGGCCTCCTTCTGTGCCGTATAATTCTAGGATTTCCCTCCCAACTTTGTGGCAATTTATTTCCGTTTCCGCTTCTTTTGGTCTGACACGTGCGGAAACTCGTTACCGCTGCTTAAGAGTCTCCAAACCCAACTGAGAATTGCACGCATCCCATCTATACATGGAAATCCCAGAGATATTTATTCAATGGAACGGAATGCACGCCTTCTCTCTCTTTCTCTCTCTCTCTCTCTCTCCCTGGAGGGACGCCATTCCTGCTTACCTAATTCCAGAAAGTATTAGCCGCAGGTTGACAAGAGCCAAGGCTTGGGGATCCCAGAGTGTGCGTTGGGAGTAACTGCTGGAGTCTAACCAGCTAAAACCACATGGCTTGCTATTGAAAGCACCGTCACTCTCAGATCAGGTAGACCATGAGTCCAGATGCAACAGCAACAACAACAACTACTTGGATTTATATAGCACCCTCCACGCCGGATGGCGTCTCAGAGCGCTTTAACAACAACAACAACAAATTACATTTGTACAGCAATTTTCGCGTCAGGAGATGCTGAGCAAATGCAGATACTCCCTCAGTAACAAACTGGGGAAAAAACGTCAAACTTACCGCAAATTGGGGGTCTGCCCCAAACATGTACTTCTGCTCCTTTTTGTGCACAGACTTGGTGAGGTGGCTGACAACAAAAAGAGAGGCGGGGAGGCGAATGGAAGGACTGAACAGGACACTTGCCCATAGAGCCCCGTAAAACACCTCCTGGCCCACCACCAGCGACAGCTTCTGGAGAAAGACGTCCGTCCTTTTATTTGAAGAAAAGAAAGAAGTAGCAGATGAGTCCAGTAGCTCAGTGGTTCGATTCCTAGGCAAGGCGAAAACTTAGTTCACACGCACGCCTCTGATTACCTAGCAGTCAGTAGGAACCTGGTTGTTAAGTCGATCGGCGGATCGCTTTTCCGGGGGTAGTAATCAGACAAAAAAATAAAAAACATGGTCATTAAATCCACCGCTGTTTGTGGGGACGCTGCTGTGCGCAATCGGCTGCCCCGTTTAAACCCACAAAACACACAGTCAATTCACTTTACAGAATATTCTGTAAAGCGCATTGAGACGTCTCGAAGATGTGATAAGGCGCTGTATCAAATGCAAGGATTATTATTAAGTGTTTCAATGGTCATCAGAACCCCTTCGTTTAAATTGAAGTGTTTTAGTGCAGCAAGTCAGGTATACAGGGTTTATACAAGCAGTCAGAAAACATCCTAACCCTAACCCTTCTAAATTTTAAAGACCCATTCTTTCAGGGCTATACCTGCCTTTTCGTCGTCCCCCCACCCCCGCCATCTCCCGACACCACCCCCCCGCCCCCACCCACCACTCCCGCCCCCAATTTAGCTCCTTATTAGACAACCGTCTAGTTTCCATGGTAGGAGATTTAACCACAACAATATTACATGTGTAAAAGCACCTTTCACATTGGGAAGACGTCCCAAGGTGCCAGACAATCAGAGTTTTGACCCGAGCTAGGGGTTGGGATGGCGGAGGGTGGAGAATGGGGGCGCGGGCGGAGGGGGAAGTCACGGTCGACCGAAGTCACGGTCGAAGAGGATGGTCTTGAGACGAATCTTGAAGTAGGCAAGGGAGGGGCCAAGTTCCAGAGGTGGGGGCAGAGCGGCAGAAGGCCCGCTCGCCAATGGTGGGGCGGGCGAGGCGGGGGGACGTGAAGCAGGCCGGAGCCCGTTGATAGATTAAATGCGTTCTCTCTTTTTTTTTAAAAAAAAAGGAAAAATGAGACGATGCAGGACTCGGAAACGTTATGAAATCCAGCCTCGTTCTCCAGTGTCTCGTTCTTTGATCAGCTTGTCTCACCCCATCACCCCACCCCTCTACCCCCACCCCCACCCCCCCGCCCCCCGACTCTTCTGATGCTTAATTACGGTTTCCCAACAATATCGCATACAGCATCAAAATGTCTGAATACCTCATCTCCAAGTAAGAATGTTGCCAAGCCCTGTGTGCGAGATGCTGAAGGAAGTGTTGAAATTCTCGCTGCGAGGCTGGCTGCCGTTACTCAGCCTCACCCACTACGTTTAAGCAACTCCTTGCAGTTCCTTGTGAACTATCCGAAACTACTGCTTGGAGTCGGGAATTCGATAAAATAAAACCTTCCAAGTAATAATAATAATAATAATAATAATCCTTGCATTTGATATTGCCTGCATTAGATTTCGCCCACAAAATATACAGTCAATTCACTTTACAGTGTAAACTGTGAAGCGCTTTGAGAGGTCTCGAAGCGTGATCAGGCGCTCTATCAAATGCAAGGATTATTATTATTATTTATATATTATTGTATCGCGCTTTATCACGCTGTAGAGATGTCTCAAAGCACTTCACAGAAAACAGAATCATAGAATCTTACAGCACAGAAGGAGGCCATTTCCGTGCCGGCTTTTTAAAAGAGCTATCAACTAGTCCCACTCCCCTGCTCTTACCCCATAGCCCTGCAAAATTTTCCTTTTCAAGTAATCTATAACTATTTAAGTAATATATTGTAAAGTGTAGTGACTGTGCATTTTGTGGGCGAAACGCAGCAAGTAAGAGGCTACTAATGCACATTATTAAATTAATGTATTATAATTCATATTATTGGTGAATTATTCTGAAATATTATCATCAAATTGTATTACTAAAGTAAGAAACAATTTAGGGGCAGGTTCTGTCCGTTTCAACGCAGCACGAGTTTTGGTTATTTAATTTGGAGGAATTACGATTTAAAGACTTGCAACTAACTGACCAGACTCAATGTGAACTGGAGCCATGAGGCTGGAACACAGCAAACAACTTGCATTTACACAACGGCCCTCATGTAGGGTAGCATCCCAGAGCGCTTGTCAGAGGCAGAGGGGAGGGGGGAAGGTGACTGTAGGCACGGTGGAAGATGGGGAAGGAGGGGGTAAAGTGGAGGGATAGAGGGAGAGTATTCCAGAGTTTCGGGGCGTAGTGGCTGAAAGCACAGCCGCCAACAATAAAAATCTTTGCATTTGATACAGCGCCTTATCACGTCTTCGAGACGTCTCAATGCGCTTCACAGAATACACTGTAAAGAGTAGTGACTGTATATTTTGTGGGCGAAACGCGGCAGCCAATTGCGCACAGCAGCGTCCCCACAAGCAGCCGTGGATTGAAGTGACCAGATTATTATTAATATTGGAAGGAATTATTACCCCCGATGGTGGAACGGAGGGCACGAGGGACATGTAGGAGGACGGAGCCAGTCGAGCGGAGGCAGCGGGTTTTGGTTTGGGGGGAGGTAAGCAGGCGCCAGGGCACGAAGGATCTTGAAATCGAATACAGACCGAGTTAAGGCATCAGTATCGAGGAAATAGCTCCAGTGAGCAGCAATGACTTGATGCGTCAAGTGACATTATTCTGCGCTGTGAATTCTATGAGGCAATGGGGGACGGTGGGGAGCGGAGGGGGCAGTAGTGGGGGCTGGGTGGGTGGGGGAGGGGGGAATAAAGCCACAGGGAATTCTCACAATCTCCTCACCTCTCATAGATCTCGGAGCCCTCCTCCAGCCCCGGTAGGAGACCAGTGATGAAGGCTTGTAGACTAGGACACAGGGATTTTTGCAGAGGGAGGTAGTACTTCTCGTATAGTCCCAGAAGCGCTGGCTTCACAGACATGGCTGCATTGCCCAACAAGGGAAACAGCCCGGAGCTGTGGAGAAGTCGAGGAAGAATTTCATGGACTAAAAGCGAGCGTTACATACGTGGAATCCTGTGGGTATTATTTAGAGCAAACAACATCCACAACAAACAACAAATGACATTCACCCGGCGCCTTTCATGTCAGGAGGGCGTCCCAAGGCGCTGGACAGTCAGGGATCCGCACTTGAGTTGGTGGTTGGGATCAGGAGGAGGTGGAGAGCGGGGAGGGTAGGGTTAGGAGGGTGACCGAAGGATGACCCAGTCGAAGGATCTTGGGACAGGTCTTGAAGGAGGCAACGGAGGGGGCGAGGTGGAGGGACTGTTGAATGTAGTTCCAGAGGGTAGGCGCAGAGAGGCTGAAGGCTCGCCCGCCAACGGTAGGGCGGGCAAAGTGGGGGAACATGAAGCAGGCCAGAGCCCGCTGAGAGGAAGGAATGGGCAGGTTGGTCACGGAGGTAGGGAGGAGCGAGGCCATGGAGGGCTTTGAAGGTGAGAACCAAGATCTTGAACTGAATCCACTGAGTGCAAAGGGGAGCCAGTGGAATCGGGCGAGGATGGGGGGTGATTAGGGTCGCGGAGCCCAGTGCGGGAGAGGACACGGGCGGCAGAGTTCTGGATGATCAGCAGCCTGTGGAGGGAGGAGCTGGGGAGGCCGACAAGCAGGGAGCTACGCAAGCTGGGTTCGATTCCCGGGGCAGGGCGAAACATTGGGCAAGTTTCCTTAGTCCACACAGAGGCCTCTGTTTACCCAGCAGTTAAGTAGGGAACCCAGTGGTCAGTGGATTGGCGGATGACTTTCCAGGGGTGATAAAACGGAATCAAACGTGAATCGGACCCCGGGTCCTCTGGCTCGCTTGCCTGCGGGGCGAGCGAGCTAACCGCTCACGCTACCCTGATCCTTAGAATAATTTTTTTTTAAAAAATCATAAAAGTACTGCAGTGAAATGGTTAAAATAAAAATTACGGAGTGAAAATAAATATTTTTTAAAAAATTACATTGGGCCACAAGTGCCGTCTGAGAGGTAGATTTACCTGTAAAAGAACAAGTCCTTCGAAAGCCATTTGGCTCCAATGATCTTGAATATGACTTCGTACGTTTCCAGTGCCTTTAAGTGGACTCCGCTGGGAAGAGCTGGATGTAGACATTGAGCCAACCTTTTACTAATGATCAGACGCTTTGGCAGGAGCGAGTATTTCAGGTTGCTCTGAAGTGCCTGGGGATGCAGAACAACAACTACAATAACTTGCATTTGTATAGCGCTTTTCACGCGGGATAGCATCCCGGAGCGCTTTACAGTGGCGGAGTCTGACACCGAGCCGTGATTGGGGGGGTGGGGGGTGGGATTTTGGTCTGCCCGGGTCCACTACGCTACGGGACTAAAAGCTTGTGGTTGAATGAAAGTGTAAAGACATGCCTTTCGTGGCGTCCCGTAGCTTGGTGGTTTAGAGCGCTCGCCTCGAGAGCGAGAGGATCCTGGATTGGATTCCCAGCACAGGCCCAAACCTTAGGCAAGTTTCCTTACTCCGCACGCGCGCCTCTGTTTACCCAGCAGCAAGTAGGAACCCCGGTCGTTTAGTCGATTGGAGGATCACTTTTCCGACGGCAATATTCCCTCCCAAAAATAGATAACATAATAAATTGCTGACTCAGTTCGCAAGACTGCTTGTGGGATACTGCTGTGTACAATTAACTGCTGCATTTCGCCCACAGACAGCCAAGCAGGTCTTGAAGGGGTAGATCGGCTACTGGGAGCTGGAATTTTTCACACTCAGCTCCCATTAATCTTGCAAGCCAAAGCCCCGACATGACAAGCCGTGGGGAAAGCTTGCCAGCCAATACTTTCAATGGCAAGCTGTGCGGTTTTAGCCGGTTAGACTCCAGCAGTTACCCCAACGTACACTCTGGGCTCCCCCCAAACCTTGGCTCTTGCCAACCTGCGCCTAATAATCTCTGGAATTAGGTAAGCAGGGTGCGTCCTTCCAGGGAGAGAGGGAGAGAGGAGAGAGAGAGACAGAGCGCATTCCATTCCAGTAAATATCTCTGAAATGTTCTGCATAGGTGGGATAATAATAATAATAATAATAATAATAATAATAATAATCCTTGTATTTTGATATAGCGCTTTTCACGCCTTCTAGATAAGAACTAAACATAGGCTTATGAAGTAAGGAAACTTGGGCAACTTTTAGCCCTGCCAGGAATCGAACCCCGGTCTCTCACTTGCGTTGCTGCAGGACTGAGCTACAGGACTCCACTTTGTTTGCGCTGAAGAAATCTGCAGCAAATGTTTGGGTTTTTTCCTAAGAAAAATGACACTGAAGCTTCTTTTGCCAACACGTTGTTTACCCTGTTTGCTCTTTCCCCTTCGCATTTTATCTACCCCCGTGTTTGCTCTTTCAGACTCCACCAGTGGGAGATTTACACGCCTTGAGTACATATTTGCCAAGTTGCGATGCATTGTAAAACATTCTACTAAAACTTCTCTCGGCATTTAGAAAGGAACAATGAACTCTGCTCATTAAAAAAACACACAAGTTTTGAAACTGCTCGCACAGCAGAAACAAGGAGTCTTGTAGCTCAGTGGTTAGAGCGCTCGCCGGCAAGCGAGTGACCTGGGTTCGATTCCCGGGGCAGGGGGCAAAATGTTGGGCAAGTTTCTTTACTCCACACACACACGCCTCTGTTTACCCAGCAGTAAATAGGAACCCGCTCGTTAGTCGATTGGCGGATCGCTTTTCCAGGGGGTAACAATTCCTCGAAAAAATAAAAAATAATAATAAATTGGTCACTCAATCCACCAACGACTGTTTGTGGGACGCTGCTGTGCGCAATTCGCTGCCATGTTTCATCCACAAAGTCAATTTACTTTACAGTAAGGCGCTGCATCAAATCCAAGGATTTTTATTGTTATAGTAAATCTCCTTCTAAAGGTCGTAGAAGCAGGATGGTTACAGAATAGAAACGTACAGAATAGAAAGGCGTTGTGCTGCACAGAAGAGCAGTCGGCAGATAAAGGCTAATACAGCACTAAGGAACCAGCATAACCTTCAGGTTCACTTTGATAGCAGAAGCAAAATCCAGTCTGACAAAAAGCTTCGCTAATGTGCCTTAACAAATGTGCCACTAGAGTTACAACTTGCACTTATATAGTGCCCTCCACGCAGCGTAGCGTCTCAGAGCGCTTAACAGTGGGGGAGACTGACTCCGAGCCGGGGGGGAGGTGGGGTTGAGTTGATCGTAAGCACGGTTAACCAGGAAAGTTTTCAGGCGGGACTTGAAAGAGAGGAGGCGGCAAGGCGGAGGGATTGAGGGAGAGTGTTCCAGAGTTTCAGGGTGTGGTGGCTGAAAGCGCGACCTCCGATGGTGGGGCGGAGGGCGCGAGGGACAAGCAGGAGGCCGGTGCCGGTCGAGCGGAGGAGCCGGGTGGTGGATTGGGGAGTGAGGAGCTGAAACCTTCTTTGCTTCTCTCGACTAATGATCTTTTCCCTTTTGTTGTTTTAAAACCCAGAAAACTTACGAGCAGAAAATTGATACAAAACTGATGCTATAAGGAAGAGAATGAGAGATTATCCTGATATGTTTCACCTACAAAATACATAGTCACTCCACTTTACAGTATATTCCTTGAAGTCTCAACAACGTGATAAGGCGCTATAACAAATGCAAGGATTATTATTATTATTACAGTATATTCTGTAAAGCGCTTTGAGACCTCTCAATGACACGATAAGGCACTATATCAAATGCAAGGATTATTTTTATGTTACGAGTCTGGGGGATCAAGGATAGCACCGTAATCTCGACCCAAACCTAACCGCTGCCGCTTAATTGTGATCCCTTCTCGTGTGAACATTTCCCTCTCCCAAGTTAGCCAGGACCTTTTACTCTGGCTTGTGTTTTATCAAGTAACCCGAGACAAGTGTGGGCACCAAGTAAAACCAGGCTCCGAGTCTCTTCTTGCCGGTCACTGACGCAGAACACAAGGTCATTCCACCCTGAAACTTTTGTGATCGTTTTTTTGGGAGGGGGGGGTCAGCCGGGTGACTGACATGTGCGGAAACCCATCACTGGGCTAAGAGTTTCCAAAACAAGCTGAGAATTCCAAGTTTCCCACCTACACATGGAAATTCCAGAGATGAATTGTGGGAATGCAATGTGCTCTCTCTCTCTCTCTCTCTCTCCCTCTCTCTCTCTCCCTGGAGGGACGCATCCTGCTTTTCCTAATTCCAGAAAGTATTAGGCGCAGGTTGGCAAGAGCCAAGGCTTGGGGGAACCCCAGAGTGTGCGTTGGGGTAACTGCTGGAGTCTAATCAGCTAAAACCACACAGCTTGCCGTTGATGTCACTGTCTGGTCAAGCTTTCCCGCTGCTTGTCCAGCCAGGACCACCCTCCCTGTCAGGGCTTTGGCTGCAGGAGCTGAGTGGGAGGATTCCCTGGCCCCAGTGACCGGTCGGCTCTTCCAGGTCCTGCCAATGAGCCAGGCCGGGCTGTGCTGTCATCAGCGGTGCCCTGGAATACTGTGGATCCGCCTGGCTCAGAACCTGGACTACCGAGACCGCCAGAGAGGGCTGGCCCGATACAAAAGTTTTAGAAAGTGAATATTGCTTGAATAACAAGATTCTCTTTCCCTTCCCGTCGCCTCTATTGATAAAGCTGTCTTCAGGATGTTCTTTATGATTTGAGATATGTGACCGATGGAGTCAGCAGCAAAAATCAACAAAACCAAGTCCAAATGAACAATCTCGGACACAATCTGGTTGAAGCCCAGTTAGCAAATATTCTGACCAATGTGTGACTGTGCTGCAACATCCACAGAGTATTTTATGCCCCGAAGATAAAATGGGTATCATAATTTTTTATCATAGTTTTCACACATAATAATAATAATCCTTGCATTTGATGCAGCGCCTTATCAGGTCTTCGAGACCTCTCAAAATGCTTCACAGGAAACACTGTAAAGGGAATTGACTGTATATGTTTCGGGTGAAAAGCGGTAGCCAATTGTGCAGAGCAGCATCCCACAAAAAAGTCGTGGACTAATTAAATGACCAAATTATTATTTTTTCTATTACTTATTTTTTGGAAGGGATTATTACCCCTGTAAAGCGATCTGCCAATCGACTAACAATTGAATCAGGTTGACATGGGAGAGGGTTTTGGATGTCGATTGACCTGCACTCCCATTGCCACGTTAACCCTTACTTTGGAAAGCTGTTAAAACAAAGAAACTTACTAATATAGAAACATCTCCTGCCTTTCTCCCATCATCATTCCAGCAGACCCATCAGTTTTCCGTGCCCCGTTGATGTCGATGAAAGGTACACTTGTTTAGGAAAAGTCTCCAGCCTGTGAATTAACTATGAACTTGCCCCCCTCTCCCCGCTCTCTGGATAACTTAATCGCTCAATTCACCACTGTTTGTGGACACTCCTGAGGGGCTGCAGCATTTCGCCCACAAAATACGCAGTCAATTCGCTTTACAGTATATCGTGTGAAGAGCTTTGAGACGTCTCAATGTTATGATAAGGCACCAAAGCATCAAACGAACGCAAGGAATGTTATTGTTATTCTTATGAGCTCTGACAACCTGCTCACCTTGTTCAGCTTCCCCAGTGAGGAGATGAGATCTGCCCATTCACTGGAGGATTCGAAGTTCTTCAAAGCTTTGTCAATAGTAGCTGCATAGTTTCTGTATCTGTAATCATTAATCAGATCCAGTTCTTCCTGGTCCATCTTTCCTTTTCATAGCAGCGTAACTCAGCCCTAAAATGGGGGAGGAAATAGGAGAAAAGACAAATGGTCAGAACCAAAAGAACAGGTTAGGTCACAACAACAAAAACAACAAATTGCATTTGTGTAGCGCCTTTCACATCAGGAAGACGTCACGGCAAATACCGACCTCAATAATAATAATCCTTAATCCTTGCATTTGATATAGCGCTTTTCACGTCGGGAGGACGTCCCAAAGCGCTTCACAGAACACACTGTAAAGTGAATTGACTGTATATTTTTTTTGTGGGCGAACGCGACAGCCAATTGCGCACAGCAATGTCCCTCAAACAGTCGTAGATTGAAAATGACCAATTTATTATTGTTTTTTGGGGGTTTTGGAGGGATTATTATTAGGCTCTGTGTGGAGTAAGGAAACTTGCCCAAGGTTTCGCCCTCTGCCTGGAATTGAACTCGGGTCTCTCACTTGCAAAGCGAGTGCTCTAACCACTGAGCTACAGGACTACAATAACCCTCAAACCTAATGCAATACAAACGTTACTTGGGCCAAAGCTGCTTTGTGGAGTCCTGCAGCTCAGTGATTAGAGCACTCTCCTGGCAAGCGAGAGGACCTGGGTTCGATTCCCAGGCGGGGCGAAACTTTAGACACGTTTCCTAACCCCACACACTCTGTTTACTCAGCAGATCGCTTTTCTTTCTGTGGTAGACCGCCATCCACTACAAGACAGGGCAGGGCTGGTTCGAAGGACTTCAGAGAATATACCGCACAGTGTAGTGACTGTGTATTTTGTAGCCAATTTTTTCTGCAAGCTTCTCAGTGCTTGCAATTAATCGAGCGTCCATCAAAAGCCTTTCACACGTACTGTGGGCAATGCAAGATCAGTCCTCTCTCAGTCGTGCAGATAACAGGAACTGTAATGCGCCACATGGGAAGGCACCCGTGTTAAGTGACATTGGGAAACGGTGTGAAAACAAGTACAGAGGGTACCTACACGTGCCCTTGTTTGTGTTATGAATAATTCCTTCAAATGTTTTTTAAAAAAATAATAATAATTTGGTCACTTAATCCACGACTGTTTGTGGGACGCGGCTGTGTGCTGCCGCGTTTCGCCCACAAAATGCACAGCCAATTCATTTTGCATTTGAAGTGCTTTGAGACAGTCAAAGCGAAGACGTGATAAGGCGCTATGTCAAATGCAAGGATTATTATTATTATTAATTATTATTATTACCTGTAATTCTCTCTGTACAAACAGCACAGAAAACCCATAAAAACATCAGAATTTGCTCGGCAAAAGAAGACCAAGGTCCATCCAGTTTGCCTTCTACCACCCTGGTAGTCGCTCGCACATTTTGTGTCCCAAACTATATCCTGTATCCCAAGATATTATTTCCTGACAGAAATTGATGTCATTTGTTTCTGAAAGAGTTGACACTTTCTGCTTGCACCGTCTGTCTCCCCTCGGGAGCCTGTTCCATAAGTTTACTACTCGCTCACTGAAGTAATGTTTCCGTAGATTTGTTCTGAGTTTACCCCCCCTTCAATCGCAGGCCGGGTCCTCTGGTTCTACTGTTCAGTACAAGATAAAAACAGCTTATCCTGGTCTACGTTATCTATTCTCTTCAGAATCTTAAAGACACATTATGCATAAAAGACTCCCAACGGCCATGATACTATAGGATCTGAGGTGTGTGTTAATAAGTTAAGTGATCTCAAATGGATTGTTACAATAGACCTCATACCTCCTGCAAAAGGGCAGAGTGATATCAGGTCTTCCTTCACTGATCCTGGTCCTCGCCCTCAAAGCCCTCCACAGCCTTTCTCACCCCCTACCTCTGTCACCTCGTAACCCTCTACCAACCTGTCCGCTCGCTCGGTGGGCTCCGGCCTGCTTCACATCCCCCGCCATGCTGGCCCTACCATTGGTGGGCGGGCCTTCAGCTTCTTTGCCCCCACACTCTGAAACTCTATCCCACAGTCCCTCCGCCTCGCCCCCTCCCTTGCCTCCTTCAAGATCTGTCTCAAGACCCTCCTCTTCAACAATGCCTTCGGTCACCCTCCTACCCCTACCCTCCCCGCCCTCCACCCCCTCCCGATCCCGACCACCAGCTCGGGTGCGGATCCCAGACTATGCAGCTTCTTTGGACATCCTCCTGACGTTATTTTTTATTTTTGTTGATCAGTATCCAGAAGGAGAACCCCTCTATGCGGAACTGTTAATCGAGTTAATCCAAAACTCCACTGCCCACACACTGACCCGCACAGTGAGACCTGCACTAAACTCCGTACCCCCATCACACCAGCCCTCGCCAGGCTCCACTGGCTCCCTTTCACCGATTGGATCGATTTCACCATCTCACTCGTCTTCGAATCTCTTCACGCCCTGGCACCTCCCTACCTCTACTTCTACCCGGCCTGCTTACCCTCCAACCCGCAGCCTCCGCTCGACTGGCTCCAGCCTCTTGCTTGTGCCTCGTGTGCCCTCCGTTCCACCACCGGCGGCTGCGCTTTTAGCCACCACGCCCTGGAACTCTGGAACACTCTCCCTCTATCCCTCGGCCTCACACCCCCCCCCCCCAACAACAACAACAAATTACAATTGGACAGCACCTTTCACGCAGGAGGACCTCCTCCTCACCTCATTCCCCATCTTCAGGTCGCACCTGAAGACTTTCCTCTTTGACCGTGTCTACGGCCACCACACACACCGCCCGCCCCCCCGGCTCGGTGTCGTGCTCCGCTACTACTACTGTCTCTACCCTGCGTGAGGGGTGCTGTGTTACGTCAGATCGAAGCAAGCTCCGATACCACCCAAGTTTTCTCTACGCAATTCCCACCCCACGTCCACAGTCAAGATCAAAGTGCGCAAAAGACTCAAGACAGACCCTACCTCTGCAGATAGAACATGGAGTCAAACACCTCTAGCAGAAGGATGTAAGAGGGTAGAATAGCAGGAGAAAGGATTTCCCAGCTCACTCCCTCCCAATCCTCTCTCTCTCCGCCCAATTTCCACAGCCAAAATAAACACTTAATAAACACTATGCGCAGTTGCATAATGCTCTGACACACAATGACTGCGTAGTCGGAAGGTCAGCAGATCAGAGCTGTGTTTGCTAATGATGCAACCTTTTTTGAAACAATTACTCTATTGGAAACGGGTATCTATTCATGACAAGACGAAAAGGTTTGTGCAATGCTTACTGCACTCAAGGTGCAGTCTGCTGAAAGCAGCTGTTGTTTGACTTGTAGGTAATGTGACGCTTCCAGCCCAAAATGTACCTTCACAGCGTTAAAGAGTATCATGGGCCCAGCGATCAATAGGTCCAGCCACTCGTACTAATCAGCGCACCAACGCGCAACTCACTGAACCCTTTCAGGCTTGTCATCAGGAGAATAAAGAGCAAGGCAAATTTTAAAATCCTTTCAAACCATTCGAGTTTTGAAAGTAGCTTCCTGCCCCCCCCTCCCCCTTCTCTCTCCCCCAGTGTCCCCGGCAGATATTCCCCCAAACAGAATCACCCGCTCACCTCACAGCCGTTTGTGGGACAGCGCTAACGTAATAATAATCACCGTGAAAATAATCATATTTAATATTTGATATAGCGTCTTATCAGGTCGTTGTGACGTCTCAAAGCGCTTCAAAGGATTTCCGAGAAAGTGGATGTTTTTGTGGTTGGCGAAATGTGGCAGCCAGTTTGCGCACAGCAATATCCCACAAACAGTCATGGAGTGAGTGACCAATTTTTATTTGGGGTGTGGGTGTGGGGGGGTGGGGGGGGCAGGGCGGGGGGATTGTTGGCCAGGACACCGGGAGAGAGAAACTCCCCTCTCTTTTCTAATAGTGCCGTGGGATCTTTAACATAACATGTGATATAGCGCCTTATCACATCACGGAAATATCTCAAAGCGCTTCACAGAATATACTGTAAAGGGAATTGACTGTGTGTTTTGTGGACGAAAGGCGGAAGCCAATTGAACACAGCGGCGTCCTGTAAACAGTCGTGGATTGAGTGACCAATTTTTCTTAAGGGTTTATCATCCCCAGAAAGTGATCCCCCAAATCGACCTTCAGCCGGGTTCCTACTTTCTCCTACGTAAACTGTGACATGTGGAATAAGGAAACTTGCCTAAGGTTTCACTCTGTTCGGGACCAGGTCCTCTCGCTTGCGAGGCGAGCGCTCTAATGACTACATTATATGGGACTCCCAACTGTAATGTATATTCCCAATTGTTACAAATTGTTATAATAAAATAAAATATAAATTCTGTAAATATGAAATTTCTCAGTTGTCCCTAGTTACCGCATTGCAACCTCACGTCCTGTAGCTCAGTGATTAAAGCACTTGCCTCGCAAGCGAGAGATCTGGGTGACCAAAAATGCTTATTATTATTTTTTTTGAAGGAGTTATTACCCCCACCCGAACAGGCAGACTGGACCTCGGGTTTAACGTGGAGTCCTGTAGCTCAGTGGTTAGAGCACTCGCTTTGCAAGCGAGAGACCTGAGTTTAATTCCAGGCAGAGGGTGAAACCTTGGGCAAGTTTCCTTACTCCACACAGAGCCTAATAATAATCCTCCAAAACCAAAAACAATAATAAATTGGTCATTTTCAATCTACGACTGTTTGTGGGACATTGCTGTGCGCAATTGGCTGCCGCGTTCGCCCACAAATATACAGTCAATTCACTTTACAGTGTGTTCTGTGAAGCGCTTTGGGACGTCCTCCCGACGTGAAAAGCGCTATATCAAATGCAAGGATTATTATTATTATTATTAAGCGAGAGATCTGGGTGACCAAAAATGCTTATTATTATTTTTTTTGAAGGAGTTATTACCCCCACCCGAACAGGCAGACTGGACCTCGGGTTTAACGTGGAGTCCTGTAGCTCAGTGGTTAGAGCACTCGCTTTGCAAGCGAGAGACCTGAGTTCAATTCCAGGCAGAGGGCGAAACCTTGGGCAAGTTTCCTTACTCCACACAGAGCCTAATAATAATCCCTCCAAAACAAAACAATAATAAATTGTTCATTTTCAATCCACGACTGTGTGTGGGACATTGCTGTGCGCAATTGGCTGCCGTGTTTCGCCCACAAAATATACAGTCAATCTACGTTACAGTATATCTTGTGAAGCGCTTTGAGACGTCTCGAAGATGTGATAGGGCGCTATATCAAATGCAAGGATTATTATTATTATTACTTTCTAGTTCAGCTTCAGCACAAAGTTTACAAACACCAGGTCTGCGGTGACGCGTCTCTCAAATGTACTTCGCTGTGGGTGAAGGGTTGAGGAGTTTTACTCTCTGGATTGCTGTGCAATTTGCGGAAAAGAAAAACAAGACTATTAACAGCTAAACTTCTGGAGGCGAGGCCGAGAGAGGAGGAATTTCTCCCCAACTTACCCTCCAATGAGTAGTCCTTTGTCCAAACGACAAAATACTGCAGATACTGGAAATCTGAAATAAAAACAGAAGTCGCTGGGAACACGCAGCAGGTCAGGCAGCATCTATGGAGAGGCGGAAAAGAGTTAATGTTTCAGGTCGATGGCCTTTCATCAGAACTGTTGCTGACGAACGATTTTTGACCTAATTTCGACCTGAAGCGTTAACTAATTTTCCTCTCTCCATAGAGGCAGAAAGCCACTGCGCTTACTCAAGATTTTTTTTTAAAAAGTCCATCCACGCTGATTTGCAAGGCAAGAGAAACGGGAATAGATGAATTCCGAAAAAATAGATGAGCGTAGGAGAAAGGGTTAAGTCAGCCTGGCTTGGTTCGTTAGTACTGGAGTCCTGTAGCTCAGTGGTTAGAGCACTCGCTTTGCAAGTGAGAGACCTGAGTTCAATTCCAGGCAGAGGGCGAAACCTTGGGCAAGTTTCCTTACTCCACACAGAGCCTAATAATAATCCCTCCAAAAAATAAAACAATAATAAATTGGTGAATTTCAATCCATGACTGTTTGTGGGACAGTGCTGTGCGCAATTGGCTGCCGCGTTCGCCCACAAATATACAGTCAATTCACCTTACAGTGTGTTCTGTGAAGCGCTTTGGGACATCCTCCTGACGTGAAAAGCGCTATATCAAATGCAAGGATTATTATTATTATTACAACAACAACAACAACAACAAAATTACATTTATATAGTGCCTTTCACGTCAGGAGGAGTACAGTGAAATTTGGATAATTCAACAGCGGAAAATGTAATAGTTTGGGTTTATTGAAAAACAGACGAGCGTAGGAGAAAAGAGTTAGTCAGCCTGGCTTGGTTTGTTAGCACAGTGAAATTTGGTTAATTCAATAGCGGAAAATTAAATAGTTTGGGGTTTATCGAATGGAATCTCCAAGAGATGAGTCTCCTATTATGTCGTACGAATAGTTCGGTTTATCGAATAATTTTCGCTGTCAAATTGAGTACTCAATGAAGCCTGCCATCGATTAGAGCACTTGCCTCGCAAGTGAGAGGACCTGTGCTTGATTCCTGGGAAGGGAGAAGTTTCCTTAGGCAAGTTTCCTTACTCCTCACCGCCTCTGTTTACCTAGCAGTAAGCAGGAACCCGACTGTTTGGACAATTGGCCGATCGCTTTTCCGGGAGTAATAATTCCTTCAACAAAAATCTAAAACATAGTAATAATAATTTGGTCATTCAATCCACTGCTCTGCCCAATTGGCTGTCGTGTTTCACCCGCAAATACACAGTCACTCCACTTTACTGTATATTCCGTGAAGCGCTTTGAGACGTCTCGAAGACGCTATATAAAATGCAAGGATTATTATTCAGTTCACAGAATGCCACTGTACTCTGACTTCTTGAGTCAGAAGAGTGTAGGTTGAAGCCCTGCAGTGGTATTTTGAGCTCATTGTCTGGGCTAATATTCCAATTCAAAGTTGGGAGGGAGTACTGTAGTTTCTGAGTGGCCGAGCTTCGGGTGAGGTGTTAAATTGAGGTCCCGTTTGCCTGTTTAAGTGGACGTTAAAAACCCCATGGTATTGCTTGGCAAGGAAGTTTCTCTCCCGGTGTCCAGGCCAACGATCCTCCAGATATAAATCGCCATTAAAAATACTTACATTTACTGGCCTCTTGCTCACCCACCGCCCCACTATCGGAGGTCGCGATTTCAGCCATTACGCCCTGAAACTCTGGATCACTCTCCCTCAATCCCTCTGCCTTGCCCCTTCTCTCCCCTATTTCTAATTCCACCTGAGGACCTTCCTCTTCCACCTCCCAACCCCCACTGCCTCGGAGTCAGGCTCCGCCTCTGTTAAGCGCTCTGAGACCCTACCCTGGGTGGAGGGCGCTATGTAAGTGCAAGTTGTTGTTGCTACATTTCATATATCGCCTCAAAGCGCTTCACAGAATATCCCTTCAAGTGTGTGTGTGTGTTTTGTTAGTGAAACGCAGCAACCAATCCCGCCCAGCGGTGTCCCACAAACAGTCGTGGAGCGAGGCTGTTTGTGGGGCTTTGCTGGGCGCAAATTGGCTGTTGGGTTCGCCTACAAATACACAGTCACTTCATTTTTTAGTTGAACCGTGTGAGTCGCTTCGAGACATTTCGGGGCATCGAATGCAAAGATTATTGTTAAGAGTTAAGCTATAATGCTTTCTTGGTGTTTTCCAATTTAAAATCCCACTATCAAAGGTCACACTGATTAACTCACACAATAGAGCAGAATAAACAATCCAACACAATACATGTGTAATGGGTTACACAGCAGACAGTGGCATTGCAGAAATACAAGAGGAACTCAGCCAGTAAAAGAGATCACTGTTATATTCTTGTAGATTAAACCCCATGGACGGCAATTGGGGCAATGGCAGGTATTTGGAATCGAGGTGCAGAACAGCCATGATCTAATAGAATGGCGGAACAGGCTCGAGGGGTTTGAGTGGCCTCCTCCTCTACAGTGGAGTGCTGTAGCTCAGTGGTTAGAGCATTCGCCCCGCAAGCGAGAGACACTGGGCTTGATTCGGGTGAAACGTTGGGCAAGTTTCTTTACTATACACACACGCCTCTGTT